TGCCAGTAAACTATATTCAAAAAATGAATGAACACACTAAAGGATTGTCCTCTGCGCTTCTGCAAATGAAAGTTCGTTGATTTTTTAGAAATTCCTGTGAGTAAAATAAATGTTTAGCTTTTGTGTAAGACTTATTTTATCTTCTTATTCAATCTGTTTGTGTAGGTTATTCGATCTTTTTATTGAATATTATGTCAATTCTTATTATGGGCTGCTCAAGTGGCAGCATATTCTAATTCTGAAAGCACAGGGAGCAGCTCCATATGGCTTTAAAATTGTTTACGGCATATTTCCAACTTTAAAGATTCAAATTCAACATCAATTTAAGAGAAATCCATGAAGTTGAGCTTTCTCTCTCTTTCAGTATTTCCATTGTTAACTGCGTTTAGAAATTCTATATAGAATAACAGCTCTGGATGATGTTTATAATTTATGTAAAAGGCAATGACTATAGATTTTATTTATACCATGTAAAGAAGCGAATAATCGTAAATCTTTTTTATAGTTTATGCAAAGGACAAGAATTCGTTTAGAAGAGGAAGCCAAGAGAAAGAACGAACAGAAATTGCAGAAACGTTTTTTGAATAAAGGTGAAAAGAAACTGTCAGAAAAGTTGGAAGAAGTAACTGAACCGTAAGTTAATTTCGAAATTGAACTTCGGAATTAAGGAATAAACATATTTTCATGTCGTTTCTAGATAATATGTCCCATAATATCACTGCAATTTCTAAGCAATTGTGATTTCTCTGCCAGTACCAGAGAATTCCATCACTGATATGCATTGACTGTCTTGATCTTTAAACTATTTTTAGCTTTCGATGTAAAATAATTAAAGATTTATTTTTTCCAGAGCTTGCACCTTTTGCTGAAAGATTATTTAAATCTCATATTTTAGTCTTACTTTAGAACTGTAAAATCCGAAAATAGGTATGATGTGTTGGAAAACCTTTCATTTGGACGGATGTCTTTCAAAGGTTTCAATCCTGAAGTTGAGGTACTTTTTATGGTTTTCTAAAATTTATGAAAACTGTTCGGTTTAATTGAAGATTTTCAAAATTCCATTTCAGGAAGTGTTATTTGACATTTACTAGAAGCTCTTTTTAATTTGTATTAATTTTTATTCTGCTATTAAATAGTAGAAATAATAGATGCACATAGTTTACGTTGTTTTCAGAAACTTATGAAATATTATGAAAATGTGAAAGGCAATAAAGTGCTTGATGAAGCCGGCTTTGATAGCGGACAGGATATCACGGATTACGAATTAGCAACATCAATGTACGTTCGGTAGATTTTTGTCATATACATAAAATGAATGATTCCTTAATCATGTTTGTTATAATTTATAATTTCGGATTTCAGATTCAGCGTAAAAACAAAAAGAAGCGGAAAATGTCAGAAGAAGCATGAGGTGAGATTTCTTAGAATTCACATCTGTTCCTTTGTCGTTACTGAAAATTTTTCAATTTACGCTTGTGCTATATTTCTTTTAGTTTCATGAACTGTTCCATTATCTTTAATAAAAAATAATTTTTTCGTGCTAAGTCTCAAGAATTTTTTATACTGTGAGGATATTAGGGTAGAAATAAAAATAATAGAAATAATGGAACCTATCAGAAGTGAGTTAGGCAACACATTTGACATAGAAATGATTCATGTGGTATTTTACAGCAGTGAAAAAATTAAGTATCAATGAAAAATTTCTCTTTATAGATGGATGAAAGAAATTTAACCGATGAAATTAATGAACAACTAGCAAAGCGGAAACGGCGAAACGATGGCCTAAACCTGAATTAGAAATCCGAAAAAAGCCAACAGCTATGATCGATTTTCTTTATTAATTCAATGTGTACGGCGTTCCTTTGTAAAATTGTATTGTTTTAATTATTGTCACATTCTGCTTTGGCATTTCAGAAAGATTTAAATCGAAGCTGTCAAGTTACTGGTATACTACTAGAGAGTTTAATCAATTTATTGTTTAGTCTGTATATCTTGGACCAGCTTAGTTCATTTTAAATTCCTATGATGATTCAGAAATCAGTCAGTAATAGTTAATTACTTCAACATTGATGCAAAATCCCAATTCAATTTTTGTGTTTCATCTTTATTAATTTCATGAAACAGTTTTATAATGAGTTCCGATTTTGATTTTGCAAAGTTGACTTGCAGCTGTCAACCAGTATTACTGATGAAAAAGTAGAACAAGGTGGAGAGATTAAAAAATTATGAATGCCTTCCATATCAACATTAGACTTTAGTGTGGCGAACTTCTTGAAACTGAAGGACAATAACGTCTTTATATTTTAAGTAAAAAGCAAGCAGAAATTGTTTCGAGAAGCTTTTTCATCGACGGATATAAGTCTTCCGCATTTTACTGGATTAGGCTTTACAACAGTTGAAAACTAAGCAAATTTTTTATTAATTTGATTTTTTTCCTGCATGAGCGATGAATTCATGCATAGCTGAAATACAGTAGCTCATTTAAATGTCTAATACGGTTTTTCTGACCTGAATATACTGCTTTCAATAGTATTGAAGCTACCATGCCCGATAGTTGGAAACATAAGCAAAAGCCTTTGTAATTTGTACATGTGATGTCACAAGAAATGGTAATAGTAAACTGAATGAAAAACAAGGTTGGATGGACGCAATTGGGGATATTCTGGGAATGATATTGTTGTGAAGTTATAAGGGATTTTTTTTTAAAGGAGCTTTGTGGGACAATTTTATTGTGAAGGTTTATTATTTGATTAGGATTTTTATTCTTAAACGTTACAAAACGATTATCAGAAATTATCAAGAATAGGGTTGATCATTTAATAATTAATCTGGGATAGTATATTTCGAGACAGGTTTATTAAGGTAGCGGTCAAGGTACGGATGGTAACAATAGATTGTTACAATACAGTTGGTTAACTGGATAATTAATTATTAATATACTTTTTATGAGAGACAGAATTATGAAGCCAACTTTGCTTTCCATACAACTGAAATATCTCTTATTTAAAAATATTGAAAGTGAAACATACTCAAATTCAATATTACCCTTTTTGTAAAGTATTAGAAGACTTTAACATTGCCCTGTGAAATATACAATAAGCTTAGCAAAGATCAAAATAAGATTATAAACAGAGATGTAAACGAAGTATAGGAATGAAATTTGAAATTTTTATTTCATTAAATTTACTTTTATGTTTTATTTCTTTCTTTACTAACTAAACGATTCTCACAGATTTTGTCATTTTTTTATAACAAATAATTTAGCATTCCAATAGAAATGAAAATATTCTTTTTTCAGAAATAAATTGTAAATATTAGTGAAATGGTAAATTTTGATTGTTTGTATTGCAATGATTCATTCCTTTACTTAACATTGATTTTTTCGTAATTCTTATGAAATTTCATAATTTACAAAATGGAAGAAAAATTGCTTTTTTATTTGAAAGAGCAATATTCTTAAAGAAATTTAGGAAAGACACTTTAAAATGTACAATCTTAGTTATTCGATCTTTTCAGAAGTGAATTACTGAAATAACTCTTATGATCGAATCTGAATTCGACCTGTTAACATAATTTCAGTATTCAATTCCTTTTGTTATTCTGAGCACATACCATTCTGATCATCGCCACACTCATTCATTTCCCTTTCCTGTTTGTAAAATAGCAATGATTGAAATAAGATTCATTCAACAAATCATTCTCAGCAATACCCACAAATTGAAGAAGTATGTGTGAAAATTCGGTAAATTCAAAAACATTCAGAAAGTGTTTCAGAATGTTAATACATTGACTAATTATTCTTATCGTTGTTTTATTGATTAATAGCTTTTATTTACTGATAAATTATTCATTTTCTTTTCTATTTCATATCAACTATATTCTTTTTTGATTATCACAAAATCCGGTAAACAGATGAATGATTGTTCGATAATCAGAAAAATAAATACATTAAAAACATTCACATTCCTATGCAAAAAGAAAAATGTTTCGTAACTTGCTTAAGAACTTTTCGGTTTGCCGATTTATGAGCCAACAATTACGGATGTATACAAATATCACTTATCTTTACTCTGATGACACTTTTCCTTCACGATGTGTCTTTTTATATTGTTTCCGGCACATCATCCATCCGGAATTCATCTAAAGCAATTCAGTCTCGGACCAATTTCCTGAACAGCTAATATTTGTATTTAATAAATCTAGGCATAATATATAGCTTGTTGATTGCATTCAAAATGTTTTAATTCAGCTTTTAATCTTTTTTATCAAAATCTTCATAGTCCACTGATAACTTTAATCAGTTTTTAATGTAGAAAACAGCTATTATTTATGCTATAATTGTCAAGTAGAAAAATAAGAAAATAATTAGGTTGCTGAGAATTGTAGTACACACAGCTGCAAGTACTGTTGGAATCTGTGTAACCAAGATGGTTGTGCGGAAACTTGCGAGAATCATGCAAACCTCAAAATAATTTGTTGGAACAATAATTTATTAATTTGAACTAAATTTATTTAGCTATATGTTTTATTTAACATTGAAATTATTAAAGTGTGAATTGTGTTTCAAGAAATGTTATCAACTTTTTAATATTAATTCTCACATGTTTTTTAAACTTTGTATTTCACTTACTAATAATTTAATCCAAAGATAAATTCTGCAAATCTTAATCCTTCATTTTGCTTACCTAATTAAGTTTGAAAAACTCTAAAGGATCAAAATTCACAATCAACTTTTTAATTAATCAAATATAATTTTAAACAGTACAATTCTCAAATTGAAAATTAAATTTAAATTGGCTTCGATTTGAAATTTTTCCTAGATAGATTTGTCCTGTAACACCAAACTGAGTTAGTTATGATTGCATGAACAAATTTTAAAATAATACGAAATTCGAAGCAAACTTCAGATGCCTGATTCATGATCGATAGCTATACACCGAGCATTAACATAAATTTTTCTCCTTCTCACTCCTGGCGTTATTTTCCAACCTCTATCCTCGTATCATCAATATTCGATCAACAAGAATACAATACTCCATTTCTCAACTCTAATTGTTGATTAATTGTCTGCTATAACTTGAATGCTGTGACCTTCAACTTCCCTAAGTGGGCGACCCCACAAAATTTGTAAATTTGTAAAACAAAACGACAGTAGCAGAGTGCCACGGAATTGTCCCAATTTTAATTATATGAGAAAATTTATTTTTTGATGGATTTATTTTTATTATTTGATAATAGAAAACAGCAACTATTTTTGCCAATTTTAAATCACAAACTTTTAATTCATAATTTACAACAATTCATCAAAGATTTGAATTAGAAGCAAATTTAAGTAAGCACTTTCTGCTATCCAAGTAGTGCTCTATTAATCGTAGTTTATCTAAGAAATAAAATATTTGAAATGCTGAAAGAAATTGTAGCATACAAGTAGAATCGATATTTAGAATTTAGATCTAATTTATAATTGGCCTTGGCACAAAGACATACTCATTGATTTGATGCTTAAAAAGTTTGCAAATAAAATTAGAAATGAAATATTAAGGAATGAATAGAAATGAGTTAGACATTCTATTTGGATTGATTTTTTAGAACGGTGAATTGATATTATTCTATTTATTTGACTTCAATTTATTCCTTCAATGAGTTATTCAATGCTTTGAAATGATAATGTCAGTAAGAGAAACGTTGTATTAAGTGATAGTCAATTTAGTAAGTAAATTTCCTTATGTTAATGAATTTAGACTGAGTAAACTTTATGAGATGACAACTTGTGATTTAAATTTTATTCATTTTCCTTACATTGAGCAAATTTTAAATCAAAATTTTCAAGGTCATATAGTTTGCTGATGGATGATTTGGTCATGGAGAAAAGTAAACGATGACGCATTATTACTTTTAAAGTTAGCATTTCCGGAAAAACCAGAAAATCAGGAAAGATTTTTTTAGAATGTTGACTGAAATTAATTATGTATGTGTCGAGTAACATTGAAATGAAAATGCTTGCATAATTCTCGTGTTAATAAAGAGATTGAATTATAGGATTTGAAGTTTTGCTTGAAAAATTCACGAATTAGCGATGAACTATTGAAAGATTGCAATGATTATTCATATGGTTTCAACGGCAAATACCTTAAACATTTGGCTAATTATAGGCTCAACAAATATAATTGAAAATATCATGAAAACATTATAAATACTTCACATCAATTCACTATAGAAATTGAAGACTTTAAGGCAGATCTTTTTCTTCTCTCTTATCACTTTTGCCACCATTACCAGTGATAGTCATTTAGTTATTTAAGTTTTCAAATTAATGAAGTTGTCTAATTATCGTTGAGAATGAAAAGGATATTTAACATAATTATAAATTTTGCTTTTTTTTTTTATCTGCATAGATCCATTTCATTCATGCTGAATCGATCAAAGATAATTACGAACTGCAAATATTTCATGGATCGCCCGGAGATGTGTTCGATTTCGTTAGAATCAACCTGGTCTTATTGGATCAAAATTCAGCAGATTGGCTTTGATACTAGTGTGGCCTTTGAAGACAGCACCATTCATTTCCTGATTCGAATTTATAGCACCGATGAAAAAAGGTGAAATAAACAGATTATCTGCGAAAGTTGCTCTCACTTTTTAAATATAATTTTTACCAATACTGAAGCAAAAAATACCCCGGACTTTTAAAGATTTTTAAGATTTTCAAGAAAAATACCACACACTTAACAAATAGGATAAATTGATCAGAATAGTTGTACTCCAATATGCTCAGATTTACAATGTGCGATATCGGTGGGAACTACATGTCAAGTTCTTTCCGGTTAGGCATTCATATCTCGAGCTTCTTGCATTTCATTCCGACCATTCATGTTTTATTAGACTATTAGTTTCGCTTCTGATCAATGCGCGCCTCGCTAACTACAGACTTAATTTTGTAGACTGAAAACTCGCCAGCTTTTATTTGCAAGTCATTCACTTCCCGTTTATCTATGCTGGTTTTCAAAAACTAAAATTGCATATTATGCTATGGCTATTTTCTTTCACTTAAGCAATCGAACCTTGCATTTAGTGACAATTTAAGGAATCCCATGAAATTAATTCAACTTGGGTTGCAGCTTAATAATCTAAAATTAAGTATCCAATTTAACTAACCATTTTTTAAATCAGAGACTTGGAAGTTATAATTGATTTTTTGAAGCAGTTTCTAAAAAATTCTATAATGTTTCAGGTACAACAGTTGGTGATTCTCCAGTAGGCTTAGCAACTAATATCCTGGAGAAATTTTCAGACGGAACAAACACCATTTATCGATTATTTCATGATGGAGGACTCACAGAATAATTCTATTGATGAAATTTTTAGCGAACATAAAAGGAATTTAAACTTTAAAAGTTTCGCAATGATAATTTTTTTTTCAATGAAATATAAAAATTTTCAATTTCTGCAAGATTGTTGGTTCAATAGTAATATGGTATAAGGCTTTACAAAGAATATTTCCAGAATTCATCTCGTAACTTCAAGTAAGTACCCTTCTCTTTTTATGAATTCAATAGATTGTATACTTTTAGAGCAACTGCTTATGGACATTGCTAAATTATTAACTTATGATTTTTAAGTCGGTACATTATTATCTGAATTGGTTATGCTGCATTTCCGGAAGATCTGATCGAGCAGTGAGAGGAACTAGTGTGCACTATGTAAAACTTAACACATTATAAAAAAATCGAACATGATAGATATTTTGCCGCTTTCGAAGAGCCGAAACTTCTTACTGGTGATATATATCATCAAATTCGCCAAAACGATTCGACACAAAAGTTGAAATTTTATGATATTACTGCTGCATAACCATGCTGATTTATAGATGTTACAACTATCCTAATTATAATTATAGCTTAAAATATGTTTAGCTTAGTTACATTGTCATAAAAATCTATAATGTTTTCCCACACATTTCTAATGATTATTTTGCACAGGTATAGACATAAAAAAATTGCTTTTACGTACAATGTATCTTTGAATGCCACAACATCTTTGTGTTGCCGTTACCTTTACTTTATCATATGGCTGAGTTTCGAAATATTTTTAGGACAAAATGTAAATTGGAAATTGAGCTTGTTTTTTTCACATTCTCTACGTATTAGCGATATAATTAGTTGAGGTTATGTGACCTGGCTTGATTCCATCAAAAAGTTAGCGACCTGGCGTGATCCCATCAAAGCTAACTATCAACATAGAAGTTTTTGACAAACTTGCATGTATATATATGGTTACAAAAAACACTGAGTAATTAAAAAAAATTGTATTAAGGAAAAGAAAGATCATACACCATTGTCTAAAATGTTACACACATTCGTATGAAAGAAAGAAAAAGGAATACTGTAATTTTTTGGGATAAGTATTGCTATTTTATTTTAGACATAAAACATTGTATATCTTTAAAATGAAAGTAGAAGCAAACTTGAAAGTTTCGAATGAAAGAATGACCTGCTTATCGATGTAATATTTACTGAGTAAAATTCGGAAATCGAAGTTTCTGGTATAGTATCATGTCGCACTTACGGTAACCTTTCTATGGTAAATTGATTTGTATTGTAGCTTTCTAATTTTACCCCACAGACTAAGTTATATCACATTATAATTGTTTCAAGTCGCTATCAAATATTTTTTGTCTTGACACCCTGTGTCTATCTATTCTTGGTGATTAATTAGGCATAAAGAAAGAATTTATCAAAAAGCGTTAAATTAAAATAAGAAGAGAACCTAAAGATGTAAGAAAGAAGATGTATTGGACAGAAACAAAAATTTCACTTGAGGTGTACTCCCTGTAACTCGATATCGCCATCGATGGAGAGTTTATCAATATCTTGGGATGACATTCGATGTGTAAATGAACACACAAGACAATCATCCACATGGCACTGTAACCATCCAAACCAAAGAATTTTTGAACTTTTCATATGAATAAATAAAATTCAAAAGTTAACTGAATTGAGAAAATTTCGTTTCATCAAAAAAAATTAGATAAACTAACAAGAAATCGATTTTCGTCACAGTAAAATAATAAGTCAAAAGCACGCTTCTTTTTGAACGGAAATGTTATCTCAAGTTCTTTTTCTTCCGTTCCCCATCGTCCTTCCGATCGAGTATTTCGAATTAATCTCTGAAAACTTTTCGAAATTTGGGAAACAACTTTTATTTTTGCATGGATTAATTTTCAGATAATTTAAATGTTTCCTTTCTTATAATGTCTTATTTCATGATAATTGTTACATATAATTCTAACGGCGGTCGGCTAAATAAAAATTGATGCCTCTTCAAGTTATAACTTACTTTTTCAGCGATCCGCGGATTAAATCTGAATGCTATATCATTACCAGAATGAAAATCTACCACGAACTGTTTGGCTCGTTTCTTAATAAATCCTGACACATAAAGCTTTCGTCCTGGATAGAAGTTTCCGGGGATATCTGCTGTATAAGGAACTTGCTGCAATTGCATTGATGTCAAATAAAAAAAGAGGAAAAAACAATCGAAATGTTGAAAGTAGGGAAAATGCAACTATTTCATTTGTACTTAATTCAAAATTCCAAAATAAGTAAAAGAGCTTTCGAGCCAATGAATCCAATTTTGGTTTGTTTTTTGCAATTTTCGATTTTATTTTCAACTTTTCATATCAATTTAATGCCAAAATCGAAACGCAACAGATTCAAAAATCACAATTTTTTGGCAAAAATTTATTCAGAGTGGTACCATCTTACATTTTCATTAAATTTTTATCAAAACTATTTTCACTGTACTTACGTAATATTTGCCTTCCCACGATACTGTGTATAATTCGGCATCGCCATTCATATAGATGTGTGAAATATTTGAAAGTGGCAGATAATATGCAAATTTAGCCAATAATTTATGGTCAGCAAATATCTAAAATCACTTCAAATAATTTCTCATTTAAATACCACAATGATCTTAAATATATCCAATGGCAGTTGTTTAAAGCAAATAGTAATTCAAAAGAAATTATTCATCAAAATTACGTAAAGTCTTCGATTGGCGACTGGTTACTTTTTTGAATTCCGAAGTTTTTAAAATTCACCTCAAAATATTTTTCATGGCACCTAATTCGTATATCGAACTCATCGCCAGGTGTCCATTTATGCTTCACCGAGCCCTCTCTATAAATTATTTTTTAATAATTTATTATCGGTAAATATACAAAATTTTCTCATAGTTGCTAAGGTTTTCACAAAAAACTAACCTTCCCCACTCGCCATCAATACAAGCATTCAAATAAATTCGTTTTAGAGCAATATTTGCTCGAATAGCAAGAAGTCGGTTGTCAAGAATGTCATTTTCATCCTCCTTTTCCACCTTCCCACCATTTGTAAGGTTTATAATAAATTCATTACGTCCTTAAATTTTATTACTTTTAATTGTGCCTCAAATTTTAAAATTAATGTCTTTTCAAAATTTGATCCTTTATAGATTTTCCTCCTCGTAATTAAATTAATCAATTAAAAAAAATTGCATAATTTATCAAGCTTTGGTCAAGTTCAAAATGTTTGCATCATGAAATCATAAAAATCCTATGGTATCTTATAGCAGATCAATTCAAACTTTTGAAGTTAAAATATCTTCAAACTGGCTTTCCTATCTTTCAGCTGTCGGTCACACTCATTCTATCACAATTTTCTAATTCACTGTTTAGACTGGAAACAGGTTTAAACGGAACTTCTGATGCACTTTCATCGCTTCATTAAATACTCTTTTTCTTCCATTTTAAATAATACAAAATTAACTCAAAAAAAAAACCAATGATATATCCTCGGACAATCAATGATTGACCAGGCTGTAGCTGATTACCCTCCAGTTTTGATAAATACGGCACTGGCTGCAATCTTTCAATTCGTTATTGATAATGTTTTCAGATAATTCAACTGGAAGCACATACTTATTACATTTTTTACGATATGCTTGTTTGAAAACAAAAAAAGGTAATTTAGGGTTTTAAAAAGTTACTTACAAAGCTGCTATTTCGTCCAGTAATTGAATTTTTCTGCGTAACTTTTTTCGTTTCATTTTTGAATAATTTTCTCAAAATCGATGACATCGATATGATAAGTTATTGATCAAAACAATGCATAAACACATGCACACAACAGAAATAGCTTAGGAATTAGACTGAAACAATATCGTTGAATTCGAGTTAAGTTAAACAACCATTGGTATTCAGTGAATAACTACAAAAAAAGAATATGCAAACTTCTAGAAAATGAAGTTATTTTTGGAAGGATAAATTATTTGATATGGATTAAATGAATTCAGAATATTATTCCACTAAGTGAAACTATTAAAACATGACTTCATTGAAGATTTCATTTAAAAAAAGTACAATTCAAACTACTCAGTTTGGTATTTCAATACATAACTTCTATTTTGGCATTTTAAAGCTGTAATTTTTTAAATTTAATTTTCAAACTAAGCATAAAAGTGTTGTATTCATAGAAGTGAAGTAATAATGGAAGAACTAAAAGACTAGATTATGAAAAAGAAAATATGCACAGCAATAAAGGCATTAAAATTGTTTTTAGCGATGAAACGATGAAACAAAATGATAAATTCAGGGACGCAAATCAAATTCACTATACAACAACTGAATCAATCTCCTCCCAATGCAACATTTTCTGCACGGGACCAATGAAGGAAGGAAGGAAGAATTGTGGTATGTGGAAGATTAAAATACTTCTATTACACTGTCTCGAATAAAATCTTTCTTAAATATGAAATACCAGAAAGGATACTCAAAACATCAGCGGCAATAAAGTAGAAGTGTCGTGGAATATTTCGGGAAGTATCATCTCAAAAAATTTGAGTGTTAAATAGTTTCCATTCGAAAATAAAAATGGGTTTGATTAATAATATTATTTTTCGACTTATTTGATGAATTTTAATACCATAAAAGTGAATTAAAATTAGGCTTTTACCGGATATTAACGTGTCAACTAATTCCTTGCAAACTTCTTGATGAAAAAATAATGAGAAAATAAGTAAGATCAAATTGAATTTTTAACTTATTCGACTTCTAACATGAGATGATGTGGGTTAAATGAAATTATTTGCAATAGTAGCAATCGTTGTTACAATCTAAAACAACAATAATATTAATCAGACTAATAATTGGTAATTAGTAGTACTTAGAGCAATTAAAAGAACTCATTCAATTATCAAAAATGGCAATGAATGTTTTCATGACTGAAAGGAAAGAGGATGGATATAGAAAGTGAAAATTCAGGAAAATTTTATGTTTATTAAATCAATCATAAGGTATATTATGGGTGGTAGTTCATTTCCATTCCATATTATCCTTCGAATAATGAGTTATAATAAACATAATGACAGATATATTTATCATCAACCATTACCTAACTTCTTGGTTAGAACTCTTTGGAGCTAATTTCTAAATTAGGGTAAATTACATTAACTTTTCCATTCATCATCTAAATAAAACTTTCATTCTAAATTTCTTCCATTTTTCAAAATGAAGCGAAATATTTGAACAACACTGAATACAGTAACAAAGAATGACACTTTTTTGTTTGATATATTTTTTGTATCGGCGCACATGAGAAATATGTATATATATATATATGCATGTATGTGTGCGTGCATGCATGCATGCATGTATGTGTCGTTTCAAAAATATATCAATGTGAAAGAGTTTTTCAAAAAAAAGTGAACAGTAGAAAAGAGAGTTTTTAGAGTGAGAAAGACAATGAGCGGAAAATTGTTTTGGAAAAGTTGAAACGATAGGAAGAAAGTATGTATGTGGAAGGAAAAAATCAACAATTATAGGACGACGTTTTATGATTAATGAAGAAAAAAAAGGAACGCGTTCAATAAATGATGCAGCCAGCCACAATATCGATGCGAATAACCACGATGTAATAACAATACTTCTAAAAAGCCTTAAATTAGCAAATCGAAATTTAAATTGAAGAATGATTGTGAATGAAACAATTAAATTATAAATGCCTGTTCAAATTTATTCAACCGTTCTTGAAAAATCGATACCAAATAAACGCTCCTCTCATGGCTACGAATATACTAATTTATTTCTTCTGATCGAACCACGTGAATTTTATACCGAATAATGTCGAATTTGAAAGCTTATTTCTCATTAAGCTTAGCGAAAATTTAATTTCAATCATTTGTTATTTGTTGCGGAAATTATTAATCTGCTGAATATTGCAACCAACAAATAACAAAATTTAAGAAATTAATGCCATTTTAGGTAATTTATTGGAGCATATAATGCATTTATAGTAATAGCAGACTAGAACATTCCTTTCCGAATAATTTTAAACTGGTTTACTCTTTCCTGAATAATTTCTAACTGGCTATTTGTAAAGATACATTGACATGAAAATTGATAGGTAACATAGGAAAGTTTGAATTACTACGAACTATGTAAACATATTGTTTGCTATTTGCACAGTTCATTTACTTACGGATGATTGAAATGATATACATCTTCTGACTAAAGAGTAATTTCTGATTATTTTGCCTGTAAACCATAGAAAGAAGCAAATTTATAGGAACACACATATCACACATATCTATCAATCAAAATAGAAACTTCATTTATAATTGTATTATACATGGAAGAGCTAATGGAATAAAAGATAGGAACAAATAGCAGTTGATGATAAGAATTTAATGCTTGCATTAAATTCAATTCACGAATTATCAAATCTGTTTCAGTTTTTGGTATTTTATTCAATAGAAAAATGTAAAAAAGGTAACAAATGATGAACCATTCGTTGTGCTTTAGAAAAACTGGATCCTGGCAAATAGGTGGCATTGTTAATCGAATAGACAATAACGGTTAAAGGTCAGGTCAACAAAGTATATTAAAATAAATTAGCAATAAAAAGAGACGAAAAATAAAAAATAAACGATCATATTTAATAATCAAACATTCCTTTTTTAGGATCTTTGTCGTTCTTTGATCAAAAATTTCGTAATTGAAATTTCCGATTACGAAGCAATCAGAAATTAAAGTCTCTGTAGAGGCTACCAGAAACACATATATAACATCATGCAATAAATAATTATATGATAATTATCATGATAATTCAATTCAAATAATATAGCGTTTTTCAGCTAATTTTAAAATAAAAAATAACGCTTTTTGAGTGAAACATTAATTAATTAATTAATTATTTCAATCTCTTATTGGAATTGACTGGCTATTATATTTCAAGCACTTAATTACGATGTAAAATTACAACATTTCATAACCTTTCATTAATTCTTTAATGGATAAAAAGATTTTGCCGAACATATGCCCACACTTCATCAAATATGAATTTTTTTTGTTCTACAAAAAATTATTGTGTGAAACATGTTAATCCTAATTATCTCATTCCCTTATTGAAATTGATTTTTTATGGTACTTGACTTGCTCAATTTCCATAAACGTATCTATCCTGGATGGGAATGCTAATTTCTGTCTTTCAGACTTTATACACAGTAAGTAACAATTACAGCTATTAAACGCAGTAAAATGACAATGTAAAAATATATAAAAAGAATATGAAGTAAATATAGAAGTAATGCATATACTAATAAATATAATCATATACACTTAAGTAGAGTAAACAAAAGATGTCATTTAACTTGCAATAATGATATAAGAAGGAGGAAATTTATCATTTCATATTGAAATTATTCATAGCTGATAAAGAAACTGATAACAAACTTCCGAAAATTTTTGGTACCACAAAAATCAATAACATTGGATGCTATAAATTTGATAATATAATTCGAAGTGTTATCAAATTAATTAATGATAAAGGCAAAGATTTAATTTTAGGGAACGAATATGATTTAAATATTAATAATGTGAGAGCAAATATTTTTCGTAAAAAAGCAAAAGGCTTAACGCTTAATGTATAAAAGATAATGTAATTTTGTGTAATTAAAAAGGCGATGAGTGTAAAGAATTTGAGAATTGAACAATTATTTTTGTATATTTGCAGCGATTAAAGATAGAGAGAGAGAGAGAGAAAGAGAGAGAGGTAAAGAACATTGATTTGTTGACTGTCCGTTTAAATTATATGTGACAGGAACAAGTATCGGAAAATAAGCCGTCATTTTATACATCTAACGATTAACAATGTTGATTGATTTACCGACAGTAGAATAGAGAATACAATTGTTATGGGTAACGGGTCGAGACATCCTGATAACAAATGGATTTCTACTGGGGCGATGGCACATTCATGAAAAAGGTCACTACCAACATCAGTCTTTTAGTGTAAGCATTGATGTAGAAATTTTGCATTTGAAAACGAAAAGAGGGAAATGAAAGAGAGAAAATAGAGTTTGATAATATGTTGGAAGAAATTTTCAACCAGCTCAGTGAAAGATGACGCACAAATCATGAGATGAAAATCACGTTTTTGTATGAATCTTTTATCAACCGGTTTATTAAAGTGGACATTTGAAAAGTTCAAAACAACATTGAAAAACCGCAAATCGTTGCATGATTCATTTTATTTGCTGGCATTAACCTCAGAGATTAACAAATAAAAACAATAAAAGTTTGAATTTGGATAGTAATTCATAAGCATTGGAAGCAAAACAAAATTCTCAATTATCAATTTGGAAACATTAATGTTTATTTCAATATGTAAGTAAGTAAATACTTGCAAGTTTTGAATTAAAATTCTGCTTGCATTTGAATTAAATGCGGGCTGAAATTTGATAAAGTAAAATTTTATATGAAAAAAAAAACACATTACAAATTAGAAATCACCGGTGGAGGACAGTATGTGTAACATAGCAATGAACTATAATTAGGAATGGATATGTGTATGTGTATGTAATGTGTGTGTGTGTGTGTGTGTGTGTGTGTGTGTGTGTGTGTGAGCGTGCAAGTATCATATGCATGTTTTTTGTTCTTACTTTCGTATAATCGGATAGCAAGTTGAGTTATGAAACAGAGCTATTCAATCAAGAGCAGCATTTGGCGGGTCCATTCCGAAATTTAAGAAGTAACAGTTCACTTTGATTTAATATATTATTCCTTCAAGTAAACGTTTAAGCGTTTAAGCGTGATTTAAAATTGTTGGTGTAAGAAAATGCTTTTAAACCTGGTATTCACCAGTAAAGCTTTCAAATGTTAATCTTGATGTTTCTTGACTTAAGAAGTTATTTTGTTTCAACTATTCAGTATTCAGGAATAAATCTTCTGCATGGTATTTAGTTTCGGATTGAGTTCGACAAATTAGTAACTTAGCTTTTATTCTGGTTCATTAACTTATCAGTTTTGCAATGATTTTAGTAGACCTTCCGAAGAAACTTTGTTTACATATACCAAAAACAAAAATTAAAATGCGACTTTCTCAATAGTTGAAAAATTTTTCATTACATTGAACTTAGAGTTAAACAATTTGAGGTTTTTCCTTAACCTAGCAAATTCAATTTGATTTCAATTACTTCGAAACCAAACATTTAAAAAGAATAATTATTTTCTATAAAACGACTGCACGATTAAAGTCTCATATTCTGTTGCCACTTATATCAGTTTTTTCTTCGTTTTTTCTTTTCAATCTACTTATTTAATTGTGAGGAAAATGTCTTTAGGATTCTGATTTAGATTGCATTCGGAATGTGCTTTCCTCATTTTTCATTTATGAATCAAGTTCTGTGTGAAATGCTTGACGTGTAAAAGATCCTTTGATGATTCTTTTCAAGATAATAAGTTTGGCGAATAAGTCATAAGTTTGGCAAATGAAATTCGTTTACCAATTATATGATGATGAATTCAGTGCTGTTGAAAACTGACAATTTTTTTGCTTCACCATTAATGTCGATTACTCTTTGATAAACAACACAATATAGGGTACTAATTCTCCTTTCAAATTTCAGGAAACTTTTTTTGCCAATTTTGAAGTTCTTTTTTCATAAGAAAAAAAATAATCATAAGAAACGTTGAAAAGATTACCGACCATTGAAAAGGAGCTATTAAATATGTAAGATACTTCTGAAATATTTTGCTCTTATCATTAGCAGACACTATTTGTGAAATCACTCGATAATAGATATTTATTGTTTTAATTATCAAACCCTCAATAATCTCTGAGTGGTTATGTCCAACAAAGAGGAATTGAATAATCTGCAGAGTATTTGAGATGAAGAGAACTTATCTTCCGCTGAAAAGTTTGTTTTAATGCCACTATTTGAGAATTTCGGGTAATATTACCCGAAATTCTCAAATAGTGGCATTAAAACGGGTAATATTACCCGAAATTCTCAAATAGTGGCATTAAAACGGGTAATATTACCCGAAATTCTCAAATAGTGGCATTAAAACGTTACTAACACGTGCTGATAGACTGATTTATTTATATGGTAGTGATTTTATTTATATGGCAGTGATTCGTGAATAAAATGCAATTCAAATGTCTCAAGATGTCCATTGTTTGATCGTTCACTATAACCATATCAAAACTTTTGACATAGCAATCCAATAACATATCAACATTTTTGTTCAAAAAACCGATTTTTAGTATAGTGTTATCACTTTCATCTGACAACGAACAGTCATCCAACATACGTAAATCTAAAACTTTTGGACCTAAGTGCATGTCGTATCAATTATTAATAGCAGCAAATTTGAGAATAAAATTTCAAAAACAATAAAGGCTAAAACAACCTTCATACATTATGTTAATGTTAGGAAGAAACTATTTAGACTTCTACCATTCATGTATGTATATGTATGGAGAAGTGAAGTGTGAAAACATTTTACTTTCACATTATGTTTATTTATCATTAAATTAAATCAAAAATCCAACGGAATACACCAAGTTGAATCTCGAAAGTTTACCTCCTAAAGAGTCGCCGAGAAGGATAATTCGATTCTTCAGCTTTAAATCTTGTATTGTCTCCAAGTACTTCTCAAGCAAACTTCCATTTTTTGAGAATGAATGTATAACTGGTTCCGAGAATTTATAACCAACACCCTGTAAATAAATCTTTGTTAATTCACTTGTTAATTCATTGTAAATAAATCTTTGTTAATTCATTTGGGAATTTTACTAACACCTCTTTTAAATGAACAACTCTATTTCACTGCTTATCACTTCGGTGTTTTTGAGATTTAAATCAATCAAATTCAAGTCAGTCTAAAATTTCCTCGAACTAATCGAGATGAAATATTTAGCTAGCTAACCACTTCATTGAAGTACATTGTATTTGATATAATGTGGACATTTCTCGGAATTCTTCCTAATTCAAACAGCAGTGACGCTTCGATAACATTAGAGATACCTGCGGAGAAGATTATTAAAGGAATCTTCAGCCGTTCTAACTCGTCGAAATATAAAGCACCATTAGATCTAGAAAAACATGAATAACGGAAGAGTTATGTAACGTATAAAACAAATGTAACATGTTTCGATGAATTACAATTCAAACCTGAGCCGCATCGTAGACTGTTTTACAAGATCAAATATTTCGTTCTGTCTGAATCCTGCACTAATGATAAGATCGTTAGCTTTATTCCACCTGCAAGGAGAAACACGAATGGAAAAATGACATATAAGCAGTAAAAAATTAGCAAATATAAAATCACTATAGATGCCCAATAATTCCGCTCTTAAACTTGCGACGACAATTATCAAATGATTCTGTTTGTCTTCTGATTAGATGTTGATAGATCGAATTGCTAGATGTCAAGTGGCAAAAAGTTTCGTCTTTTTCATGCTTTAGACTCCCGGAAGTCATACTGCACAATTCCTTGATTCTCTCAATCGTTCACAAATGAAAATAAAAATCAACCGTGTTGAATAACATAACAAACCACTCCAACATAGCTGATGATTTCTCTTTATCACTCAGAGACAAATTAGTTTCAATAGGAGAATATTTCTCATCCAATATCTTGAACAGATGGTCATAAGTTGGTGATTTATTTACTGCTGCCTTAGCAAATACATCATAAGTGATATCGACTTGATCACCAGTCTTAGTTTTGCTTGCTGTGAGAGTATAATCAAAATCTGCAACCACCTGCAATAATAATTCAATAATACAAGTATCATCACTCATACTTCTTTAATTCCTCTTCTACGAAGTAAGCTGAAACTTGAACTCATGTATATTGTTGAAGCATTGTCACAAATCTTATCCAAGGAAAAGATTTTCATTATTTTAACATTGAATAACTGATATATTGAACTGATTTGAATATGGGTTAGCAATTAATCATGGTATGGGTCCTCTGACAGATTTAAGATCTAGTCTATTTTCCCAACAAGTTATTCACATAAACATCAAAGCTGTATAAATTGAGAACTTGACTAGTTATCAAATTTACATGTACAAGGCTCAGTAATTCAATTTGAACTCAGAGAAATTCTTTAAAGAATCTGTAATTCTGAAAACTACATGGATAAAGGCAAACCACGAAATTATCTGGCCCACCGTCCATAAAATGCTTGATTTTATGCTCGAACGAGCCGTAATTGCCGATGTGCACTTTCGGATGATTCTTCAGAATATTCATCTCAAAAAATATTGCCTGACGTCCAGAAACTACTTAGAATCCATTGAACTTCCTTTAAAAAAATAAAGGCTACAGAAACCCCTTCCAGGAGAAACATGGAAAATAATGATGTAGAAAAATGCACCAACCTCAATAGCAGCATTTATGATCGAACTGTTAACAAGATCAAAGTTTTTGTGAGTACAACCTTTCTTAATCAAGTGCTACCTGAAAAGCGTAGACGAATTCGCCTTATCAAACATATCTCATTTGCTGCAGATTAAAACAATCTCGAAATTATCTGACACTAACAAATCTTTCTCAACTTTCAACCTTTTTCGCCACATCCAACTCATACAAAGTGCACTGTCTCAAACTCCTTCCTGCTATTAAAACTATGCTCCAGCCCTTTAGGTTTGTTTGATCACCAAAACAAGACATAATCAGCCCTTCATATTTCATTTACTTGCTCATTGCAAATTGTAAACGAGTACCGGATGACAACTTCGACTTCGAGGGTTTGAATGGATAGGACACTCTTCGAATGATAAGGGAACATAAATAAACAAAATATCCTCGAATTTTATAATCCTAAATTACAAAAAATTAGATCAATACTGGGACAAATATTGAAAGGCAAAGCACTATCAACTGTACGTCTTTTCATTACATTGTAAAGCACTATAAATAGTATCTGTTTCCAATACATTAATTTAGGATAAAATCTAAAAAAATCTCACTGTAAATCATCGTACTTGTTTCCATAAATTTTATTGCAATCGTTCATTTTACAAACTGCTCATATAAAGCATGATAATGTAATAAAAAAAGACGAGGACAAACAATTGGTCACACAAATATGAGACCGCACATTATGTTGGCTAGATAACCAACACAATTAAATAAAAGCATCTTCGATAATACAATCACCACATAAAAACTTTCATAATGTTATTGTTATTCAGTTAGTATCGATGTCTCGATCGAGGACTCCGCGAACGCCGTCTGCCACTACCACCACTACCACCACCGTATCCACCACTACGACGAGAGTAACTACCATAATCACCTCCTCTACCTAAAACATATGATTAGAACAGATGAAGTTATCTTCATAAAGAGTCGTGAATTGAAAAAGCAAATCAACAAAACTGAAGACTAACAAATAATCTGAAAGGTAAAAAGAAAGCTGTTTTATTATGGCATTAAATAAACAACATATGGTATCTAGTTACCTCTCCGGCTTTTATTTGCATGAAAATTTTGATTGAAAATTATGACATCTATTTGCATAGAAAACTATCATTGAAATCTATTCATTTAAGGCGTTACAATAAAACACAAAGAGCACAAACCTTCATGCCAATTCCCACCACCATAATAACCACCGCCACGATATTCTGCCCGAGAACCATACAACTTTCGTCTCAAATCACGTGATATTTGCTTCAAATGCATAAAATTGCAAAAAGCACCTTTGTTACAACCTCCCAATTCATATTGCCGACAACAAGCCTCACGAAAATCCGTTACGGGTGACAGCTCAGCATAAACAGGTGAACCATTGAACCTAAACACAAAAATATCAAAATTAAAAACAATACAAATTCGCTAGAATTATAGTACTTAAAACTTTCGGATAAATCCCCTCAATTTTCCATTGTCCCTTTATTGTAATAATTGAGGTGATGGAAAGAGATTACAAACATCAAACACGACGATGATCCTCCAAAATCCATTTACCCCATGATTTACCTCATTTGCCTAATTTTTTTACTGTGCTAGTAGTTGATTTGTCTCCCCTCTACTTAAGGGCCGATATTCCTTGTACACCTTAAGGATGTTAGAATAACTGAAACCGTGAAATGGTAAAACGAATCACCATCTATTCTCAAGGCCTTTGACACATTTGTCTGCATCTTCTTCATTTTCAAATTTTACATAAACATTGCCAATCATGTGCTCCCCGATATTATCGCATACATTCATCTCGTCAATTGGACCAAACTTATCTTCCAATTCAACAAATATTTCTTCAAAAAATTCTTCAAAATATTGCTGCTCCTGCTCGTTCATTTGGCCAACCTAAACAAGCCCTAAGTTTGAAATAATTATTACAAACACAAATATTTGAATTTAACAAGTATCAACAGTAAACAAATCAAAATTCAAAACATAAGATAACTAAACGTCGAGACCAACAAATGTCGAGAATAAACACTGCTCGTCAAATCAAAATTAATGAGTATGAGATTCAATGTTACGTAGTCGTCACACACAAACGACATGTTTGTCAGAGAATCATATCAAAAGAAAGTCGTCTCTTATTTTTTTCATTTATCAGTCTACAAGGACGCCTTATAAAACCATTTCAGCACGCCTTTTGACTCCTAGTGCTTTTGGAATTTGGATATCTAGAATGCATTACTCTCCGAAAGTCTCTTCATGATTTCTCAAAGATCTGGGGATTTCTCTTTTCACTCTTCTAGGCTGAAATGAGAGTTCAGATACGGCATCTTACCAATATAACTAATGTGCCAAGAGACGAATGAACTGATTTGTATCACGACACGTTCAATTAAATTTTTGGCTCTGAAAATAAGGCCAGAGTGAGAGAACTACGGCCGGTCCAAAAGACTAAAGTTAAATTTCTAATATTAAAAGTGCTTCCATCAATACTCCACCACTTCCACCACAAAAGTGCAGCTTCTCGAACATGGAAGAATGAAAGCTAATTAAGACTCACTAAGCAAGCTAAGAAGCTTAAAAATAAAATATACAAACCTTAGCAAAGGCATCCGCTTGTCTGGTGTCAATCATTGGATTGTGATAAAGATTCTTCAGCAAAACTGTTTGCGAAAAAGAAGGCATGATATGCGTCCTAGAGCATTTGTCACCATGTCGACATGCACCTATTTTGAAGTAGAAGGAGCAATTCACCTAAAGTGATTTTTCTCACTACGTCAATTCACCTAAAGTGATTTTTCCCACTACTTTGTTCTTACTTTTTTGAATTATACGATTTACTTGTAAAAAGTTTCGAAGATTTTCCTATAAGATATATCTTCTAGAAAACAGTTTTTCAAATTCTAGCTTAAAGGATGAAGAAATAGAAAGAGTACAAATCTTTAATATTGCCATGTTAAAATTGAGGTTCCTCATTGAGATTCCGTTAAAATTGAGATTTCCTAACTTCATGCCAGCTCTATAAACAGATCCCAACAAAATGTATGAAATGAAATACCAAAATACCAAATTATTAACCTTATCCTTTTCAGTCCCATAAATAGATGCGAGATATTCCGCTCCTGACATGTGATAATTCGTCATGATTTGTGTGAGTATTATCTGAATCACTTTTAATAACAACTCGATTACACGCGTATTGTATGATGATCATTTCATAACTTGATCTAAGTAATTACCGTTATGACTAACTCAGTGTCAACATAAGTAAATAATTATTTATAAAGAAAGAGTGATAAGAGATGGAAAATGAAAGGAAAAGCATTCCTTTCAGGACGAGATCTCAACACTATTCACATAGCCTATATCCCACTATACATAAGACTTATCAATCATAACTTAACCTTTAGGTTCGTGTCCGGCTAGCAAAAAATCAATGACATGAAACTTGATGCAATATCGTGGAAAGATCATAGGAGTGGACGAGACGACGACAGCCTATGCCTCAGAATTATGATTGGAATCATGAAAAGGCAGATCCAGCAGGTGAGGCTTCACAATGCGGGAAATGGTTATATAGTCTACAGGCGCAATTTAGTTTTTCAAACATGCCATCAACTGTTAATGTCACCCTGTCCATCCATCGAAGATATTTTCAGAGATAATCCGTTCTTAGCATTCTTTTAAGAGATGTAATCCCGAGGGAATATATTTTCACCGCGATGCGGAATACTGCAATATACTTCTCTACGTATTTTGCCATCATTGTCGTTATCTCTGATAATTATCATTTCGCCCTCTTTTCCTATTCACTTTTCTTGCTTTTCCTTTTCCGTTTCTTTTTTTGTGCCTTGTCCTTCATCACAACTATTCGAATCAGACTCTAATCATTTTAACATTTTGGCTGAATCATATGGTTGTATTAATTTCTGGATTACCGGTTGATAGGCTGGTAGTTTCTTCTATTAGGAACATCCTGTATTAATCTTATTAATTTTTCTAGTCTAATTTCACTTTCTGGTATCCAGCCTATGTAGTCATTTATGTACATTCACACTTATAGTACATTAATGATAAGTAGAATTTTTATCGCATTTTGTTTTGTTACAACGAGGTTTGAACAGAAATATTGTTCAAGTTTCTTCTATTTATAAAAAGTAGGTGTGTTCTCATTTAATAGAGTGGACTGAAAAATCATTCTCGATGAAAATCCTGTTAACGTTTGCTGCATTAGTAATGAATTTCGGCTTCATAAATCTTTTGCATTTTAGTAGTGGTTTTTATATGTTGATCGATGCATTGCTTGCCAATGACAAAGTGCGCATGCGCGATTCGTCTGCTGTAGAACGAAAACTTAGCCAGATTATCAATGCTGACAAGAATAAACTTTTGGTGAGGATGTCATTTGGTATATCTGAAGCAGTAGTCGCGTTTTCGCGCCCTAAGGAACATAGTTTGCATGTTGTTTTGCGCTGATAAGAGTTCGTTTTTTAATACTTTAGAATTTATTTTGATTTAATTTGATTCACTTTTTGTTCTATTTTTTGTGTATTGGGTGTAACAAATCTTTTTTGAATGAAATTGCTCAGTTTTATATCATTTAAAAAGATGCTCTATGAACCTTAATTTTTAAGTTTCCAGTAATTAACCAGTTGCTTTTGATAGTAAATTATTTAATTAGTTTGATTAGCAGATAACATTTCATTCATAAATTTTTTTTTTTAAATATTCTTTCGTAATACTCTATTTAGTGTTCGTAAATGGACTGTTGCAAGCGTAATAAGGATATTTAGGTGGTCTCAGATTTTGACTATACGCTATCGCGTTTCCATGATGCTGAAGGTAAAAATTGCTTAACAACACATGGTGTTTTTGATAATGCTGCATGGACGGTGTCACACGAGCTTGGTATTGTTCTCGAGAGACTGAAAGCAAAGTACCTTCCAATTGAGTTCGATCCACACATAACAGTTGCTGAAAAAATTCCTCATATGGAAGACTGGTATGATTTTATTCGTGATTTGCTTATATCCTAGTCGTATCCGAATCGAATTATATCACTTTTTTAACCAAATAATAATATACAGTTCATTCCAGGTGGAGAACTTCCCACGAACATATCATCAAAACTGGTTTTACGAAGAAAACTATCCAAAAATTTGTTTCCGAGGCAAAACTCGAATTAAAGTAAGTCTTATACAATGGTTTTTCAAATTTTTGAAAATATTTGACATATTGTGAAATGCTTTGTCCTTTACTTAGGATGGGAATCAGTTCTGTCCATAAATTTTTTTCAGGGAAGGAGTGGAGGAGTTGATGATAACGCTGCGTAACCATAACATACCTCTAATTATTTTTTCTGCTGGCATAGGAAATGTGATTGACTTTTTTTTGCAAAAAACACTTGGCGGATTTCCAAATAATGTGCATATTGTCTCAAACATGATGGTGATTATAAGTTCCACGTTTCAATAGTAGAATCATTTCGAGTAAAAGCGGGAATGCAGACTCGCTCTTCCATGGTTTTTTCACATATTCTACAAAAATAATATATATCAGTATGATTCCATATAATGATTTTTCACATGTTCAGTACGGATTCTCACTCAGCACTGACTGAGAATGAATTCCATAGGGATTCTCATCAATATCAATACGAAACTTTATGAATGACTCAGAATAAAGTCGTATAGTATAGCTAACTTTTTAAATACCTGTATTTGAGGTATCCTGGATTTAATCCACTGGAACATGAAAGTATCTTCTTGGTTTTTTTAGAGTTTGTGAGATACTTTATGTCATGTGTGGACATTCCCTGCTTATTGCTATTTCTTTAACATGAGGGGCTTCTAAATCAGGTTTTTGGAAGTTTACATGTGTAAAATAATTTAGATATATGATGAAAACGATGTAGCAGTTGCATTTAGTGAACCTCTTATTCACACGTTTTGTAAGAACAGTGCCGTTATTAGTGGTTATGGATCGTTGTTTGGTGAAATTTCATCGCGAACGTGTGTTTTATTAATGGGCGATTCTCTAGGAGGTACTGTCAGTCATTATGCTTATTGTAAATTGACAAAAGTTCAAGTAAAAAGTTTCAAACTTAACTTTGATTCAGGAGCGTGCTCATATTGTGTTTTTTTTAATTTTTTTTTTGATTTCATTTGAATTTTAGATTCGAAAATGGACGTAGGTCTGGTGTGTGAACAAGTCGCATTGAAAATAGGTTTTCTGAATTATAATGACGAAACATTACTAGCTAAATATTTGGATGGATATGATATCGTTTTATTGGATGATCAGACTATGCATGTGCCTCGTTTAATTCTCAATTCCATATTCGAAACAAACAGAGATGAAAAGAATCCATGTAAGACTAAGAATCCTTTGGTCACTTCTATTAGATGATTTTAACTTTTTCGGATTGTCATAACTCATTTCTTTTAACAACATATAAGTTGAATTCTGTCGTGCTTAAGTGATGAGAGCTAGAATGACAGCTGTGCCGTAGTGTGATGAAGGAGTTTTATTTAAAACGTTGGGAAATTAGGAAATATTATGCAGCGTATTTCCTATTTCCTTTGCATTTGAATTGTTTATCCATTATGGAGCATTTTGCATATCCAATCCTCATCTGATAGGNCCGTAGTGTGATGAAGGAGTTTTATTTAAAACGTTGGGAAATTAGGAAATATTATGCAGCGTATTTCCTATTTCCTTTGCATTTGAATTGTTTATCCATTATGGAGCATTTTGCATATCCAATCCTCATCTGATAGGGTTTTTTTCCTTTCTTTACACATTCTTTTGCTTTTTAGCAGCCTGTATAAATTGTCGTTTGGAATCGAAAAACAAGTTGAGTGTGTAACAGAGGGAGAATCTTTTGCTCTTGGCGGCAAAATTCACAAATTACAATGAATCTCAAATTACTGATTTTAATTATTTCCATTATAGCTTGTTGGAACTTAAGGAAAAGTGTCTCCATTACATTATCCTGTGATTTTTGATCATAGTTAATTAGTTTGTGTTGACTTAATGCTTTATCCATTCTTTTTTCATCAATGTGTAATGGTGTTGGACGCCGTTTCGTTTTTACGACAACATTCAAATTTGTGGCAATCGATATCATGTATTTACAGTTAATAAGACACGAATTTCGATTTGTATATATCATGTTATACATAGGATGGTAAACTATGAATAAATTATTTTTCCATCAAATGTGTCAATGATTTGAAGGAATGGTTTTGTAACTTTGCTTAAAAGTATTGTACGAAGTTGTCATTTTTCGTTTTCAGACAAGTTGTAAATTCATTAATTTTGGATAGACTTACTTTGCTAGAATCTGAATAATAACAGTCTCCAGGAGAAGTGGATTGCAACACCCACTATTTACACTGGGAGATTGGGTATTACTGCGTTTTAAGGTTCCTGTAGATGATTGACAGAATTATTTCTTTCAACTTCCACTGCATACCTGTGTGGAAATTTGCTGCAACATTCGGATTTTCTTACTCTAGAATTATGGTTTGTAGAAATTTGGTGGCATCAATGACATCGGACGTAGTAAAGGATAGAAAAAGAACTGCAGGAATAGTTGCTCCTGTAAGCACTGTAACTTCTGTAGCGGTAACTGCAGTTCTACCAGCTGTGGCTGCATCAGGAGAAAGTGCGGTAAATGTAGTGATCGAATATGAAATACCTCCTTGGGCAGGAAGACCACCGAGTGGATGTCATCTTGATGTTTTGAAAGGTGACCAGTTGATCCAAGTATGTCATTTATTTTTTCACACATCATGTAGATTATCGTATATCGATCGACATCGTACTTAGATATATATGGATTTCCAAGTAAATCTATACTAACAATCATCAAGTAAAAATTCTCGAATGTGGAAATAAATCTAGGCTCCTATTACTGTCGTATTTTCATCTTATTAACTTCATTACCTTTATACCGGATTTCGGTGTCATTGAAAAATGTTGTGTGTATTTTATTTCAGAAATTGATGGTTGATGAAAAGCGTGCCTATTTCTTTGGACGTAATCCGAAACAATGTGATTTTGTAGTGGAACATGCATCGTGTTCCAGAGTGCATGCCGTTTTGATTTATCATAAATTCCTGCAACGATTTGCACTTGTAGACATGAATAGCTGTGGGTTCTTCGCTGTTTTCATCACCATCAGTATTTATAATAATATTAGTATATAAATTCAACCGGAAAGGCTTATAAGAATACACTAAATGTGACATTGTCTTTGAATGCAACTACAGTCCTAATTAGCATTGTCCGCTTTTACAGATTATATTGTATTATTTTTTTAATGTGGAGAAAGATGAATGTTTAAAATGTCATTCCACATTATATTAACGGATCGGGATCGGCATTTCAGAGCACTGAATCCTTTTTTGTAGATAGAATAGTCAGGTTAGTCATGTCTGCAAAGTCAAGTCCTCGTATGAGAAAATTAATAGTGAATTGTTAATTTGAAGCGTTTTCTTTCAGGCCATGGTACCTTTGTTGGTAAAGTTCGCATCGAACCAAAGCAACCAATTTTCATAGATATTGCCAGCATATTTCATTTCGGTGCTTCTACAAGGAGGTATATATTGCGGGCTAAACTTGATTCGGGCAATGATGATGATGAAGGAAATAAAGATTTGCTACCAGAGGAACATGAGCTTGAGGTTGGACACTTAATTCTGGAGTTTTTCTTTCGGATTTTTTTTGTGGTTTCATTTTATAATTTTAACTGAGGATGTGCAGTTATCTCTATGAAGACATCAGAATTTCACCTTTTTTGTATTTCACAATGTGAAAAATATAATTTTCACAGTAATTCTTGCCTCTTGAATCTATTTCTAGTGAGTTGTCCTTTTAGACCACTGCTATGATCTTGACCTTTTCAGGAATAAAATTGAATTAGTTTGCTCCCTTACTTTAATTCCAGTCATAGGAAGTATAATTTTGATCATTATATCATTCCACAATGCATTTGTTTGGATTACATTTGATACCGATAACCAAATCAAACCTAAAGAGAAATTCGTTGTTTTAACAATTTTTAGAATCTAACGGAGTATAACACAGCGCTAAATAGACGAATACCAGTCATACCGATTTCACTGGAAGATGCGCGGCGAAAAAAAAGACCACGTGGCAATGTTGCGTTTATTGAAGAGGAAACCATAATTAATCCAGGTAAGTTTGTAAAGCTATTTTATAAAATAATTTTCAAATTCGCATCATTTAATGTTGGTTTACTCAGCAATTATTTTTTAACATTGTACTTTGGAGTAATCAGCTGTTAATCTTAATTCGAATTAGATGTTGTTTTTTCCTATTTGAGAAGATGTTGATCCAACAGTGGGACGTTTTCGAAATTTGGTCGCTACTGCAATTATATCAACAAAACGGAAGCCTCTGGGCGAAGGAATTGAGCAAACTAAGGAAGGCCCTACCCAGAAAAAGATTCTAAGGCCTGGACGCGTTGATGATTACAAAAATACAAGGCACGTATCTTTTCATTATTATTTTTTGGATCATATTCATTTCCCGGAGCGTAATTCGAGTTCCAGTGGTTCAGTTTAGTTGTAGAAAATATAGTCAGCACGAGGAGACAGTATTATCTGAAAATTTTATTTCAGTCGATGATTTTTAAGGAACGTTGGAGAGAAACACTTTTTCAGACTTTGCATTTTTAAGCCTAATATTTTCCAGTCGACCATTTTTCTACTTGGTTATATTGCTCTTTAGATATGTACAGCCAATGATTTCAAGTTTGTCGATTGTTATGAATGCTGCCCCGGATTTGGAGTTATATGCGAAAAGTTTGCCGGAACCTACCTCTGGACATGTTGGGCCTTTTGTTCAAGGAACACATCGAATACATGACGATGAAGATGGTGATGCGCCTCACAAGAAGAAATATGCCAAAGAATCGTGGCCAGGCAGAAAATCGAATCAGAGCCGAGTTCTGGCATAAATAAACACTAATAGTGTGATTGTTTGCGTAAAGTGAAATGATAGACCCGCTTCAACACTTAGTATTTTAAAAATTGAAGTCTTTTTGTCTTTTGTTTTGACTTAGAAAGGTTCATGAAATCAGTTTTTAATTAGTCCTCATCACATTTTCCAAGTTATACTTTTCAGTTTGCTTATACACAAACTTTTGCTCCTATCCTTACAAAGTATGTTTAGCATTGGGGAGATCGTTAACTCTTCGTAGTAAACACTGGTTCTTACAATTGAATAAATAATCGCGTTTTTTTTGTCAAATGCCATTAAATTTGAATCAAGTTTTTTTTTTGTTCATGGTATTATATGAGAGCAAAAATTCTCGAAGTACTGCACTGCTAATTTATTCAAAATACGCTGTTGATGCGGTGATTTTCTGTGAGTCTCATGCGGATGTATTTAATAAAGCTTTTGGTGATGTGTTTCCACTAACTAAAGGCTTTAATCCTTCAAAATTCAGTTTTTCCCTAAATTTGATTTTCTAAAGGATTATTAGTTTTTAAGTGAACACTAAATGAAAAGAATTGTGTACAGGAGGCTGACGGTATTGGATATTCTGTTCTTGAAGATAAGGGTGCAGTACAAAATGTTTAAGCTTAGGGTTGGAGTGAACCGAGTGGATTAGGCCTGGGTAAACTGATGAACCGATAAAGCCACACTAAATTAATGAATAGAAAGTTGTGTCTCCATTGTTGAAGTGTTATTAGAATTTTGTTTTGTTCAGTAATGGATATTGCAGATTGTGTTTTTAAAAAGTTCAGTTTATTACTCACATAAATGGAAGACCCAGATGGCTGTGGAGAAGGTAATAATGAAACGAGTGAAGAGGAGAAAATGCTATTAGATCACTGCATACGACATCTTAATCGTAAGTGTTACATGAGTGAAGCATTGTATGATCATATAATCAATTGAAACTTTAAAGCTAATTATCCGGGATCAGAAGTTGGTACCAATGAATGAAGCATTATGTTATCATATATCAATTGAAACTTGTAAGCTAATTATTCTCTGAGACCAGGGGCCACTTTGCACGTTTTTTTATTTTTTTTACCAATTTTAATTTTCCTGGATTTATTAATTATTAGTTAAAGAGTGAGACCAATTTAAATTGTTGATATAACATGTTGTGAATTAAGTGAGCATCAAATTCCAGTTCCCGATTTCGTTATGGAGCCACAAATAGTTGGTGTATTGCAAACATTTTTTCGATGTGGTGGAGATCCGGAAACAGTTGTTAATTTACTTTCTGAAAACTACTGCTCAATGGGCCAAGTAAAAAGTCCATCTTTATGATAAAATCTAGATGTATTAGTAAACAGTATGGCATATAAAAAAGTTATAAAGCAAATTATGCCTTAATAATTAAGCAAAGAATATAAGTGAACACTGAGATAAATCATAGCAGCATAAGATGTTATACATTTCACGATTACACTACAAAGAATCGTAATCGAACACTCTTTTTAAAGCTTTGTAACCTGATCGGTGACTGGTTGGCAGATTTGGAGGGTAGTCGAACAAAGGTAGACGAATGTTTTGAATCAGCTTTGAGTAGTTTGATTGCAAAGCATTTCCAACCTGAATTAGCGGATAAAATATTCGAAGCAGAAGGTGTTGGCATTGAATGGCTACCCGAATTGATCTCACATAAGTTAGTTACACTTTTCTTAATTCTGCTTTTTTAGTGATAGATTCCATAGAAACATGAAACATGACTTCTTTCAATCTTTAGCCTGAATTGGTGATTCATTTTACTAACGAATCTTCAGCAGTTTTCGGCAAGAAATTTCCTTGAAAATATGAGATTTAGTTACATTAAATTTTTTGCAGACCTTGGCGGCGACTAATTTATTCGCTTGCTGAACAATATCCTCACTGTTTGATGTTAAACTTTGCTGTAAAATTAATATCAGATGCTGGTTTTCAACATGAAATTAGTAATGTAAACACTGCAGCTCAACAGGTAAAGTTTTTCATTTGCACTTTTAATTCGACGAATTTTATGGAAGTTTTGAAAATTTATGAAAACTCTGATTATACTATTAATGTTATAGTTCAAGAAAAATGTGCATGAAGTATTAGTTTTCCATTCATAATTTGAAAAAACATTTTTTACATAAGGTCGATTAATATGGTAACATTTCGGTTTTTTATTTCAGCTTGAAATTTTTTCGCGAGTAGTCCTGTTCACAATTGATGCTGTATTTCATGAACATCGACGAGGTCCAATGACAGAAGCTTACGAAAATGCTCTTGCGGAACTTGTTCGAGTTGTGTGCCACAGTGAGCACACATATTTATATGCACAAGCGTTATTGCATGTTATATGTGAAGAAGTACGTCTCTTTAGTAATTTTTAAGAATATACCACATGTTCGGCAAGTTTGTGTAGTTGTCTATGTGAATTGAGAAAACATAGTTGCATTGAATGGCTAAAATTTTGTGAGGCAAAGTACGGACTGCTTATCCAGTATGTATTAAATTGAGTTCGATTGCGAGTCTTTCAGGAAGCTCATGAAGACCAAATCAGCTTTTAGTGCATCAGCATCAGAAGATACTTTACTTTGAATGACTGGATGGTTCTAGTAATATTGGAGACTTCCGATACTTGTAATTTGCCCTGTGTAACTTACTAGGAAACCGGAATGGCTTCTGCTGCTTGTGCACATATCTCTCAAGTGCTGCGTATGGAAGCACATGATCGTGATCAAGATACATCGGCATTGCATATTGCTTTGAAGCAATCGCATGAGGAACAGATTACATTAAGCTTATTACAAGCGATGCACACAATGATGAGTAAGCTGTGTTTGAATCCTGCGGATATCACACTACTTTATCAGGTTATTTATTCTTAAGTATCGTACATTTTTTTGTTGTTTACTGGGAATACTTTCATGGAAATGTAGTTTTGTAGCAGTACTCGTTGATTCACAATTAGTTTTAATCTTATTCACTTTTTTTCTTTATTCACTTGCAATTAAATGATTGTTTTTTCTTCTTTTCAGCAGTATGTTTCGTCAAACCCGCCACCAGTTGAATTAATTCGAGAGCATTTCTTTGTTGACATGTTAACTGATTCACTTTTCGCATATGAAGGAATCAAGGTTCATGTTGATCATCGTCCGAAATATGTCTACTTGCTGGCATATGCATCATGTGTTGGTGAACAGAAAACAAATACCGGCCGAGTACAGAATCGACAAGAACTAAACATGACTCGGGATACCATTGAACGAATAGTTAGTTTGCTGGAAAAGACAGATGACCTTATGAAGGAAATGAAATCATTGTTATATGCAATACGTCTTCCTGTCATTGCCGCCGGATTGTTATATTATTTACGTGGAAATCTTTTAAGTGATGAATTTATTAGTGAACCGGAACCCGTTCACTTCGTATTGCTTGACCAGATTGCTACAACACATTCTAATTTACAACTAGGGTATTTTTTAATACCTTTTCTTCATAGTTAATCATCTCATTTCCAATCTTTAGAGTTTTTAGAGCTGTTTATAGTATTGGTTGACTAAATTGACTTTTTTGCAAGTATTCTAACCAGTTTAAGTAGGGATCAGTCTTTTTGGAAATTCTCAGATATATCTTCGTGAAGTAATGCCAGTCATCAGGCGTCTTACATGCTTTTATAGTATTTAAACTGTTTTATGTTGCTACATTTTTTAAAAGCGTTATAAATACAATAATATTACTTCCATGCTTTTATAATTTCGATAATTTAGACTTTTCGATAATCTACTTTCCATCCTTGACAGGTTGGTAAGTTTTCAGAGTTTTCCAAATATTGTGTGAGCTGTATGATAGACAGTCAACAATGAATGAAGCTGCTGAAGTTATTATGGAGAAACAGCGCAGTATAATCGATCGCTTCGTTCATTTATTATCTGTTGGTTTAGCTTTACCAATTGTTGAAAAGATTAACAAAATGTTTCGTGATGGTCAAATTGACATTTCTCTTGTCAGGTAATCTTTTACTACTTTTCATTCAAAGTCTTTGACATAATTTAATTTTCACTTTACAATATCAGAAATACCGTATTCTAACACTACCCCATCGCACAAGTCACACATTAAAGTCCGGAGAAAAGTTGTTGGTGTCAGCCCTTCAATCACTTCATTTTTGCTTGAAAAGAGATGGGGAAAATGGCAGATTTTCTCTAATTAAATTCACTTAAAACCCGCCTTAAACCTCACCATTATTTAAATTCAGATATTTCGCGATTGAAGTCCTCGAAATTGTTGCTCCACCTTATTCGGAAGATTTTATTGGTGTTTTTCTACCAATTGTTTCAAATTCCGAAATTTTCGATCAAAATATTAGTGACAAAATTCCTGCCGCAAAGGAATTCATTGATCATTGCACGCCTCTGACCTGTGAAACTAAATCATCGCAATTCAGTGATATTCAGCAGCGCTAAAAGCCACTAATCCATCATTATGTACAAATTAAAATTTCTTTCCCTATTTGGGAAAAACGAACAGGAGAATAGTAAACAACGTCTTGTATTTATTTCCACGCCAAATGAAAACGTTGTATGGTGATGTGTAGACCTTTGCAAGGTTCAAGGAATATGCTGCTGCTTTCGCGAAATGTTAAGCTAATGTGGCATATCCGGCTTGAAAATTCCCAACTCAAAGTCATCTGGCTTTTGATTCTCACAAGTTTTCGGATTTTCTCTAAACGAAGGTAAAACTGGAGGCGTTGGGCCGCATCTTGATATCAAGCCATCGAGACGCTTGCATAACACTTTCTGCAATACATGTGTTTCCACAACGCATCTGTTTAATTGTTTAATCATCTATTTAATTAATCATTTGTATCAATCAACATTCATTGGTTATATTGCTTTGTAATTTAAAGCATTTATTGCACATGTTTCTAAATTTCCAATTTGTTAAAGCTTACAATTAGTGAATCTTTTCACAAGCCGATTTTAAGTCGTAAGCGATAAAAAAATGCCAGCACCCTATAGTTAAGTAATATTCCTAATATCATCTGCGGTTTGTGCGTGATTAATTTATTGTTCGGTAAGTAGAATTCAGATAATATGCTATCATCTGGCCCTAACAATGTTTCATTGTTTTTGTTCCTAGTTGATTAAATGGGCTTATAAACTACTACCATTCATTGTGGTCATCCAAGAAACTGTAGTTTGAAAAACTCTTAACATTAGAGAACCAAAAAGTAAATACAGAGAAAAATCTATTGAGATTAGTGCTTCACGAAAACAATCAATCTTTCATGAATGTTATGCAACATAAAGGTAGCGGACAATGTACAGGTTTCTAATAGCACCAGTATTTTTAAACAAATCGTCTAAAGACTATCTAATCTCGATGTTCTGATCCATTTCTAGCAATGGTCCATGTTGTTTGCTAAAGATGCTTTTATTCGAGGAAGAATAACATATCGATCGGTTCAATCATATTTTGTATTACAAAAAAGATACTTAAATTCTCGTGAGCACTTGGGCACTGGACTGTCAAGTACTTTAGCGAATTTCATTCAAGAACTTTCATGAAAGATTATCCTTTAGCTTTAACGTAGCGATCGCTGATTAATTTCCAGTTCGCAATTTTCCAAATAGCTTTTACGAAATCTGGTCGTACATTTTTATATTGCAGGTAATAAGCATGCTCCCAAACGTCGATGCAAAATAGTGGGATGAGACCTAAACATAAAGATCAAATGAAATGTAAAGTTATTCTACCTGAATACTTTTCTCAACAATCAAACATTCTTAACATTCATTACTTTGAACAGCATGCCACGTACTTTTCATACGTAATGTTTATTAAAGCAAGATCTATTTTGTCACAGTTACACGATGTAAACACTGACATCACTTTGATTAAGAAAAATGAGTAAACATGATTGGAGTTTCCACGAAAATTCCTATTCCACTTTTGTTATGCTTACCCGTTGTTGGCTGTAGAAGATCTTGGTTGGGACAACAAGCAAGTTGCAAACGCTTCATTTCCTTGTCATAAGCAAGCCATCCCCACCCAGAACCTTGAATCGCAATTGTTTTAGCACTTAACTTATCTTTCATCGTTTCCAAACATCCGAAATCCTTCTTTATAGCAGTCATCAATTCAGCTATAAAGAGAATTTCTGTCACAACAACAACAAAGGAACTTGTAAAAGATCTATTGACGTAACCATCGTAAAGTTGCATTGAACATCTGCATTTATCAACAAAACTTTTCGAGCTTTAAAAGCAGTTTACTCATTTTCTAAATATTTTTCGAAATTATAAGCGTATATCACATGTAAAAAACTTAGCATTCAAACTACATAATTGTTGAAACCGCATATTTTTATCCAAAGCATTAGAACATATTCCACAAAAAAGCCAGATTTGTATCACGTCAGACTAAAAAGCAACTTACAGTCTGGTTCTCCGCTATCCTTTATGGCAGTCAATCCTTCCCAAAACATTGAGTGATTAATGTGACCGCCAGCGTTGAAATTCATTAGTTTTGTACCAGCAACAACAGCTTGCGTATCTCCTCCAAAAAAATAAAACTGGAGATGATTGCAGTATTAACTCATACAGCACCTTAATTTTTTATCCAAAGCATTGGAAATATTCCACAATGTGAAAAGTGAAATCAGGCTTGTATCACAACAAAAATGCTCAAACTATAAAAATGTTCCACACAACAAAAATGTTCCACACAACAAAATGCTCAAACTATAAAAATATAAAAATGGATTGATATTACGTGGGGTAAAATCACTTTGATTTCTGGGAAGCGATGCTGTTTTCCATTTTTCTAAGTCTAAGCCTCACGAATGGTAATTTATCTCAGGATGAATCAAAACATGATACTTTTTTTATTTCACTCGGAAATATGTTGTTTAAGACTTTATCTCTCTCCATTCGGGGTATTTAGCCTATTTTTTCCATTTCCAACATTTTTGTGAAATGTTCGCATACCTTTTGCTAGCGCTTCTTTTACTTTCTCTTCTGCTTGATTAAGAGCATTTACATATGCAGCGTGGTGTTTGCCGTGATGAACTTTCATAATTTCGGCCGACACTATCGGCTCCAAGGCTCCATAATCGTATGGTAAATCAGGAAGAGTATGTTTTAATTGTCGTAAATTAAAACCATAGCTGTAAACATCAAATCCGATAGGTTCGAATGATTTTTTTTATTTTTAGGAATTTTTCTATAATGATCTTCAATTAAAGTCCGCTAAGAGACTTTCGTACCAACTCATTTCCTTAACCCAACAACTTGGACTCCTTTTTAGCTCATTATAAGTTACCTTATGTTTCAAGTAATTTAATGAAATCAAACACAATTTGCTAATAACTCAGTAAGTTGGAAATTTTACTAATTTACTTTTTGCCAACCAATATGCGATCTGCAACGCCAATAATCAGATTCATCAGTAATCTGTAAAAGAATTTTATAAGCGAAAAATATGGCACGAAGCGACTGCTCACAACGACGACCTATTTGCAGTAATTCTCGAAGGTGTACAAACAGCTTACATGTGCCAAAGCAGATATGCATATTCCTTTGAATTTGGAGACAGCCGCAGCGGTAACGAATTAGCTGAAGTTGATATGAAACATTCTGCGATCATGCATTCTCCGCTCAACAATCTTCATTTCATATCCTAATACATAGAGATACTAACAACATATACTCATTGACGCTTCTTCTACCGAATATGCAGACCTAAGACTACCACGCACAGCACCAAATGGAGAAGACTAAGGCACAACATTGAAGGACCACCAAAAAAGAACTTTTAACTAACCGTGTCGGTTTGAATCCAGCTGTAAATCTCCGCTCTACTGTTCCTTCACCCAAATGTCACTCGTCTCCACACTTTTCAACCTCTTCTTATAAACATCATTCTCTGCGCTCTCTTCTCCATTACACAATCCCTTACAATCATATCCTCACTCATGTCAGTATCATCGACGTCTGACTCAACACCTCCCACTCACGTGTCATTCCTTAAGTTTTCCCAATTTATCTCTGTTATTTGTGCATCTGTGCGGACTTAACATGGATGTGTGTGCGTGCATGTTTGTATTGCTGTGCATTTATGTTTTATTGTGCTTCACTTAATATGAGGTTAAAGGATAATTAGTAGCTAAATAGTTTCTTATGTTGCAATTCAATAAAATTCATTGGAATATGCTCTTTTGACCGTATTGCATTTACACTCCGAAATTTTCATTGCTTTTGTTATATTTATTATTCGAACAACCACAATATTTTCAGGTTTTTCTGAGATTTCATCACTTCTGGCAATTTTAAGACGATTTCAGTAATGATCAAAGATTACTTATACCACCTGTCACGAACATGTATTAACATATATATAAGGGATAATTTTTTCTTGGAATAAGGTAAAGATTCTCCAATTTTTGTATCGCTTATAGGATCTGATTTAATGATTAGAAGAACAATAGTTTATGGTTGTTTCCAGTTGTTTGTTTTATTCATTCCCTCATGCTTTCTCATTTTGGTCATTGCCTGATTTGCTTTTATCTATACATTTCCTTATTTTTAATTGAATTCTATTTTGCTGTTCCATAATGCATGCTAAGATGGCTTTAAAGCTATAAATATAGTTTTCATTGAAAATTTACCTATTTTTTACTGTTGCATCGTATCGTGCGGTTGAGACTTTGTCAAGCTGTACAAAACATTTAACGTAGATTTGAAGGTGAAACTATTTTCCATTTGGTCATTGCCTATTAGAGAGACGCAGATGATCACTGTTAAGCTTGACTTAGTAGTGACATAATACGACAAAGTTTTTGTTCTAATATGAATTTGATTTCAGAATAACTTGAAGAAAAGTGTTTATTTGGTGGTTGGTATTGCTTCGCACTAAGAAATGGGTGCTAATAATGCAGCAATGAACTTGGTGAGCAATCCTACATATATTTTGAGTAAGACATTACCATTTAAGAACTTGATCAATTTATTCACTTGCCACACACTTGTCAATACCTCGATTTTAATGCTAAAACATTTGTCTTTCTGTAACTTATTTTTAAAAACTTGATACCTCAAAGAAGATTCGTAATTATATACTTTGCTGTATAATATCATTAATAATTAAGAAATTAAATGAAACTTAGAGTTCATAATGCATATATGCTTCTTATGTTCGTCTGACCTGATTTCATCGATTTAGGATGTTTTAAATTAACAGATGAAACACACGATATCAGAGACGAGGAAAATTAAAAACGATTTGTGCTGTGATGCATTTAATAATTTCTTGTTTATATAAATTATCAAGCAGACATTTTTTTCTCGACTTTAATTTTTTTTGTTTGATTTCGATAAGACAAATTTAATCATAGCATGAAATTTGAAATTTGCCTTTATATGAAGTCTTTATGTAAAATAATTATTGTTTTTATTTATCACTCTCTCTGAAAGTCCATTTTGCTTGCAACTATTTAATTGAATATTGTGAAGATTGCTACCAGATACTAATATTAAAGTTTATGGTAAAGTATAAAGAATCATGAAAGGCTGGAGAGGAAGCATTTCGCAACTTTTGAAAGTTGCTATTGGTTTAATGGGCACTAATTCCATCATGAATATAAATTTCAGAACAATCGGGACTATAATGTAGAAGTGGACCAAGAAAGATGGATAAGGGGAACGGGAAGTTTTATTTCGGATAATCCGTATTTGGTTGAGGTTTGTTTGGTTACAGCTAGTTTCGAATTTAGTTAAGTTTTTTAATTCCACAAAATTTCGGTCGTTTCGATTATTATAAAAAATAGAGACACTGTTTTGAAATCAAAATTAGTATTTGCGGAATATTTCAATTATCGCATCCAGTTTTTCGGTTACATACATATAGTTTGCTTATTTTTCAGAGTGCCTTGAATTTAAGGCAGATGACAGCAGCTCTATCTGGTGCTATTTTTCCGGAGTTATCGGTTCAAAACATGTTAAGAACTCGAGAAATAGGTAAACGAGAAAGACCGAAAAACCGCCGCGTACTTGCTGAACAGAATACATCGGTTTCTTCCATAAGCGGTGTTTTCAGCCTTGGTGAAAAAGCTTCTATAATCAACAAGTGATTTCTTCACAATTTCATTTTCATAGATTTTGATCAAGAAATATTGCATAAGGAATGTAGAAGCTCTTTATGCATAGTTATATATCTTAAATGCACACACTCTTCAACGTTGTACATCAATTGTGCTCGACAAAATAAATATTCACTTCAGCTCCCATTCATGTCTCTTCCATGCTTTCGATTAAAATATGGACTGATTTTTCTTTCAATTTTTAACTCGCTTTTAAATTTTTTTTTAGATATCTTCCAAACCAAAGAACTGTGATCGAAACAGTAAACACAAAAACATTCTGCTGTTTGTATTTACCGCATAATAGAATTGTTACCGCAAGTCAAGGTTATATATGTTTCTTTATTTTTTTTTCAAATTTTTGTTTGATTCACTGAAAATATTATAGAGAGATCAGCGAGGACGGATCAAAAATTATTGATTCATTGCAAAATGTTTTTTTCATTTCGTGATTTGAGAGATACTTGCTTTTATTAAATACTAGTCTTTACCATATTAATGTGTAGTGTGTTTTTACTTTCTCGATGATTAGAAAAATTGATTTCTAGATGATAAGTTACGTTTTTATGTACGACAAAATCATCTGCAATCAAAATATACACTGGTGCAGCCAACAATTCAGTATTCAGTTCCCGACGTTGGCTGGAGTATTCTTGATATAACTGTTAATTCTGTCGGTAGTCAAATTGCTTACTCAACCTGGAGCGATTCCGGTATGTTTTTTACAAATAAGAATTAATCGTTATGGTCAGCATATTTTGTGATGCACTTCCGATGTTTCGGAGCTTTCAAACTCATAGCTTAGATCGCAAACCAACCCGGAAGGCAATTGGCTGACATGGGCTAAGCAGTATGTTCTAAAAAAAATTTTTTTTCATACTTCAATCTCTATCTTCCTAAGATGTCTGTTTATTGGCCCTGTTTTTCTTTCTATTTCAATAGTTATTTACCATATTATTTTAATAATGCATCTTATACTTCTACTACCATGTGGAATAATGATCTCGTTGCTTTTCGATTATCTCGTGAGATAGCAATGTTTTTTGATAATTTTCAACCATAGGGGTATGCGAAATGTTATTCTCAAATTATTTTTCATTTTGTTTTCTCAAATCCTAAAATACATTAAATCTTTTCTCATTAATTTCTTACATCTTTTTATTTATGCTTCTACTACTATTTTATGACTGGTATTCTATATTTTCAGTTCCAGTTCACTGTAATTATGATATAAATGATCCGATATTAGTTTGTTTAGTTCCTTCTTCATAATTTCATGTTTTAATCATAACAGGATTTTCCCGTTTAACTTCGTCACTTCGCATGTAATGGTTAGTTTTTCATACTTGTCAATTAGAAACAACTGCTACGTATTTATTATTGATTTCTTTATATAGAATAGTTGATTAATTTATCTTTTTCCTCATCGATTTTTGATTCGTTTTGAATTTCCTTCCGTATCTGGAGAAGATATTTATAGAAGTACATAAAACTGAGGATCTCCTTAAAATATCCAGCGTCTGGCACCGATTTTTTCAACTAAACGCTGTCAACTGTCAATTGTTAGGGTAGTACCTTTTTTTATCATATCTTCTAGAAGAAATTTCTTGGATACTACAAAAGCTATTTAATGTCCATGGATCCATGTGCATAATAAGTTGTGCCTTTTTTGTAATCTGTTTATGTCAACTTTATCATTCAACTTATATGATTTTTCGTTGTTATTTTATCATTTACAAATGATCTTTCTTCTCGATAGATTTTGGGCAGTTTCAATTATAATCCCTTCTATCGAAAATATTTTGCATGATTAAGTTATTGTCCTGTCATGGTGACTCTTTGCAGCATAAATTAGAAATTTTATGCTAAACCTATATACTTTATTTGATCCTAGACCCAACTAGTGTTTAGCGTTCCTGATGTTTCACAGGATTTCACAGGATCATGAAATTTGTCATTTTTTGTGTTGAGTTCCTCTATTCCAGTCCAGTTTGCTTTCTTTTTCAATTCTGGATTACTCTAAAGGTGTCTTTACTTCTATATACCAGATGTAACCTGGACATAACTTGCCCAACGTCGAGCGTTTTGTGAAGTAGTTATTGACTTTGCCCATATTGAGCCACATGCACTTCCTATCTTTTCATCGCGGCATTCATCCATTATTTTACGATTTTATAACTTCCTTTATTTCAATGTTTTTTGTGTTCTATCTTTCAAGATCTTCAAAAAACTCATTTACTTCTAAACGTAAAAGTTTACTTTTCAGTTTCGGTATATTTTGTTTTTCTTTGCGTAATTTTGCAACGATTTTTTTCTTATGGCCAAGACATAATGAAAATAGGTCTGTTGCTGAAAAAATTAGAGAAAAATGATAATAATTTATCAACGTTTCGATAACTTCCTGAAAATAGAAATTTCACACATTTCAAATAACGAGATATCTTATAATTGTGGATTTTGATTTTACAGTTCATTATACTGCTCTTGATCAATTGGGTGATCATTTACATTGGAATACGTTCACCGGAGCAGAATTGCCTCCATCACGTTCCAACAGGTAAAGTGTTTTTATCTCTTCTCTTTTTCATGGTCAATTATTATTTTGATTCAATACAAATTTTAAGGATTCTTCAATCTAAAATTATCTATCGACTGAATCAAATATCATGAAACATTTGAAGGACACATTTGAACTTTTTATTATTGTAATTTTCTGATTCTGATTATTACCTTAATCGGGAATTTACTTGTCATTCTTCATACAGTGTTTTTTTCATAATTTTCAGTAGTATGCAATTTCAGATTTGCATATTTTTCCTTGCGATATAACATGGATGACAAGTATGTTATAGCCGGTGGATCGGATGGTTTTGTATACCTATTTTCTCCATCGTTACCTCGTTTCCAAATGGTTACTTTTCAATCTTTTCGTGTAAAACCAGAGTATGGAATGATAATTTGAAATGATATGCAAAAAATTTTCAAAGCATAGGCGGATGCCTCTGAACTGAAAAGACAATAACTGATTTAAGCGTGCAATATTCGAATGTGCAGAATACTTAGAGTTCTAAAAATCATTGCGTAGAAATCAGATTTAAGTCATCCTAACAAATGTACAACTGGCAATTCTGTCTTGTTATTTGTTGCTTCTCTTGTGAAAGTGTTATCGATACAAAATATCAAGAATATATGTATGATTTTGAATTGGAGATTTAAGACAAATTTTAAGTTTTGTTACAGTTCCCAGCTCATAAGGATGATGTCAATGCAATTTGTTGCAGTAAAGTTAATCCTCATATTTTTTGTAGTGGAAGTGATGATGGACTTTGCAAGGTGATTAAATTTATTAAAGCCTTGATAAAGATAAGGAGAATAAGTAATTGTTAAGGAGAATAAGTAGTTGAATGATAATTCAATATAGTTTTGAAGGAATGAGATAAGTATGTCCTAGGATGAGTGACATTTGGTTCTGCCATTGAAAAATTGAAAAGGCCCAGGACGACTAAGTTTCGATTCTGTTAACTTCTGAGCCCTGCACTGAATAATTAAGTAATTGCAGAATAAATTTGTATTCAGGGATCAGAGATGTTTTATCATTAGTGGTACATTTGAATATTTGTTCTTATGTGTGTAGGTATGGGATATTCGTTTGCTTGGAAGCGCTAAAGGTCCCGTTGGTGTGTTCGCAGGGCATCGTGATGGTATCACTTACATTGACAGTCACGGTAATGATAGATACATCTTGACAAACTCCAAAGATCAGTCTATTAAGATTTGGGATTTGCGACGATTTTCTTCAAGTAATGCCGAGGTATTCCCATTTCCTCTAATTTTTTAATCAGTTTTTATTTCGTAATTATATGGTGTAAAAAGAATCTCCAGAGTTTGCACACTTAATTGCTGTTAGAATGAGCATAAATAATAAATAGTATCAAAGTACAAGAATTTATGTGTATCCCTAAATTTCAAATAAATAAAATGGAAGTCTTTGCGTTTGGGCGAACTGATAATTTTGTCTGTGATTAAAAAAAATTAAGGAAGTGATTTTAAAGAGGGGAGTTTAACTAGTAGTGTGACGATTATGTTCCATTAGTGGAAAACCATTAACATACTACGTCTGACATGCAGTCATGTCATCATATGGGAAAAGGGGAAAGAGGATTGCACTGCATGGACTGACCTGACAACATACGTTGGCATAACATGATTCCATCAATATTGGCTGTCGTTTAAAGAAAGTGAGATGATTTTAAAAACTAAACATTTTGTCGCATTTATGTGCTGAATGTTATGGAGTGCACAGCAAATCAGCCTCAACTAAGTATTATTGGTATAAATGAAGTTAGACCTATTGAGACATTTGTTGTCACTTCTTTCTAATATTCTGAGTTTTTTTTAGAAGGTTACGCTTAATGCAGTGCGAAAACAGAGATGGGATTATAGATATCAGCAGATACCGCCGATTTTCCAATCTGTGAGACCTTTGCAAGGTCTTACTCTCGTTGTTAATAATATTAAAGTCTTTTTTTTTCATAAAAACCACTTTTTAAGAATTGACATATTGACATATGGTGACACCCTGACGTCAGAATTGGCATGATGAAAAATAATAGCCAAGTATGGTGAAATAGGCCAACATATTAGAAAAAAATTTTCTTGTTTTGAGGATTTGGCAGATATTATTCTAAATGGACGAATATCTGCTGTCGAATGAGAATTAATAATGCACATAAAATACGTTAGGTGATGGATCATTATTAACTTTTCGAGGACATTCAGTGCAGCACACTCTCATTCGGGCCAAGTTTTCACCAGAACGAACTGGTTTTCGCTATATATACACCGGTAGTACAGAAGGGAATTTGCACAGTTAGTTTTTGTAGAACTTTTGAATTCTAATATTTTAGTATATCAAACGCATCCCGTATAATAGCATATCTGCTAATTATTATATTTAGCATTGAAGATTGAATGATTCATTTTACAGTTTATGACATTTTAACGGGACAAATTGTGCGAACGTTGGATGGACACAGAAGTGTAGTGCGTGATTGTTGTTGGCATCCTGACGAAAACGAAATTATCACTGTTTCAGTGAGTTCTGCAACCACCTAATTATGATGACGGCATCATTTCACTGTTCAAATTTACTAGTTATCGATCAAAAGCTCCGATGAATGAAAATCAGTGAAATCGGAAAACAATTAACAGTTCTTTTAATTCTTTAATTTTGTGAATAAATCGAAACATTTATTTAGTGGGATGGAGTAACAGCCAGATGGTATTACAATTCGCGATGTGATGATGATCAGGAGGAAGAGCTGGATCGGGTAAGTGATTCAAATTCATTACCAGATTATGATGACGATGACGACGATGATGGTGATGGGTATAGCGTTAGTCATAGGAGAAGTAGCAGACATCAGCATATGAAGAGCCATCGGAAAACAAATAATACTTCTTTTCCTTTTGTTCGACGTCGTTGAATTGCCCTCTTAGTTTCTAAATACTTTCAAGCTTTCTCATAATTTTGAATGTTAATACACCTTTTGAAGATTGGAAAGAGCATGCAACTTGAACATTCTTCAAACTTGAATTGTATTCGATGTTTTTACTGATGTTTTGTAAAATTTCCAGTTTTTCATCAACTCCATGTATTATATATACCTTGTGCTGAACTGTATTCCATGTTGTTACTGTTATGTACATTTGTACTGCGAATCATTTCCATAAGGCTTTTGAGTTAAAATTTAGTTTAGTTTAAATTATCTCTAACCCTATCCCTTGCCTTATATACTGGCCTAAGACACTTTATTTTCTAAACTTCTCAGGCTAGTATAGAATTTGAAAATATTAGAGTTAGACTTTCCCTCTCTTCATTTTATTTCAACTCCCATTCTATTTTTCTTGAAGTCTGGATTTCTGGAACTTCAGTGGAATGAGTTCACAAATCTAAATTGTGATTTTTTGTAATTCTGAAGCGAAACGCAATTTGATATGTTACTGTCAAAAACAGTGAAATCGTACTTCCTTACCTGTTACTATAAAAACCATCGACTGACTGAGTAGAATGCTTTGAGAAGTGGTATCCTACCTTTCGTTAAGAAATTTAATGTGCTCGGGGTATCTAATCAATCACGAATAGCGTTAGTTTAAGTATCTTCACAATGAGTTTGGAACGAAATTAAATTCCTTACCTAAGAAGATATTTACAGGCTATTCTGAACTTATGGGAATAATGGAAGTAATACTGATATGAACATTATTCATGGCATTGCACAGCTCCGTGCTACTATTGATTTTAAGTGAATGTTAACAGCAAGATGTCTATTTTTCTATAATTTGAAAATATTGATATTAATTGTACAAATAAAATTTTCTTTAAATGAATTCATTCCTGCAGTTAAATAATTTTGATTTTACATACCTATGGTAGCAGTAAATTTAAAAGTGTGATGTATGAAAGAATAAGTTTTAGCTAGAAGAAGTTGCAATTTTTGGAATTGGAATCCATATTGTGCTCAGACATCTCTCTCGAATAAATGCGAACAGTCCAATAGAATAAAGAGAGAGAGAGAGGGAAGGAAGAATGCTTTTAAAGTTTCTATAGTATGCCCTTTAGTTCGATCAAGAGACTTTGGAGTTTAATGACCGGGCTAATTCTAGCTTCGCACAATCAGTTATCACTTCGTTCCTTACTTACTTCGTTCCGAGCCTTTCTTATTTCGCTATAAGGAAATCCGTGCATATTTTAAATTCTTTATCAGAATCAATTGGAAGTGAAGCATTTCAAAAATAATATATTTAATCCAATTAAAGTAGCCTGCTTAGAATCAATATAACATTAGAAAAAGCGTTCATCCTACTCTCTTCCCTCATTCTTTAAATGTCCCGGAAAATCTTTAAATGTCTTTAAATCTCTGAAAATATAAATGGATAATGACAAAGTGCTAAAATGCTGATACTTCTCCCATAAATTTAATATAAGCAATTGTCTTTATGATTTCAGTCAATTTATTTGTTGTTAGTTCTCCATTGGAAGCATTACTAATCATTGAAATATCATTAATTCAACGCTATTATCAATCGGATTTGATTCAAAAATCAATATCATTCCATGCATCTCATATAAAGCTATCATTGATATAAAAGCGGTTAAGTATCATTTACGTCCATGTAAAGAGGAACAGTGGAAGAATGAGGCATTAATTAATTCACTTACTATTTACTGCAATTGTTTGCATAACAGATCTCAAGAAATGTTTTAGAGCAAAATTGAGCGGTTACTTTCTAACGACTTTCTCCTTTTAATGTTAGTAAGTTGTAGGATATATATTAGTCATTTATGATCGCTCAGATATTCTGATTGATTTAGAAACTGTTCAAAATAAATGTAATGAAGAGGTCAGTAAAAATGATACTGTTGCTTATAAGTTTCCCAAGCGATTCTGACACCATCTCTGAGATTTATCGGATTTCGCAAGCTGTCAGTAAAGTAGTTGCTTGAGAATTATTGTTAATGTTGTTTTGTAAATGGACTGAATCAGCTGAAGAACAGCTTTGAAGGAGTACTGGAACAATTATATTATTCAGACATGTTCAGTTTGCCTCTATCTCATAATTCTTGCTCGAAAAGCTTCTAAATGTGAATTCAAATGCAGAATGTCAGTTGCAGATTTGATTTGCATTCCGTAGAATCAAGTTTAGTTAGCATTGCGAAAAAATTCTTCAAGATACATCACCGAAATCTATCATTTCTGAAATGTACTGGAAATCGGATTGTTGCCAATATATTTCAGGGATGATAGACAATGTTTATTGGATTCCGCGAAGGTAAAATAATTGAACTATCTTTGCTATACAATTGTTTGCATTATAATAACACACGGTCAAATTTTTTTGAATTGTTGGTGCTAAACTTAATGAATGTGAACTGTATGAAGAGGCAATTTCATGGTCAAAGATTATAGACCCCAGATCTCATTGAAGAAACTCCTAAAGGAAGATAATCAGTCATCTTAGAAACAAAAGATAAATTTCGTAACCCTTAATGTAAAACATCCTCACCTATCTCGTAGCACACTTTAAATTCCAGTTTCTCGAGGAAAGTTTAGTAACAGAAAAAAATTATTCTCCAATTCAATCCAAATTTTTTAAAGTTTGGAAAGCGTTCGATAACAGTAAGCCACCACTCAGTACACAGATCACCCGGAAAACCTTTGAGCTTTTCTCTTTTTGCACGATTGCACCTGAAGAACATTGATTTAGCTTAGGGTGTCAAAGTATACGCTAAATTTTTATGCTGTAGGACACTTCCCAACATTCAAGAACTTTCTTTTACATATTCATCCACAAACACGAGCAAAATTTGCAACAAAATGGCCTATATCATTGAAAAAAAACCTTCAAATATCATTGATCAAGCCGTAACCTGAACCACATAACTTAAAAACCAAAACATTTAATATTAAAAAAGTTTGTTCCTCGCCATTTACACATAATTAAATAACCATCATTCAATGCGCATTCTTTGTATGAATTGTGATGAATAACTGGGAAAATGAAAACAGAGAACTACCGCAAGCAGTAGAAAACAATTCGGTAGCATTTTTAAGAGTTTTTTTCTCCAAAAATACCACCATTCCTTGTTGTCCAAAATATTTTAGTCATCTTATCTACATATTACGATTTTCATCACACATTCATGATTATTTCCAGAGAATTAAAAAGTGCTAAGGTCCACAACAGTGACGAACGATTTCGAAATAATTTGTCAACTAAAGTAATCTCAGTTTCATGGATACTGAAAGTAGTTTGATAGTAGGAAAAACTGCGAAAGGAGAGGAGACGGTGCAACAGCTCCGTCCTCAACATTTGTAAATTTTGTTTTATCAAAATTCTCCTTAAACACTACCAAAAATCATAATTACTTTCTTTCAGCTCCAAAGGAAAACACGAGATCTTACATGCATAACGTTTATGCTTGAGAGACAATATTTTTTGAATAAAACGAAGCAAACTTGATTCAAACATTCATACTCTTATACAACAATAACAATGGCCGCAATCAATCTGTTAAACAATTAGAGCTGACGACAGCATGGCAATTAAAAAGTAAAAGAATTATCAAAACTGCGAAAAGAACAAGGACAATTCCAAAGAAAATTGAAACTCTTAGATTATAAAACAAATCTAATTATTAAAAAAAAGAATGCAACGTCATTATCAATAATAGCTTAAATTAAAAATCGGCCGATACATGAAACCGTAGATTGTGGTGTTGAGAGAAACGAGGTGTATATTACGCAATACAACAGAGAAATCAAGTGATCTCTTTCCTTTATTGCAAAGTAGAAGATTGAACAACCACAATTAAGATGAAAGGATTTTGTACTTCTTAGCTTTCAAAAAAAGTGACGAAGCGTCAATATACTTCATATCTTAAATTACTTTAACTTGTGTTGACTACTTAGTTTCCTCGATCCAAAATACTTCCGGAGCTGTTATGCATTTCGCTCCAGCCGGATCAGATCAAACAACATAGAACTTTACGTAAATAATAGTGATCGACATAGTCTTTCACTGTACCTTAAATAGATAGTTTCAATCTAAAATCAAACCGGAATTCATTCAAATCTTTCTGATTCAAAAAGTAAAATCTGAAAAACAGTAACAGCTAATCCACAAAATACAACAAACAAAATGTGAAAAGTTTGGGTAGCAAATTGTAACGAAAACGTTTCACTAAGTCCTACACGCCAAATCCAAACAATGGTACGATTCGATGCTTTTTCTGTCTATTCAGACAGTTTCAAAACTATGTTTAGTATGGCGCGAAAACTCCACGACGCCTGTAATAAATCAAAGTCGATATTGAAAAAAACAGATTCAAATTGAATTTCGTCAAAGATTTACTCAGACGTCAAATATGAACCCCAAATAAGTACCCAAATCACAAAAATATGAGTAATGAAATCTGCAGTTGCAAATTTGAAACCTGTAAATTCGCTTAAAAACTTCAGTTGCTATAAAATATTACCTTGGCGGTCGTCTAGCCCGATAGCCAGCGTAGATGTATTTCACAATTACACGCGTGCCTCCACGGCCACGTGTGCGCGGTGGTCGGTTTGTGGTACTTACACCAGGCCGATTTGTTCGTTTGGCACAAACCTAAAAAATACTCGTGCATTAACTTCCAGGGTGAAGAGGGAAATAGACCATCTACTATACATGATAGAAATTCTAAAAAAAAACTAGCTTTGATTTGCCGGCCTCGAAACAATGATTCATCAAGAGCTAGAGCAGTCTGCACAGCTTCTTTATCAGCAAATTCAATGTAAGCGAATCTAAAAACATGGCTTATTAGACATTTACTTAAATATCCAAATCAAGTTTTATACGCAGAGTGAAGTGACCAAAGCCATCAGGAAGTGTAAAATACATAACTGATAAATCATTTCTTTAATCCATCACTTGAAAGTGCAAGGAACCAATCACATATGAAATTTAAGCCATTGAATATTTTGGATACAACGAATTACCCTAAAAAAACAGTATGTTTTTCGTGACATAAGGCCGACTAATATGAAGTATGAAACATACATACCCTTTTGGATGACCTGTGAATTTATCTGTCAAGATTGTCACTCTATTTACGGAACCGCACCCATGAAAATGAGCTTCCAATTCCTCTGCCGTCGAACAATAATCAACCTGTAATAAGAGCATAAGGAAAAGTCCTGTAAAAAAGTCTTGATTAAAAGCAATCGGGTTTTTCTTGCAGAAATTTGCCTGTGAAATACGATTTAAAAATTAAAGAAGGAAAAGATGAATAAAAATGAAAGTGCATACATTCCCCACATAAATAGATCTACTATCTGCTTCAATTTTATCTTCAATCGAAGTTACACTTTGGGAATTATTACTGCCAGTGCTCATATTCATTTGTTTCTCAACATCACTTTGCATTTGGCGTATTAATTGAGCCTCCTCTTCAATTTCTTTCATGCGATTTGTTAATGCCTCCATATCCTAAAATATACACGTTAAGCACAGCATAACACTTGAAACATTAGCTTATGAGATAGTCCTGCACAAAATCTTCGAGGCAAGCTTGTCTCGGTAACTTCTCAATAAGAATTGTACCGTTAACAGACACCAGCAAGAATACCAGTTTGACGGGTACATTAAGCTTTTAATCAGCTAATTTTATATCTTATTTATTGATCACTTACTAAGTGAGGAAATATGTCAGCTTGTGCAATACAAAAAATGATAAAAAAGCTAATTGATTGAAATTAAAAATAAAACTATATGATGCCGTAGAAGTTAAGAAAACACATATAACTTTAATTAAACTTACTGGATCTTCGCTCATATGATCCGTGGAAGTGTGCAAATCACTGCCATTATCTAAGATATCGTCTTCTTCGATACGAATATCACCCTCATCTGCTGGCATCCCCGTCGCCATTTTTCTACTGTATTAATAAAGTGAAAGTCTCCGAGAAAATGTCGACAACTCGAAAAAGAAACAAATTTTGCTGCAAACGATCTAGTACTTACACTTTAGTATTAGCAGCTTGCATTTTGCTGTTAGCTAACCAATTCCGATAGCCCTAATGACTCATTAGCTTTTGACAAACTGAACTTCTATTGGTCCAATTCCGAAAGAAACCGGTAACAGATTAGCTCAATACCACTACAACATTTGGAACACTGTTCGAACCAACAACACCCAATGTAGGTGAAAAGTCCAATCGCCCGCCACCCACCCTATCATCCTCCCCTACCCTGCCATTACCCCTAGAAACATCCAGAGAACCACGCAACACCTCCCATCCTACAGCAAGACCGTTTTCACTTTGTGAACTATCTCATATACTGCAGCGGAGTGATTTTTAATTTGTGATTGTTTCGATTTTTTATACACTTATTAACAGTCCTCGACTTAATTAATGATCAGTAACATTTCCATTTTAATTTTAGTGTTTTGTCAATCTATAATTGAAAAGATTTGCATCGTTTTGTCTTTCTCATTGACTATATGATCCATGTAAGGGAATGAAACCAAATTTTTTCTTCTGTTTTGAACTTTAATAGGATACTCATCAAACTACTGGCATTTAATGGCATAAATCAGCAGATTGAACATCGGCAGTGTCATTAAGAAAGGTGAGTAATTGTGTTACTATGGCTGGATAGTTGGCATGATGATGATATTACTTTATTCGTTTTCAACCTCCTTTGGATATTCTGCAATTTGTTGTAATCTTCTTTGATTCCATCAGTGTCTGTGACTCAAACTGGTATTCCGTTGCCGTAGTATACAATCCTTTTGTTTTCGTTTGCAACTCAATTTCCATCTTCCATATCTCCATCAAAGTGCTCATGACCCTGTAACCTTACTATGCTGTACGTGACGTTTGGTAGCGAAAAGATACTATTTCTATCAACTGCGTAAAATAATAATACATGACTCACTGGCTAGGATCGACGATGCATTATCAACGGTATCGAAAAATGCTTTTACTAAGCCATAAAATGGCCCTGAGAGATGGGCTGCGAAATTCATAAATTCTTCGTAAATATTGGAATGATATTCCAAAACCTTTTGTTTAAACAGTCCACATCCATGATAATTATTAGGCTGCGGAAGGCGAAGAGCTTTTTGCAGTTCACTGCTGTATTATCGAGACACAGTACAGCTAGAATTCATTATCATTTTATAATTATTTATTTGCTACATCGTAATCTTTTATAATCATTCAGTTGCACTACTTGCAGATTTTATCATATTTAAAATAAAGTATGTCCTGGTTCAACAAATCACATCCTGAAGGCAGGTCACTTTTAATGTTAAATTTAAATATCTGTTGTGGAATTGGGAATTTCAACTCATTCTACAACCAGTAACTTTTCAAAAAACACATCAAGGAATAATAAGTTAATGCAATTCTAGGGAGAATGCGATCTAACGAAAGCGTTTTACGTCAGACAAATAAAAAAATCGCAAGTGACTGTAGATTGCTGGAAAAGAAGGAGAAAGAGTTGGTATTGCTTTGAGCACTTCGAATAAATCAATTTTTCTAAATTTTACTTGCATAAAACGCTTATATCTTTTACTTACCAAAGGATTTCCATGTCTTTCTCCTTTTCTAGGAGCTCGAAATCAAAAAACTCGCAAAGCAGGGTCACAAGGAAGCCTGCAATATTCTCGTCAAAGAACTGTTGCAGTTACGAAAGCAGAAAGCCAAAAACTTGAATATAAATGCACGTATGAATGCAATCAGCACGAAGAATAGGTTTTTCATTATACTTTATTGTAGTTACACATTAAATTTCATTCAGGTCTCCAACAACCTAACATTGTTGAAATGCTTTGAGGTGGAGGATCTCGATGGAATAAGTTACCTTTCATCATTTGTCTTTAAGCCAGTGCAGTCGTCAAATTTTCAGGATAGGAATGCATCAAATCGAAGTAGCTAATAATTAAAAGATACCATAACGTCGCTTTTCTGATTTTCAAGTATTGCTTCGCAATAATTTTGATTTTCAGAGAAATGTACAGCACAGGACAAATGGCTAATGTGGTGGGAAAGACAACTAATATAATAAAAAAAATAAATAAACAACTACCGGCACAAAAATTGGCTAAAAATTTGCATGAATTCGTTGAAACCCAAGAACGACTTGGTGTGACTGATGACGTATAGTCTTTTTATTGATTAAAAATTTCTGTCGATATAATTTAATTTCCAAAATATTCATTGCATATTGGAAAACGAGTAGAATTAAAAATATATAAAGTGAATAGAAAGAACATCATGAAGATGGAATTCAATAGCTGAAAGAAATTGTCTGTTACTAACTGCCTGCATATTGAGCTTTAGTGATTCATATTCGAAAAGAAAGGACAAAATGAAATTTATTAAATAATGAGACTAATTTAAATCAAATGCCTAGAGTAACCGTTTTAATAACATGGAAACAATTCACTGAGGACGTGACAGCTTTAAGGGTTCCGGTGAACCCAATATGTTCAATACTGATGCCGCTTCTCCTAATTTAATTTCTAAATTAAATATTGTTTCATCGGTTCTTCGGCCTTTTTTAAATTTCAGATGGTTTCGGATGCGTTTGATGTGATGCTAGAAGAACAGGATGGTGACGAGGAACAAGGCGCAATTATCAGACAAGTCTTGGACGAAATTGGCATAGATTTGAACGCACAGGTGAAAATTTGTAATTTCGCCGATCTTTAGCATAATTTGTTAGAAAACGGTTAAGTTTATTTTTGAAACAAATGTCCACTTTTATTAAAATTTGAGCGAAAACGCAGAAATATCTTATGAATTTTATTTAGTTGTCAAGATCGCCGCAAGTACCTTCGTCTACTGCTTCTGCCACTGAGCCGTCGAATGAATTAGGCGATGCAGATCTCGATAAGCTATTAAGTGAATTGAAGTCTTGAATGTACATAAATTTTTTTTAAAATAAGTTGCAAAAATGATTTTTATTGCCACTTAGTGGTTATGTCTTTGTACTTCATTTTTATGAGTTTTCATTAGAGTTAAGATTATATCATTTCGTATCAGCAATTACAATAACTTCGATTAAAATAATCATTTATTGCTCCTGGATCACCTGCTGATGTGATGTTCATTTCTTTATCTCTGTGAATGCAGTTTCATATTCAAATTTTTGGGACTTAAAAAAAGATCACTTAAAAGATGAGGTGCGGGATTGGAGATTGGAGCTTCACAACTTTGCATATTTGAAATTTAAAGTATTAATTCGAATTGAAAGCATTAAACTGTCAGGGCAATCGTTTGCAGCATCAAAATAATGAATTTTTTCTGGACGTCATTCAATTCTTAACCGTTTGCAACTTTGAAGATCATTTTCTATTCATTTAGTTTTAGCTGAAATAGGTATACAACACTAGGTCGTTAAGTTTTTTTTCTTTAAACGTATTTCAATTTCTTAGGAATTTCTTTTAATAGTTTTTTCCGTAACACTAACTATAATAATTCATTACAGTTAGGGCAACAGAAAGAAAGTGGAAAAGTAGATTGATCCCTTAAGCTATCGGATTAGTCGTCGCTCGAAGAGCAGAAAGTCCATCGTTTCTTTACCTTGGCTACCAACATGCTTATAGCTCTTCCTTCAATCCGCTTCATGGAACATTTGCTTCAGCTCTTTAAGTTGTCCTTAATTTCTCAAAGTTCTTGATCATTATCAATAGCAGTAAATGTGTAGGACGATGAATGGAAGTACATATGACGTTATGCAAAACGATAAGTGAATTAATTCTGGGATATGGGGAAATTGGAAAGCAATGAGTGATTGATGTCACGAAGTTTTTTCAAGAAATTTTTCTTGATAACTCATTGCAGAAATAGAATTTAACGAGCTTAAGAAAACGATGTAAGTAAGCGTGGATCTTGTAAGGACGAGTTATGAAGAAAGTACAGTATCTCGTGATTATTGCAAGGTGGTGTAGAAGATGAAAGGCTGAGTAAGTACAGCTATTCTGAAGATAAATATGAGAGGAAGCATGAATAAGCATAAGAGAAGGCCGAATGATGAACAAGAAAGAGTGGAGAAAGAATGGTAAAATTTAGAAGCACCGCTGGGAGATATTCTCTGCGATGGCTGGATGATGAGGGCAATACTTCTCAAGAACAATTACAAAAATTACGTTGATTCAAATTTAATGTCTGCAGATGACTATCATGCAATTAAACCGTCCACTCACTCTATAGAATCTATCACTCCACTTTCCTTTCTTTGTGGAGATTCTTTTCAGGAATGTGGTCAGGTCCTATTTCTTTTCAGTGTTAGCAAATGATCTTGCATAGGCAGAATAATCCCTTAGTAGAGATATAAAAAAAATTTTCCCCGAGTATTAGATGTCGCCCTAAATGCTTCGGTTTGTTCAACATCAAGGTCGGATATTTTATCAATCTGAGTTAACTTTAAATTATTGGTAGTATATTATTGACTGTCAAGAAGCAGAGATGAATCGACCAAGTTTTCAGCAGAATATGGACCACTGAAGTGCATGTAAGTTAATCGATTTCAAATTGCACGCTTGAAAAGAAAGGTGGCAGCAACTAGCTCAAGCTCATGGTTATACCAATAATTTTGCGTTTTGCTAGGAGAGCAAAAATTGGGTCGCACGCGCAAGCAGCTGTCATCATGGTGAGTGTTGGCCTTTTTTTGCATTCCGTTAAACATTTTGATCGACGTTTTTAAGGTTCAGTTTTATTTCCTCCCACCTGGTATCATTTGTTTTTCCATCATTTAATCGCCATTTTTGATTGTCAGCTATAACTAACACATTTTTCGCTTCATAATGACTTCGGCTGCTATTAATGTAGCCTAAATTAAATAATTAATAAATCATAAGTCGAGCGTTTTAAGCTGAAAAATATAACTTGGAAATTATCCTGAACTACAGCTGATCGTTAGACATTTGCCCAAGAAGTCAACATTTTTGATAATATTTGATGCAAGACTCAGTTGAGATCATCACTTCCACATGGATGTAACAATTAACACATACATAATAATACGCTAGACAGAAATGTATCTGTAACATTATTGGCATACACAATGTTCAAATTTAGACCTTGAATGAAGAGCAGAGAAAGCAATTGTTGCAACCGTTAATCGACAAAGGATGGAGAATGGTTGAAGGTCGAGATGCCATTCGAAAGAATATAGAGTTCAAGAATTTTAATGAAGTAAATATTTTCATTCTCCATCTTCTGTTTATCTCCGGAAAAATCTACTTTATGATTAAAATTTTTAAACGTTTTTCAGGCGTTTGGTTTTATGACACAGGTAGCAATGTATGCAGAAAAAATGAATCATCATCCGGAATGGTTCAATGTATATAACAAGGTTAGATGTTTGCTTCTTCGCTTTACATCTAATGGCTTCTTTATTACAGAAATGTACAGAATAGTAGTTAGAATAAGACACTGATAAGTTTTAGATTGAAGTGACTCTAAGCAGTCACGATGTGAACGGCTTGTCGGAAAGAGACATAAAACTGGCCAGCTACATCGAAAAATTATCCAGCTAATGGGAGCAATCAAGAATTCAGCATTGTTGGACATGTCCAAAGATACTACATCATTTTACTATGAAAATGATTTACCTATACTTTAAATTCTAGATTTTAGATTGCGATCACATTGCACGTAAATTTTAGTTTGTGATTTTGTTCGTTATCTAAATTCTATTTGCACAAAATGACAGTAAAGTAAGAAATTTACCAGAATTTTTCCGAATAAAGCATAAGCTATATATGAAAGGTTGGCATTTTTTTTTGAAGAGAATTACTTGTAAGTACAAAAAATATTTAGAAATCAAAGCGATGAAGATTATCTTAAATGCATAATGCCTCGTCCACCATCAATTCTAAGCAAATCACCAGTAATAAATGACGACTCATCGCTTGCTAGGAAATAAATAGCTCTAGCAACATCTGCAGTTCTTCCAGTTTTACCGAGTGCGGCAAATTTAGCCGTTCGATCAAGAAACTAGAACAGTTATTCATAAAACAATCCAGAAATTCTATAAGAACTATTTATAAAGAATCATTGATTGATGTAGATAATTTTCTAATTAGGGAAAAAGTTACGTTTGAAAAATTGTATGAAAAATTGCCCTATATCGATTTTTTTTAGGTTTTTTTTTTATACCATTAAATTACCTGGCTACAAAGAAAATGGCTTCGCAAAAATTTACCTCATGATATTCTTTATCATTCATGCCGGATCTTTTATGTATATCAGTGGTGATCACACCAGGACTACAATTAAGAATTGTGGCATTATTTTCTAAAGAAATATTCAACTAAAATTTCTTGAAAAAAAAAATTTTTCAAAAATTTACTTTACAGAATTAACCCTGACTCCTTCAGGACCCAACTCAAGTGCTAGGCATTTCGTGAATTGATCCAGTCCTGCTTTTGACATGCAATAAAATGTTACACCACTGAACTGAAAGAAATTTCTATTGAAATTCCATTAAACTAAATTCGCTCATACATAAGGGATGAAAGAGATGCTAAATACTTAATCTAAAACGAATGAACCTGGTTTTGGATGCAATCCAAATTTTACGAAATATTGTAATAACTAATCGAACGAAAACAAATCCAACTTTCTTTAGCTTAATTAACGTCACCTGAATATAATTTAAGTCCTAAAATTTCATTTTTTGAATTGTTTGATAAAGAAAGCAAGACTAACGGAACATGGACCATTGATACTGCTTACATTCACGATTGAACCTTTCGTTTTGATAAGATAAGGTATGGCTTTCTGCGTTAATTGAACAATACTTCGAAGATTTATATTCATCAGATAATCGTAATCTTCCATAGAGCAGTCCATTACTTTTCCTAAATCGTGCAGCCTCTATCATAGGCACAATAGGAATTTTCGTCACATCGCCAAAATCACCACGCTGTCGCGTTCGCGTAGTGCATCTGATGATATATAAATGGACTATTTGTGAAGAGATCTCAAAATATCATCTTTCACACTGCTTCGTTATCTATTACTTGAAGATATATTAACTTCTTTACTAAAAATTATACCGTTAACTAGAACTCCCGCAGCATTAATCAGCGAGTCAGTTCGTCCAAACTTTTCCACTGTACGCTCGATCAAAGCGGTTGTAACTTTTTCATCCATTAAATCCCCCACAGTAGTCAGGATCTAAATTACATAAATAAGAATTTAGCCGAAACCTTTTTAAACAAAACTTCATGAAGTCTAATAATCCTTCTATAGTGTGAAAGTGACAACGCTACACAGTGTTGAGGCGGATTTATATGTTCTGAAACAAGAAATCTTAAGCCGAATAGAACTTCCGCAGTGAGTAACAAAAATGATCCATTTATCCTATTGTTAACGGATTATACTATTTGACAGACGTTCTTCACAACAACTTGAAACACTATGGATGTTACAGCTTCGCGGTATCTATCATGCATATTGAGATTCAAGTCTTACTTTAATACACAAGAAAAAAGTGGTCTTGCATCATCTTTCTCCTTAAATTTATGTCCTTATCGTTCTAACTTGACTCTTCGTCAGAAAGAAATATATTAACCTTAGATCTCAACCAGACTATTTTCATATCATGTTGAGCTAAAGATAATCAGCATTCTTTAATCTTATCATGGGAATTCCGAGTTCAACTTCCTTCCTGTTTATGCTAAGCTTACTAACCAACAGGAAATATTGCTATCATCAAATATACTGAAAATATCATCCAGTGATACCGAATCTTTGCTCAAGCCTTTCGTAATACAATTGTTAACCGTTGTTTCGAGCGCCTTTCCATTTCGACCATTCAGTGATAAATTGTAGCCTTTCTCAGCAAAATACTCTGCCGTGGCTTTACCAATTCCAGAACTTGCACCTTTATTTTAAAGCAAGATGAATACTTAATTTAAAAAATATATTTAATTAAAAACAAACCAATGAGAAACAAAACAAAACACGAATGCATAAAGCAATGAATATGAAGGATGTAAATTTTGAAGTAAAAATATATGAACACTTCCTTAGCGCATTCCAAGAAATTTGAACAAATCTGTCTGGAAAACCAGAAGGAACACATTACAATTAGAATATAAAAGAATACCTGTAATGATAGCAATCAAACGTTTCGTTGGGAGAAAAGCCATTGATTTAGTGGGGCAATATCCCCTTTCTTGAAAGCAAGTGAGAATACCGCGCTATAGCATGAAGCACTAGGAAAATGTGATGTAGTTACCAAAAAGAAATTTACTAAAACAGAAATTGATTACTGCAAGGTAAGAACACCAAAGGGTTAAGTTGAAGCTAAAGTTCGACAAAGTTCTTGAAATATCTACTAATTAAAATGAGCCAATAATCCAAGCAAACACCACTCCCCCATCCCAAATGATATACAAAGTACTATCAGCTGTTTCGCTACAAGGTAACGCATTGCTTTGCTATAATCAAAAATGATGGAAACCACTTCGATTTAAGTTTTTCTGTTAACCGGATGATGGGGACGACAGCATAAAAGAGTACAGTAAGCGTCAACGTAAATCACCATCACCGACCGCAAAGGTCAATAACAATGACAGACATAACTAGCAGAGTCTAGGTACTACACAACAGCTACTATTTGTCAAAAGACAAAAACAACATACAGGGCAGAGAGCCGGAATATTCTAATGCGAGAACCAAAATAGACGTTTGAGAACAAAAAGTATACACAGCATTGGGGAGGGGGAAATTGATGATAGCAATTCCGCAGCACACGCCAATTAGGTCGTCTCGCTCCGTAGCAAAAGCAACTGATAAGCTGCAGTTTTATGAATTTCTCTCGCAAATCACTTGATAACACAACAGCTATGATTATGAGGTTCTTGAAATAATACTGGGATTGATCAGTAAGTCAAATGTATCGTTCCCTTATGAAAAATTCCTATCATAGGCGAGTTAGTATTTCTCATTTCCACATCAACATTGCCAACAACGCAAATTTAAATAAATTGATACCGCTTCACGCACGTTTTTTCCGGAAACTGATCTTTATTATTGATTACTCACTGTACAATGATAATGCATGAATTATAATGACACACATTTAATATTCCTATCGGTCCCCCTTTTTCAGAAAATCCCCTCCAGTTCACAGAATACAATGTCAATTATAATAAAATCTTGGTATAATAACCTATAAAGATGCCGAAAGTGATACTGGCCAGAGAAAAAAACTTTCATTACGATGAAAGTCATCCTCATTACCAATGGTCCACCCTAAAACCTTCGAAACGCAGATGACATGTCATAAAATGAAAATTAGCTCAAACACTCGGCATTCGTACGTAGTATAACAGAAATACCATTTCAGTTACTTCTTTATTAATTTTTCTGTTTCTACCTCACTTTTCTTCCATCACTTCCTAAAATCTTAATTTCAAGCACCAGTTCTGCACTAGAAAAACTAAATTATAGGGTAGTACCGAAGAGACTTCTACTGGTAATTGAATGTGCGCATCATCTTTTCATCTCAGTTTTAATTAGGAAACGATTAAGTCAAAAACAAAGTGAACAATGTACAAAACAGCACGTAAAAATCGCTGCAATATGAAAGCAACCGTTCTACTGAATTACTTGATATTCATCCGAAACTTCTTCAGAAATATAAGAAACACTAATTATCACATTTATTCAGTAGCACGGGAACAGTAACTTCGAGATAGAGTAGCAGCGAAAAATCAGAAATTTGAAGAACAAATTGCGAAGAAAAAACCCAAAAATTTCCAAACCGATAAAATAACTGATTCTTGCTTTTCACCGGTTCTCACTCTCGAACAGTTCACTGAAAGAATTTTTGCAAAAACAGTATACGAGTGATATTTTTTTTGATACTGCGCCAAAAAAGCAAAAAAAGCTTATTGAGACAGGACAAAATAAACCAACATCGCTAGTACCGTTTACTTAACTGTCTCTCTAGTAAGGAATTACATCATTAGAATTGTTGCTGAATTAAGAAAAACGAAATAGAGAGTAAGTGCTATGTTCAAAATTTTGAATACGGGAAACTTCTCATGGCAATGAGTTTTCTCCATTCAAAGCAATAAGCAACAGCATTTAGCAAGGGGATTTTCAAAAAGTCACCTATCAAGATAAAAATAGATGTATCCAACATTATTCCTGGCCCGTACCCTTGTTTCATTGATCGCCAAAACATCTTCATCATTACATTCCAGCCAACCTTTATTTTTTTTGCACCAAATGTCACATATATAGTGGCCTGAAAAATGTTTTGCTGCTTTTCTGGCATCAAAAATTTAAATTTCTTATCGATAAAACTTTCTGTAAAGAAGCGTTAAATGCAAATGCTGACCATAAAGTTCTTAAAATGAATTCAAAATATTCACCGCTTTCGCTTTTATCTCCAATATGACTGATAACCGATACAAGCCGATATGACGGCTTCATGAAACCTTCCTTAATGAAAAATATCCATTACAGAAATCCATGTCAGTTCTAAACTAAAGTTGCTGCGATGCTCCTCACTTCAAAATTCAGCCGGAGCTACAACAGATTATTGCAAATAAAAAAGTAAAAAAACTCATATAAAAACTATGATCATCAAAAAATTATCTAAAACATGCTAACTGCCTAAAACAATAGAGTCAGGCTGAAACTTACATTGGCGTTTACAACTAGATCACAAATTCGCTCGTCAGCACCTTCCATCAGGAGAAGTGCATTCTAAATCAAGTTATCACCACTAAGTTACCAAGTAATCAGTAAAACTTGCATGGTTCTCAAGCAAAATCAATGATATAGTGTAACTAGGCTATTCAAGTGCAAATAACAATCGATTTGAAATAACACAAACAAATACAAACTCTAACCGAAGGTTCAAGCACCGGTGTATAGTGGTTGAATTCATTCAGTAAATAAATACCATCGTTATTACCTGCGCGATGGTCCTTAACCGATATAGCTAAAACTAACATTATGTTACGCTCCATAGCATGTATTTGTCAGTTTTGATATAGTGGGTTCTGATTTCAACTAAATTCATGAAAATCGCAATATCTTGACAAATTTAATTCCATCAAAAACCGCTATTTTTATACTTAACAAGCACCCCACCTTTTAAACTTACACGATAATTCTGCAACAGCTTAATATTAAATAAGAGTATTTCTTTTATGAAGGAAGGGAATTACAAAGTTCTTATAATTCTAATTTAAATTATGTTAGGAAACAACCAAAAAAAAAAATAAAACAAACTCACGTATAATATCACCATCTTGGACTTTAAATCTTGGTCGGTAGCAAGTCCATCGTTGATCATAATATGTCCACACATCAACACTTAACATTGCCGCGACTGCGAAAAGTTCAATATCACCACCCCACGTGTTATCAGTTAACAAATGATTCATGTGGTCATTCCAGACGTCTGACGACCAACCTTTCAAAGCAGCAAATTCATTCCAGTGTTCCGCTTCAAATTCAACAATCTACAAATAACATAATATTCATCATTATCAAAAATTTGGCTCGCAATGTTATGCATTCAAAACCAAGCCAAAATTGCAATGACGTTGATTTGGTTTTAATGAGCTTTCATAAAACTTAATCCAAGCTTCATTGGATTTTGCTTTATGTTGCTTAAAAAAATGCTTTATGCTGCTTTACGCTTATAGAACCAATTTATAAAGGTTTTAAAATATTACGCATTCTCGAACTCTCGAATGTTCGATATCACTGCCAGCGAAGTAAAAAGCCAATGCTCGGAACAGGCAATTGCCGTCACCTACAATGCCAGCAACTCGAGATGGACGATCATTTGGATTCATTATGCGAACAGCGGTTTTCTCACTGGAATTTCACTTCTAGCTAGCCTGATCGCAGAATTACGAATTTTGAAAACTCATTTCAAACCTCATTTGTCTTTTATCATTCGCATGTTTTTTGGACGAGGCAAAGTTTATGTCAAACAGGTAATTTTCGGTTCATTTAAAAATGTCGGAAACAGATTCAAAGTTCAAAAAAATCCAACATGCAATCGTAATTGAAGAGTAAACCAATCTGAGAACAAATAGCACGTCGCTTTTCAACAGACATCGGTTTATACGGTATTACTTGCACGCTAGATTCCTCCAAAATTTCTCTCTTAAAAAGGAATAAGTGAATTACTTCGATTTAATGTTAAAATAACATTGGAATTTAAACTTCTATTTGCGCAAATTATTCAAGCAGTATTTCTACAAAAGATAACGCTGCGGTTTGATGCTTGATGGATAAAAATATAAACTCATTGTTTTATTTGTTCATTGCAAAAGTGTTCTTTAGTTGTCACATAACAATTTAGGTTATGTATCGAAAATGTACGGATCATCCAATAGTATAAGAAATCTTCAGATATATGCAAATTGCTAAAACTTACATCATCATCACTGGATGGATTGCCACCCCATATTTTCTCGTGATCTTGTTCGGTCATACTGGATGGAGTGTTGGGAGGAACTGGTGTGGAAGGTCTAGTTGATAAGCTTTTGTCTTCAATAGCTAAAAATGATAACCACTATCATTATTGACTGTATTGGAATCAATTTCATTTTGTGAATTTCGAAATATACACTTATAATTTATCTTTTTGTACATCTTGTGCGGAAGTTTCTACTCTCCTTTGGGACAAGTGTAACAAACCGAAATTTTTCTCCACGATCTCTTTAATAGCACAGTCCTCTGGCCTTTGTTTTACCTGAAGTTCACCTGCAATTGGTGGCGGCGTGAGAGGTACCACGTGGCTTTTTTCAACCTGAAATAAGAACTCCAGTCTTTACTTTGAATTGGTGAACAATTCTGGGAAGTACATTTTTGCAGAGAACGAAAAAAGCTTAATAAAAGAAATGAATAACAGCTATTAAAAATGACAAAAAGTATCAATATCAAAACCCTAACGAACAATAGAATATTCGACTTTTACTGCCATTTATCAGCAAACTTTTTACACACTCTTTTAGCCTTTGAAACTTCAAAATGTATTGTCCTTTTTTAACTTTCAGTGATTTATACTGCATAAAACCTCTTTGTCTGGCCTTATAAATACTAAATATTTTTCTAACTTACAACTCCAGATTTTGTTTCGAGATCACCTTGCTTAATTCGTTCAGCGTCCACACCAGCACCAACTGTTACCTCTTCTTTCATAGCCACTTCCTTAATAACATCTATAATTCCAAGCTCCGCTCCATTATTAGGTTCGATGCGATTCCGATTGCTATTTTCTTCTTCCTGTCGACTAACAAACTGAACTTCTTGCCTACTTCTTCCTGCTTGCTTATCTCCTATTTCCTCAAATAACACTATATCTGAATTTGGGCTTTCCTCCGATTTCTCTTTACGAGCACAGTAAATATCGTCAATCCGCACACGTGGTACTTCTGCCTCGTCGTCCTAAAAGATTTCTAAAGAAAAAAACAAAGAGTTGGACCTAAAAATTTTTTAAATAGAATCATCGACATCGACATTAAAACACTTACAGAGTATTTTAAAATATCTGTTCCAAACCTCTTCTCCGGCTTCGACTTCCGGGAATTCAAGAGACATAGATGAAGAATCACTTGATTTATTCTCACTAACCACAAACTCCGTTTGCAATAAACTTCGCTCGCAAATCTACAATTGAAAACTACTGGTATATATTTTATATGCCTGTACAACACCTAAAATATATTTTTAGAGCGAAGTTCAGCGGATGCTGTAGCTATTTTATGTATCTCTATAATTTACATCATTCTTCATAATTGACAAAGAGTCAAATCCTGAAGATGAACTGGTTTTCAGCCATATCGACACCCTAACATTTTAGCGAATACCACACTTAAAATTTTAATAATTTACTTGTGAAACTGGAAGGATGAATAAGATTCCGTCATAAGAAATGAACAAACTTCAACTGGTTCGAGTTTTGAAGTTTTAGAAGCCATTACTCACCACTTTTAGCTGCTCTTCTTCGGTCATACGGCTTAATTCTTCACATGTTAAACTCCTCGGCGACTTCGGTCTTCTAAAATTGAAACAAAAATCAGCGAGTAAAATGAATGCTACTTTCGCTTTGCTCTTTATGTTCGCTGTGCAACTGTTCCTATATTGTCGACTAGGATACCAGAATGATTATTACATTGAAGGTACTCAGAAAAGATATTAGTGATCAGATGCCGTTGTCTTGATAATGAATTTTCCTAAAAATTTGTTCTAGTGCAATCAATCATTTCAATAAAAGAAAAAAAATACTCTTCCGCTGAGTTCCAAGGTACAACAAAGTTTCCAGTTACTTGTTCTTCGTCCTGTAATTAATATCATTATGTGCTTTATATGTTGATTCAACTAAAAAAAAATTTAAAAAAAAAAAGGAATTTTACGCCTTTTGACGTGCAAACGTTGAGACTCGAATCAGTATCAGGAACAACAAAACCCATATCACGACTCGCAGCCATGTTACTTTGCACTGCAAACGAAGATCTTTACACAAATCAGTGTTTACTTAGTGAACGACATATTTGAGATTATGTTCCAGATTTGTTAATTTCCTGTTTGTTTATTCATTCCGAAGAATTTTTTCCGAAGAATTTTCATGGAAGTCTAAACTGATTTTCTTGATCTTCTGGCCTTCAATTTCTTTTCTATTCCGCTCGTAGCTGTACTTCTATTATTACCTGTTTTACAATCCATAGGATGACTATAAAGACTTCTTATCGCAAGATGCATTTCCTCTGCGACACTGCCCGTTCGAGTACCATAACTAGTTTGCACATCTGACAAATCTAGACGTCGTCTAGCTGATGAAGGTTTATCAGTTGATGTTCTTGATAGCTTCATCTTGATCGGACTTGTAGTTATGAAGTCGATCTTTCTAAATTAACAAAAATCATTAAATCTGAGTCTAGTTGCAAATATAGTCAATAACTAGAAAGGGAATATCCTCCGGGATTTTCGTCAAAAAAAATGGGTCCTGCATCATACAGTGTTTTGCCCCTCATGAAATGGTAACCGGAACTGACACGTAGAATTTGAAATATTTCAAAAAAGTGAGAAACACTGTTTTACGTCCGATATACAGATCTTTTCCCTTATCCTAGTCGCTTTCCTCCAGTAAAACACCCTCTTAAATGATTTGATTTACATTTAGGATAACTCACTTTGTACTTGGTGGAACGGCGAAAAAAGGGAGTGATGACTCAGTGCAATGTCCATTTAAAGTTAAATATAAAGGAATATCAATCTTATCTTGACGTTTCACACTTTTCGATACATTATAAGCATAACGTTTGATGAGTATTATGAGACATCTGCAATAAACTAAATTAGGTAAATTTAAAAATAAAAAAATTATTCATACTTCATACTTCAACTTTTCCGTACAACTTTTATTTCCTCGCATCATTACAATTTATTCAAACCGCTTGGTATTACTGTCCAGAGCAATGTTTTTTCTCATTATCGTTGGAAGATTTATGCTTTATCATATTTAAATTAGCCAAGTTCTCTTCCTGTATTTTGATAGAGCAGATGATAGCAAGAGCCTTCAAAATCAAATGAATATAAGCCATCTTTTATTACCGTGGAAGTTGAACAAATTTTTGTGTCCTTTGCCCGCTTTTTCCTTGACAAAGTTCGCAGTTCCTCTCTACGTTTTCCGTCTTCAAAAATTCATCCAATAAAGTCTGTACGTTTGGAAAACGTAAAAATTTTTTCGAAAACCTAAAATGATAGAAAAATGCACAAATATTTACTGCAGCTACTGGATGTCTCTTACCCAACTACTAGATCTCCAGAGACCTAAACATAGCGAAAATTGTTTGACTTGCTCTATTGGCATCCACAACTTATTTACTTACCGTTCACTTGCTTGATCCAAAACATTGATAGTAACTGGCAAAATGATGCTGTCTTCATCGATTTGTGAGACATGGTGACACCTGAATATATTGGTGGGATAATTTACTACACTCCCTTTATTAGCTAACACTCGTCAAAACCATCCTTAACCATCATTATCCAGAAAAATCTGTTCATGTTTGCAAATTTTATCAAAAATTGGACAGGAAGAATTTAAATCGAAATTTCTCAGACATTTGGCTATACTACTTCAATCATTGCTGATGGTGATGAATGTACGGAACATACATATCACAGATAATAGTGCTTTGCATAGTGAAACCGAAGTTTGCCATTACTGGATTCCGCATGCGTCTTTCTACGATATCTACAATTCCATACTGTTCACGCAATACCTTATCACATTCATCGTGAACTTGATTAAGCACATGGACCAAGAATTCATTGGCATCCTAAACTGATCGCATTTTAACTTACATGACTATCTCTTCCTAGTGGCATTTCAGTTTTCACGAAATGCGAAAAGAAGGCAAATACTTAATGCACTGACCATTTCATGCTAAATTCGTTTCGTATTTCATATTCATCAGACATTTGAGCATTGCATAAAGAAAAAATTTTTGAAAAAATTTTAAATTTTAAAAATTTTTTTTAAAAAACACCAAGTCGAAAAATGGGCTGCATGAAAAAAAAATACTAACTTGCTGAGAACTGCCTTTAAAACGTGACGCATTTTTAACCGTTTTCAGCAGTTCTTGCTTTTGAAGGCATAAAGGCCTATCCCGAATGCTTGCAAGGCTCGAAAGTGCTCTAAAAATTAGAACGCCCTCACTTAACTCTGATTTCTGCCACAAATAATATTGAGTCTACGCAATCATTCAACTTCACGCTGCATTTCTATTAATAACTCATCTTTTAAAGAAATTTTATATCCCCAAAAGTGATTTATGTTACCACAAGCCCTTAATCAGCAAACAAAACATACAAGCTCATTGGCATTACTTCATCCAAGTCTACTTTGCGACTCTGAACCTTCTTACAAAGCTTGAAAAGATCTCTGGCAAAAATATCCATAGCAAATAGTCCCTGCAGCATCGCATTCATGTAACACGTGTTGCCGAGATTAGCAAATCTTAAACAAAATTGAAGATGACAATTATCTCGAACACACACATAATCTTTGACTTTTTGATGTAAAACGGAAACTAGAGAAGGACAATGTAGAAGATTTCGCAGATAACTTATACGTTATTATGACCTCATCTCAAAAAAAGTCAGAGAGAGCATAAATTCTGAGAGCTAGAAGCAACTTATACTCCTAATCATCGAATTTACGTAAACCAGTTTACGTAATTCAGTTAATTAAACTATTGAACAGATAAGGTTGAAGATCTTGTTACGCCGCAAAGTTCCTGAGTTGGCTTAATGATGTTCCACAGTTGGCTTAATGATAAAACGATAAAATTGAAATTATATTCAGTGCTCGGTATGAATTAATGAATTGCTTTTGGGAATTTTTGGGCAGAAATAAAGGATTCGAAAGCTTACCCAGAAATCTTTTCCTTCGAAGTAGTTGGCTTAATGATATAATCATTCATTCTATAATCATCTAGTGTGCGCATTGCTGATGTCAACTGCATTGGAATGCGTTCTCTCTGTAAATGGATATTCAATAACCTGGCGCAAATGAAATCATAAAAATTAGAAAGACTAGAAAAGTGATCGACCTACCTTGCGGTACTCGACAAAAATCGGATCACGCTGGTTCCTCTTATTCTTCTCTGATTCTTCAGATCTTTAAAGCAACAATTAATTTCAAAAAAAGAAAATTTGTGACAAAAATATGAAGATCTTACTTTCATTTTACTTTTTCTATTTAAATTGTTTACCGTAGTTGTGACAGTTCTACACTTTTTTCCGTTGACGGCGACAATTTTATGCGTTCTGCTGAAGGCGACAGTTTTATACATTCTTTTGTTTTCACCTCACACGGTGGTTCAAATTGTCTAGATCGTTTTTCACTTGGCGGTGAAAATGATAAACGCTCGAACATGTCTATAACTAAAAAGTGATATCGCAAAATTATTTAGCACAATAGAAATTTAGTAATTTTCAACTCAAAAAACTGGAAAAAAAACACAATGTCTGGCTCCTTTATTCACGAGAGTTTCACTTTTATAGGCGCATTAAAAATGTAATTCTCTTGATAAGCCGAGTTGTTAATCTAGAAGCAACTAAGCATTATCCTCTTCTGCAACATTTTTCTTCGGAAACCAAGTATTTTATTTTTTACGAATTTGACTTGCTATAGATAAAACATTCAACTCATCCAACTTCTATAAGAAATAAAGTTATAGAAATGGCGCCAATAAGTTACATTCGTTTATTCCCGAAAGCACAACATCCCTACATGCTAAATATATATTACGTATTTGTTCTCCATATATTGTAAGAACAGAACCTAATTTCTCAATCAGTATCTAAGCTGTCCAATTAAGCACTGTTGTTACTGCTAATTTTATGAAATTGATGCAAATAGGTTTCATTAGAATAGTTAGTAAAACTTTTATAACAAAAAACTCACGGTCTTTAACGCGACTTCGTCGAGATTCGACAATCATTGAAGGTATTTCGGAGCTGAAACAGGCAAGAAATTTTGCATATGATAGAATTCAGCACATTTCTAATGAAAAGGTAACTAACTCAGCAAGTCTTTCCGCTACGTTTTTCTCGGTAGTTGTGTGCAAGCCTCGACCACTGAGCAGTTCACTAGAGAACACAAATTGCGACCGTTCTGTAATGATACACCTTACACAGCTAAATTTCTCATATACAAAGAAGCTTACGCACACATTTTCCTGTTGAAAAAATTTGTCATTTCATGAGCAGAGAATCTAAAAATAACTTGAGCATTCTAACAGAAAGATGCTAGGAGATAATGGGTTGTAAAAGTATGCAGGCAGTCACATGCCGCAAACAGCATTCCATCAAGTCAATTTAAGAGTATGATTAACTCGCAGTTTTTGCTAGTAACAAAGATTATAAAAGATTAGATAAAATACCTAAATATTTGCTCTTTAAAATAGAGTATGCTTCTATCAGCTTTCCGTGATCTTCAAATTCCAAAATCATTTCCTCCTCATTTCGAATGTCTGACATGAATCGTAGTGTGCATCCTCGTGGTGGTGACCAAGGCACTTGCGATATGAACTTTGCTTTTAATATCTAGAAGGTTTTAGTGTGGTTTCTCTTGTATAATGAGATATCGTTAATGAAATTTCAATGGAAGAAGCAAAGTTAGATTGAAGGAAAGAGTGCAATTATAAGAGAGTTCAAAGGGGAGAGTAAGAGAAAGGATAAGAACATATCACATCAGATAAAGCTTAAAAATGAATAAAATTACTATAGAAATTCAAATAAATTTAGAAATTATCACAGAAATATAAAGAAAAACATACGGTGCAGCAGTTATCGTATGAAAAAGTAATATCTTTTTGATCATGATTGAATATCATAACGGCTCTTCTCTTCATATAAACTGGCCGATCCAAACGGCCTCTGCGTACCTAAAATTACAACAGCAATTAGCAAGAAATTTTCTAATCTCATATTTCTCATGGTTTTAAATAATTACTAATTAAAGAATGCTGAAGAATTTTCTTTCGGAAAAATTTTATTAGTTTCTTGAAGCTTGAATAAAACTAAGCAAACTTCACCGAAATCAGATGTCCAACAATTGAAATTAGCAACATGGAATAAATGTAACATCGAAAAATTGATAATCAGAAAGATTACCTTAACTATAAATTCGTTGGGCGGTAATTTTTCCACTGTCATCTCGATTCCACTAAGTGACATACAAAGAAACCTCAACAGATAACGGCCAATCCCTTCACTGTTTTCTACTTCAACTAAACTTAGTTGATAATGATACTACGTATAAGAGGAGATCAAAGATCAATCGAATTAGTACTGATCGCTTTATTTCTAGAAGAATTGTGGGTATTTTCTCATGAACGGATGAAATTGCCCGCCGATACCAAAACAATTCATGAGAAGGCAGTCGTCAAGACTAACACAATCCCGCTCGCCGCGGAAAATAATCACTCTCCATCCATTCGCTCCAATGCTATCTAGTAAACCGCTAAATTTTGCGCCAAGCAGTTGGCGCCAATTTCGAATTTAAACTTTCCTAAGATATTTGGACCAATAATTGCGGCAATTGAAATCGTTCCCACTTCTGTATCGCTATACAACTAATTTTAAATGAGATTGATTCGATTGGTTCGATATTGGAGATGTCGAAGAGGAAAAGAAGAGATTATATCTCCATAGAGAATAAGCGGCCGAAATTAAACTAATTTAAATTAATGTGGAAATTTGCCCATTAATGTTAGAATCAAATGTAATTAGTATGTACCTTGCTTCAATTAATGAGACACTTTTAGCGAGACGATTAATTTTATTAACATTGCTTTCAACCGTTCTGATGGATGATTCATGTACACCAATAAACAATCATTAGGGTTAGCCAGTTAAGGAAATGAGAAATTCCGACTGGCTCTTACCTAGCTGTTGCTTAATCGTTATAGTTAAGTCATTTTATGGAACTTTTAGACTTTTTTAGGAACTGCTATGAAGTAAAATGTACTCATTGAGAGTCACTGATTATATGCTTATCTCACCCACTGATTAGCAGATCTAATCAACAATCATTAGTTTCAAAAACACCTTGAAAGTTATTTGGAACTTGTGATTATTTTCTTCTCAGCGCTACAAAGATTTTAAAGGGATTAAAATATTCAATGCTAGGTCGAAAAACTGTTTTTAAACTCAAATTTGCTGGGATCAGTATTTTGTATTTAGCATTTTTTCTATATCCATTATATCTGTACCAATTGTAAAAATCGATACTGTAATGTTAATACTTGGTAATTGTACATCATGAACACGAGGATGTTTTCTTCGTGAACAGTTTATCTCATAACAAAATTACCAGTTATTACATTGATGACCGAAACATGATAACAAGTATTATCACAACTATGGATTATTTATTAGTAAGTAGAATTCTGATAAAATAATAGAGCCTCCGAGGCTTCATAGGTTCAATAATAATAGCTAAATGTGACATAACAAAAATATAGTGTTTGAAGAAAACAGCACAGATAGATAGCCTGGCTTTAATTGCAATGAAAAGCTCGTGCGATTATCGTAAGAAGAGCGATCGACTTAAAAACTACATTTGAAATCGAACAATTATTATGATGAGAATAAATTTGTCATTTCGGATCAATTCAAAGTTAAAATATACGAACTTTACATCTAAGCTCTTTACGTTTAATATTTATTATCTAAAATTTTAGCTTTTTTTGGCGAAATAAGAACATTCTTTTGCACTGTCGGATCTATTTTTCTTGTACAACATTCTAAAATATATATATTTTTATAATAGATTATTTATTTTCGGTTAATATCTTCATTCTAAATAATTTAGCATTCTTGATGTTATACTGAATAGTAAGTTTAATTAGTGCCATCTTTTCTTCATTTTTACAATTGCTTCTTCTATTAATTCCTCTGCTAGCTCCCGAACCTGACCAAATCTCTGATTCTTCATTTAGTCTTTTCATCTAATTTGATCTAAATGCATCAGATATAGTTAAGCCAAGATAATGCTGCGTTATGTGGCATAAGAGCTTTGGTTTTAAAGGGAACTGAATCAACATATCATGCAATGCAATCTCATAATGAAAATATAACGATAGTCACTGTATATTCTTAAAACATGCTAGGCTGATCCATCATTTATTTGATTTAATCGTTGGACTAAACTGTCAGATTAAATCTGCCTATTGTTGTCAGCACTTCCTTCTTCTCCCAGATTAAAATTTTGAAATAGGATTGTTTCTATAGAATTCAGGGTATATGCTACACTACAAGAGTAAATAATATCATTTCGATTCAGTGGGAAAAAATTCAGAATATTTAGTAATTTCCAGTATTATTTAAGTACTTGAAATACCATTTTAAATCAAATATCGAAATGTTAACAGAAAACAAAAGGCAAATGTGATTATAACTGTTGATGGAAAATCTTTTCGAATAATCAATCATTATGTATTGCAACATTACCAATACTATGTTTTTTGATCTCAAATATAAAAAACATTTGTCTTTTTTCATAATCAGAAAAAGAAGAAAAGCTTTGAAACGAAACGGATCAGAACAATCGGAGTTCCCATTATTAAACCATTTCAGAATTCATATCAATGACATTAAAAATTAAGCTCAATAGTTAGCATCTTCATAATTGATATAAATATTAAAGAAATATTTAAATATATTTCAAAAACTTCATTGCTTTGCTGAAATGACAATTGAACAAACACATTATTGAAAGATTTGCATTGAATTCAATGGAACTAAAAAAATGACAGGTATGATTTTCTTCCACAAACTTGTAGTCGTAGGTAATAGCTTGATATTTGTAGTCATAGATAATGAATTGATGACTTCATTGAGGCACCCACTGCAATCAAAAGCAACTATCAGGAGCGTATATGAAATCTCACAATGCTCTCGCATTTGAGATTTCGTTGTTACATCATGATCATCTGGCCGGGCCATGTTTTCCTTATTTTGGACTTGGTGAGCTTGCGCTTGCTGCTAATTGGGTAAATAGCGGCGTGGGTTGTAGGGATCAAATTGGTTGGTTGGATGAGAGAGCGAAAGGGGGTCTTCGGGTCAATTTGTCTTTTAGATCAAGCTATCGTTACGAATTATATGTTTGGCATAATTTGCAAAGGAGTGTGTGGCGCTATCTGAAACTGGACGAGAACCGATCCGTCTATATTACTAAACAACTGAGCAAGCTACACTTCAGGTCTTAATTATATTTTTTAAGCTTCGTATTTCTCTATTCTTTCACATTTCTAAAAAAAAAGAAAATTGAGTATTATATGGATATGGAATAAATATCGAACTGATGGAAGCTTGAACTATATAGGACGACTTTCATAATTTCTAAATCAAAAGAGCACATTTCAGCAGAGAAACAATAGTGGGGAGGTTGCATCGTACTGATTCCGAAATGAGTAGCTCGGAGGAAGTGTCGTGGATTACATGGTTCTGTGGCCTACGAGGGAATGAGTTCTTTTGTGAAGTCAGTTGTCAATAATTCTTAAAAAATTTAATCGAGAAATATGAAAATTTATACAGAGTTTGGTATAGTGCAAAGAATAAGAAGTATTTCATTAAGTGCAGTTAATAACGAGTTCTCTAGGTTTATCACATCACTTTTGTCCGCATTTTTTCAGTTCTTTGATACTATACTACGTGATGAGTTGAAAATGTTAGCTATATGAAGTTGTATCAAAATATTTATTACAGTTCCTTTTCCGGTGGACGTTATCCAACCAATTTTTACTGTGGAAGAAGATATGTGTAACTATCTATCCGTTAACTTCATTTCCTTTTTTGAATGTTTGTTTTCAGGTAGACGAAGAATACATCCAAGATAAATTTAATTTGACAGGTCTTAATGAGCAAGTTCCACACTATCGACAGGCGCTAGATATGATTTTGGATTTGGAGCCAGGTTTCTTTTTAATTTTCATTGCTGATGTGACATAAGCTATAATAAAAGTTAATTCTTAATGTTTGGCCAGTCGCATTAACTGAGACCAACATATATTCTGTTGCATTGGAAGACTTTGTCAGTTCACATCAATCATTTTTGGTGTGAAAGGAGTTTAATTCGAGAAATTTTCATTTTTCATATTATAACTGATAAGAGTTAAATATCCACAAAGGAATTATAAAAATGAGATTGTATGAGTTAAGTGGCTCTTTGGTATTCATTTCGACAATCTTTTCAAAAACTATTGGTCGCTTCTAATTTTTTCTTTTTGTAGATGATGACTTTGAAGACAATCCGAACCAATCAGATTTGGTTGAGCAAGCTGCTGAAATGCTTTATGGATTAATTCATGCTCGCTATATTCTTACAAATCGTGGGATCCAGCAAATGATTGATAAATGGCATGATCATGACTTTGGCGTGTGTCCTCGTGTTTACTGCGAAAATCAGCCAACGCTGCCAATAGGCGAATTTTACCTTCTTTTAAAATTTTAAAATTTTATTATAATCGTTTTATCCCATATCTATGTTCATGTTTTTCGAAATTCATTTAGACGGCTTGATTGCTTTAGTCAACCCTTCCCTCCCCTTCTCTCCTTCCCTTTTCCACATATTGTGCTTTCAGCTTATCTACTTTTTTTGTTCCTCTTTTTCTTTAAACAAGGAATTCAAATATTTGGATTGTGGAAACTGCAGTTTGGCCTGCTATCTTTATTCTTATGGTCAAATTGCTTATATTCTTTTCTGTCAGTGTTTTGTTCCTCTTTTTCTTTAAACAAGGAATTCCAAAACAAAACAAATAACTCAATGTAAGTTTAATGGGCTGGGAAAATCCTTGTATTTTGGAGATCCATAAATTAACTCTTTTCATTTTAGGTCTTTCGGATGTACCCGGCGAATCGATGGTTAAACTCTACTGCCCTCGTTGTTGCGATGTTTATGTGCCAAAATCATCAAAGCATCAGAATACTGATGGCTCTTATTTCGGTACAGGATTTCCTCATATGCTTTTTTTCGTACATCCGGAAGAAAGACCAAAACGACCTGCAACGAGTTTTGTTCCACGGTATAAATTGTTTTCTTTGGAGCTGAAGGCAGTCACTTTGGGGCTGCTGTATTATTTGATAATTCGTGTCAGGGTGAATCAGTTCCGAATCGATTTTGGGGGAAGTTTTCCATTTCAAGATCAAATTACAGCATTAATTCGTCTGTTTGAAGTGATATAGTAAATCGTGAAACTGGAGTGAAATCGTCCGCAGCTAATTGAAATGATATAGCTTTTAAAAATTTTTTAATTTCCTACATGTTCCTCAAAAGCTTTGTGCATTTTAAATTACAGTTCATTTGTAGCTTAATTTATACGAATTTCCCTCTTTTAGCGATCATTAATACAGAGACTTCGGTATTTTTGGAACTTTGAAAGCATAGCGAGATGTAACACGAGGCTTAGCATTTCAAAAAATAATTATCAAAAACTTGATTTAGCACCGTTATCATAATTTCAGATTGTATGGTTTCAAAATTCATCCCACTGCTTACGCCTTGCAGTATCAACAGAGCCAGTGCAATGGCAATGTGAACAATGGTTCGCCGACAGTGGCAGTAAATATGTCGCCATTTACCGCTAAATGAAAGAAAATGTGTGGACATTATTGTGTGGAATAACTGGGAATTTCTTGGTTTCCAATAATTTCGTAGTGTGATCCGCATGAAGTAGATTCAAGTATCTGTTCTGAAAGTATGGTTTCAAGAAAGTCGGTTTTTCTAGAATTTCAGTGTGAATTCGATGAATTTCGACCATTGTCACTCACTTCATTTATTCTGAAAGTAAACTTCGAATTCACTTAAGGTCCCTGTTACGTTATGCTTGTATCTAATGAAGATGATTTTACCCGGATTTATCATCACGTCAGTATATCTAAACATGCAATCCCCCATCTAAATAGCTCCGCGATTTTAAAGAAACAGGTTACCCATCTCAGAGGATAATAATGCTCTCACCAACCATCCTTGTTTGTGGAAATTGTGTACGCTTATCCTAATACACCAAATAAATTTCCGAGTAATTCGCATTAAATGCATATGCAGGAAGCATCAAAATTTCATTGGGAATATTTCCTTTTCCTAAAACAACAACGAATGGACGTTGTCGATATGTTAATAACACATGAACATGTCGTGAACATTTCTTCTAAAATTTATAGCACAATAAAATCGCACAAAATGTGCCATAAAACATACAATAGGTGTGCTTATAAGACATTGAGCAAGTCATTTTTTCTTGATGACGAAACAGAATGGAATAGTAGCTGATAATATAACTTGACTCAGACCTCCAAGCAGGGTCATTGCCTTGAACTCTACTGGAGAACAAAAAAAGGTTGAGCAATAAATAAATAAAATTTTTATGAAAAGGCAGCACAGCCACACCTCTTAATCATATGTGTCAGGGTTTTTCTAACACAGTTTAGTGATTTCGCGCTGTACAAAAAAATTTCAATATGTTATGAAATAAATTCAAAAAAATTAGAATTCAGCTAAAGTTCGACAAGTGAAATACAGGTTAGGTTACTGTTTACACCCAGTACTTCTCAAACATGACTGGCCGCTACAGGAATAAAAAACAAATTCAAACTCAAAATAATAGCATTCGGTGGTATAATACAATAGAGAAAACACAAAATGATTGGAACGAAAAATTTAAAAACAATCACTAGGATGACGAGTACCTTTGTAAATAAAATCTAAACAACACTTGTGTAGTGTGAATATCGAAATCATAGAGGAACGTCTACATCACATGTAATCTAAATGATGCTGAAGCAATACAAAAGAAACACCTACACCGCATACAATCTAAATGATGCTAAAGTAATGTAATGCAAAGAAATAACTAGCAATAAAATATACAATTTCGTTCTTTTAATATAATGATATCAAAGAAAAAAAAAACGGAAACCCTTTTTATTGAATACGCGAATCCAGGATTTTTTATACATAAAAATGAAGTAATGTTGAGTTCAAAACCTAATAAAAGGAATAAATCCTGAATTCATTTTCAGAGACTCTGAATCTGTCAGTCCCAACTCGATCCTTAAATTTTTCACTAAAGTTTATGGATTAAAGAAATAAAGCCTAATAAGGTCTATTCGACAAAAAAAGGCTAATGATCATCAAACAAAAGGCAGTTGTTGATGAAAATCAGTAAAGAAAATAATTAGAAAAATATAGTATAAAACACAATAAATGAAAGAGAAATTCAAAAAATTGATTTTTTTTTTATAATTTTGTTTGTTTTTCTAATGAAGAAAGAAACAAAAATTGCAAATAAATTAAATAAGCACAAATAGAATTAAATCGAAGAAATGAAACAAGTGAAATAACCGAAACTATATAAGACGATGAGACAAAAACATTGATCTAATTAAGTTTTTTTCTCATCGCATTAGAATTTTTCTAGCCCGGGTAATTCTCTCCATCAACAACCTTCCCGGAAAATAAAAAAGATTCGAGAAATCGTTGACTTGCCCGAAATCCTGAAATATGGACAACATTCATGATAACAAGCGTCAAGAGAGGATAAAAAAAATTGGACTAAAACCCAAAAACACATCTATACAGAAAAATATTTTGAAGCAGGAGGGAGTGCATTCACACTGATAATGACAATAACAAAGACGAGATGTGGAGAATATACAGATGAGGACGAGAAAACTTATTTTAAATTGACATCCCACAAAATTTAAAAAAACTCAATTTTTTAAAAATTTGAAAATTCAAGCAAAAGAAAAAAAACAGTTGAACAATTATCAAATAGAATATGAGATTAAACCAATAAAAACAAAATCTGCAAATGAGATCTTTTTTTGGACTTTTCTTACATTAATATTCAAAAAGTATTTTATTGAAGTACTGTATCAATAATTTTGTCATAAGCGCATTTACCCTGAGTTAGGTAGTCAAGATGAAGCAGTACCAGAACGATAGCTCATTCGTACGACCGGTTGTTCTAAACTCGATTTATTCAAATGATTTCGACCTGTACACTCCATTGAACCGTGCATACGACGGCTAGCCTTACGGCGCCGTTGAATAATTACTTTACCTGCAAACTGCTGCTGTTCCATTCCACTTTTTTCCTTAGTAAGGACCTCAAATGATCCTGTTGAATCAGCATGCAATCTAAAAAATACAAATTCAAATTAGATGTAACCAAAAATAGGATAACTATCAATGACAAATATCTTCGACATCATTTAACGTCGCACCTGCTTATTTTCAAGAATTATTGCAGGATACTACTGCTAGGTTTGTATTTTCAGAGTTCATTTGCAATTTCTAAACTACACATCTCTCTACGATTCATCTCGTTGCAGTCAATATAATGCACAGTTTATGAATGGAATGATTAACGACATAGCAGTACCTTCCAACAAAGTCTGGAAAAAAATCCTCACTTTTCATCATCAGATTTCATCTGCAGCTGTTTCGGTTGACGTTCAGAGAGTATGGCTTTAGAAGTTACTTGTTCATCAACAAACATAGACGATGTAGTATCGGATTTCTCTCGCGATGGTAATACATTTTCTGTGAAATTCTGAAAAAAAAAATAGATTTTTAAGAAGTCCGTGAATATACGCCTTTTTTAGAAGCAAACCTTCATTTTACGACTTTAAATGCCTGCTTTTTTATTCACTAATTTATTCAAAAGGAAAAAACAAACATTAATGATCACTAACAATGATACTTTTTGGAGTTTCCTCATCGCTACCTGTATGTATTACTTCATTCTCATAATTGACCAATGCATTTCTCTGGCTGCAATAGAAGCCTTAAGTTAAATAAAACTTTGTTAAATAAAACTTTTGAGGCTTAAAGTGTTAAAAAAATAAATTCACTTCGATGATTCAGAGAGATTTTAAACAGCAAAAGAAGAGTGTAATGAGTGGATAACAAGATACTTTAATCTTAAAAAATTTTACACAATAGCACTTTGGTAAACATTAAGCATACCGCAAAACCTATCCCAACCTCCCCTGCAAAAAAAACCTCATGTATTGCTCTGCGCAAGTCGGCTCGTTAATTGGAACAGTCACAGCTGTTTCCAACTCCATTTCAGATTCTGGATCAAGTAGTAGCGATCCATTTCCTTCCATAAGGTCATATCCTTCTTTGTTTGATTGCGGCGAAACCGTCAGCAGATGTTTGCTCGTTAGCGTCATGTCACCAGAACTCGTCGTGGCTAGTGATCCCTCTTCTGAGTGCGCTAGGATGCTCAGCTGTGCACTTGAGCTAGAATTTGTATTATAAAAAAAATTGTTTTTTAATAAAAAACGAGGAAAAAGAATGACTGAATTACCCCATTGATGATGCAATGCTGATATTAATTGGTCCAACATCAAGGAATGCCTTTAGATCACGATTACCATCCAGTTCACAGCAACCATCAACAAATGCCTGACGAATCGCATCAAAAACCATCTGGTTATGGACGGAGTGAGCTGTATTTGACAAAGTGAACGGTTCTGCAAATAAACATTGAAATATAAACAAAATTTATAAATTAGTGCATGCACTTCTTTACGTTCCACATACTTTCCAGTGATCTTCCACATCTGTTACAAAGTCACTTTGTAGTTCTGAGAAAAATGAGAAAAACCGAGCACCAAGCCAGGTTTTCCTCATTTTTCTCAAAACTACAAAGTGACTTTGTGAACCCTATGCTCATTTTTTCCATTATTATTACTTTTATCATCTATGGTTATGGAAACTTTACTTTTCACTCAAATTTCGTTTTCTCAGTCAGTTCGTCCTCAAATTAGCAGTTATGTTACACGATGTCTCTCTGCCAGTAGTAAATTAAATGGATGAGATGCACCTACTGACTTGATTCGTTTGATCATATTTTTTCATTTCTAAGTAAACAATTTGATTCAGACGATGATATTTTTGGAATCAAATTTTAATCTTTTATAAAATCTAATTCTTAAATCCATTCGAAAATTTGCACTCGTAATTCATGCCATGACATCAAAGATGATATAATTTTGCTTAATTTAGAATAAAACTCAGTTAATTACAACCTTCAATGCAAATGCAATTCCATTGAGCAATATTACTATTATAAGGTGAGGGTTGTCGTGCAACCACTGTACGTTCTGTTTTACTACCCAAGCGTACCGATATCGCATCTTTCAAGTAGCTGCAGTGGGATTTTTTCAAAAATTAATTAGGCGTTCGCAAGCTTGGTGCAACAAGAAAACTTCCAAAACTTCATAAACAACTTGATCACATACATATACCTTTTAATTAAAAATTTGTCAAACAGATAATTTCAGTAATTTCCAAATTCTCTCTCGTAAATTACACAAGCCTATTCAAATGTTCGGAACTTACTCAAATTTAAACGCATAATATTCAAGAAAACCAATAAGTAATTCCCCAAGCGTTATCGTTTCGTTGGTTATCCATCCCGGTGGCGGATCCAGATGACTTGAAACATTAAGTGAGCGTACATCAGCACTTGCACTAAATCGCTTTGGATATACTACCTGCAGCGACGGTAAAATTGGCTGCTTCAAACCACCTGGAATTTTTAAGGAAATATAAGAGTCAAAGAACTAGAAAGACTTTTGCTTCTGTTTGACTCAGTGAATCTTAATTTATTAAAGCAGATGCTCGATGTAAAATTGGTTTGGTTTCGAAGAAAATCTATTGCACATAAGTGATCCTTAATACAGCAATAGCAAAAAGATTAAATTGAGCGTTTAATTCATAATGAAATCAAATGAATAAGAGGGGATGTAAAAAATTTCAAGTGCTAATGCAACTGATATCGACGATAATACGAACAGAAAAAGTCGGATCGGAAATACTAAATACTAATTTTAACTTCAGCCTATAACAGCTTAGAAACGTGATGATTCTTTTAAGCCTAAGCAAATCACAAACCTTTTTTTTCCTAAAATACTAGATTTTTTAATAGATATTTGATATGCCATTAAGCACAGCTCATGAATTTTCGAGCCGATTTAACATATTATAGTAAAAACTTACATTGCAAATAGTGAATAACCATTAAAACAAGCGAATATGATGTAAATGAGGAACGATTCGCATCGTTGATATCTCTTCGCTTTGCCCATTCTTTGATAACACTCACCAATGGCCGAACTCTCCAGTCAACTAAGATTTTGAATTTATTATAAAAATATGGTGAATATTCTGAAATCAGAAATATACCTGATTGAGTGTAACAGTATTCCTAGCATTATTTCAAACTATTTTATAATGCCTCATTTTTAGTTTCCCAATTTGAGTGAGAAAGACTGGCTACGCCGGCTCCCCATTAATTTCAAGAACATGCACGTGAAAAAAAGCAAATATAGCAAAAATAATAAATGAAGAAAAGAGAACCAACATGAAGAATAATAACAGAGCAAATGCGTATTGCGTATTGCAACCGAATTATTGGCATTCAAATCGACGGTGATATCAGTAAAGGGTTCGTAAAAACGTATACGCAAAATGGGCACTTTAGCAAGAATAAGTTGCATGTGTGAAACCCACTTCGTTTCAGCTAGAGCACTCTGAATCATATTTAGTACTACAACTGCATCTGTTCGTTGATCTAACTGAAAACATTTTATTTTATGGAAATTAAAAATTCATTTTAATTTTCAGAAAAATTTAATGTTATCTAGAATTCGTGTGAAAAAGATTAGCTACAAAAGACACGACAATAAATGGATTCTGAAATGTAGGGATCGAAAGTGTGACCTTAACAAATACATCATTTTTCGATACATATAATTAAAACGAGCTCTGAGAAATTTCATACACCCTTCCAATAATCCCTTTTTATTCTAGGAATTTCATTGCCTTTAGAACGCAAAATAGTAATGAGAAATCATTACTTACATATAGCTTATCAACTTACATCTTTATTTGTTATCATTAAACATAAATCCATATCAGAACTATTCGTGCCAAAACCATTTAGTGACGAACCTACTACGTACAGACCACACACTGTAAAACATTTAACTTATAGCTCCTAGCCAACAATTTACCAATGTTGAAAAGTATCCCTTCTTCGAAATTTGACTAGCCAAAAAATGACAAAGTGGATGATAATCTTGCTCACTGCAGATATGACTGCGTTCAATAGAACCAGTTTAACTACTAAATTATTCATCATCTCTATTACGTACTGGGAAAAACAGGCGAAATGGCATAATAAAGGACATCGCGAAGATGGAGCTTGCGATTGAGAACGCCTTCCGTTTGTGTGATCGCCTTGTGATAATACCAAATTTCCTCACTGAGAACATCCAATTTTGATAATTCAAAACCACCATTATCGATAATATTTGACTCTGGTGGTCCCTGCACTGGAGGAGATGCTTCGCCTAAAAAAAGGAGCTGGAAAATAAAACTAAGAAAAAAAAGGTTTGAAAAGATTATGAATAACAGAACGAACTCGAGAAATTCAGTGTATCGGCATTTGCAATTTGTACTGTATCATCTTGTGGTAACTCCTCCGTTATGCTATCAGTTGGTGAAACCGATCTTTCTGTGATCTTTTTATCTTCAACAAAAACACGATCGCAAGTGCCTGCAACAAAAGCCAGTTTAAATATTAAACTAGCTACGCCAGTCGTATAAAGTCATGCATGATGAAACCACTGTTAATTACGAATCGTTAGGCCGCACACAACTTTTTTCTCCAAACTTTCTCACTTAGAGCAAAGCTAAACGAGTCAATGTCCAGCAAACATAAATGAATAAAAGAGAAAACAAACAAACCCACTGTTCCAGGTGATGAATCGCTTTGGTAGTTAATTTCTCCTAAAATACCCAGATTCAGATGAAATCTTCAAGAAACTTTCGATTTTTAAAAAGATTGAACTTCAATAAAAATACGGCATGCTAAAATTAAATCAAATAATCTTTCATTACGGTGACTGATATACCTATTAAAGAGGAATTACCTCATATTGCCAACTTAAATAAGGTCAAACAAATTGCCCGCCATTTTCCGTGCATGAAGTCTTTTAATTTTCTTTCATTTTACTTTCAAAAAGAATATATAAAGAATTTTTATCTTTCCAAAAGGAAAGGTAAAAATCTATATGGTCCTCACACAATCGAAATCGAATATATGTTTTATTAATACAACATTAACATCTCTCAAACTATGCACAATCATAGAATTTCCAACGATTCAGTGCCTCACATTTTTCCGATTAATTTTAATCTACTAATTAAGATATCAATAAATTTGATCGGTTTTCGTAAAAGTTTTTATTGTGCTGAGTCTTTCTGCAGAAATATAAGTATTACACATTAAAAAAAAAATTAAATTCATCGGATTATTTCAACAAAAGCGATAAAAATGAGACATACTTGTCTCATTTTTTAGAAAAAATTTTTTTCATTTCCAAGTAACAAAGTATTGTTTTCTCGACTTCAGCTCCATTGAGTGAACAAAAAAAGAAATTTCATAGGCAGAAATAGCAGTAAATCAATCAGATTAATGAAAGAAACCAAATTGCTAATGTGTGTAATTGAAGAACTCAACAGTTTCAGCTGTAATGCTTACCACAACTTCGAAAGTAACCCGTTGTGAAAATGCTTTCGATTTTTATGTTCGAAACAATAATAAAAGAGACTTATCACCGTACGTGAATGACAATAACTGATAGAATAATTATAAAGCTGCCGTTTTTATTGAAAAAAGAATCCGGTGCATAATGAGTTTGCTTTTCATGAGAATAACTTGAACTATCCAACACTAACAGTTTTCTATAATAAATAATTAAAAGCGAATATCAGAAAACAGCCGATGAAAAGCAATTATAATTCACCAAATAATTAAAAGTATGGAAAACAACCAGTGAAATTGTTAGGAGCATGAAAGAGAGACAGCTTCAATAAACTTTGTGCTGTACTTTAAATCTCGGATTCAGATCATCAGCACTGTCTAAAACTTCATCTGGTATATATGTTAACCCATAAATACAAGCAATACTCACTATTCTAACAAAATATGATTTAAAATTTGAGGTCCAACAGAAGTTTTCCAAGCAGTTTTAATCTTAACAAGCATTGGTTTGAAACTTCAGTATTGACAACCAACTATTCAGATAGGAAAATAGCAAATCCAAACCATTAAAATATTTGATGATCGCGAAAAGATTTCAATGACTATATTTGAAGACACAATGCCCAATTAGCATTAAACATTTATATCGATCATCGAATAGCACCATTATTTTCCCAATTTTTATAGCTCTTCCTTCAAGTTTACTGCTTTATAAGACACCATGTTTTTTTCTTCTTAGTTCCATACATATTACGGAACTAGAGAAAAATAATGTCCAGGAATTCCAATAGGAAAGTTCTGGCTTATAGATTCTTCCCTTTTCAAATCTACATATTTAATAATGTTCTTTCATTGTCTGATGGTACCTTTTCATTATTAGCGGAATTTCTATCTGAGCTAGTTTTCATGACAAGGTATATGAATACTGCGAATCAGGAAAACAAGAAGATTATGCAATCTCTGAGAAACAAGCAAATGAATTCGCCGATAATAAACAAGAAAATAGCTTCTAAATTCAAAACCCTCAGTGGGTGGGAAACTTCAAAATGTTTAGACTCAAAAATTTTTAATAATTTAATGCTAATTCACATTACTGCGCGAAAAGGGAATGGTAAGGAAAGCAAGAACAATAAAGTATCTCATTTGTGGACGGCCTTCTGTCGTTACTGAGCGTGGTAGAAATTTTAAATGAAGAGTGGTTCGTAACACATAATGGTACACATACTAAGAGTTGCTGATACAATTTCAATGTACAAATCTGCTTTTGATAGATAATCACCGAAAAATAAAAACAGCCCAAAATTTTATACCTATCAGACACATTGCCTTCGCAATAACTTTAACTACTATTCGGAGCTTTAGAATTACGAAATCTAAGCTAGTAATGGCTTCAATGTATCAAAAATTCAACAATCATTACCAAAAAAGTCTTCAATCGATTGAAATGTGAAAGAATAATAAGAAAAGAAGTAGCAGCTAACAATTTTGTATCAAAAAATTCTGGTATACAATCAGAAAATTTAATGTGGAAGAATGATAAGAAAATGAGTAGCTTTAAATGCTTGATTACTCTCAAGGGTTCTTTTCACAGATATCTGTTCACATCAAAAGGATCGCCCTTAGAAAAGGACAGCTGTACTACAGTAAAGAACTATAAACAATCAGCCTATAATACATGGTTTTTTATTTGCCTCCTAACTCTTACATTATTCCAAAGTAAAAAATTCCAGAGTCTAAAGAACAAAAATCTCCAGCGAATTTCGTTTTCAGAGCACTTTGAGTTAACATCCAATAATGACAATAAAATTTGAACAATTTTTGCAATGAACAAATTTATGGTAATAAAAGGAAATCAAGTCAAACATAGTAATAAAGAGCACATGATAATAAAACGCTAATGATAATGATAGGGATAATCATTGAATGTATTCAGAGGAATAGAAGACAAATAGTGCTATTGCATCGATGACGTTTCGCTCTTAAATATTAACAAAATATCCTTGTTTCTTAAAAATATTGCTTAAAAGCTTTGAATAGTAAAAACTGCAATTTAAATAGTATCTGAAATTAAAAAAATAGTATCTGCTGCCTGCATGATGTAGTTATTTCGTATATTGCAAGTAAAAAAGAAAGAGTAAAAAGAATGACAATTTTGTCATCCAATAGTGAATTAGAATTCTGATAAAAATGATAAGAATTAATTGCATTCAAGAAGTACAAAATTATTTATGGTTTTAATTTCAAGATTAAACATATTCTGTTTTAACTTTCAAGGTCTGAGTAATTTACAAGTACTCCTTAAGCGGTCAACACTGTGCATTAAATAGTTATCCAAAATAACAAGTCAAACAAACAATGCTGCCATTGAGCATACATGATTACATCAGTTATCACCCATAAATTTACAATGATGTAATCATGTATGCTCAATGGCAGCATAAATCAAGCTTAATTTCAAGCTTTTTCACTGGACGGCTCAGGTTAATTTGAATTTCTAAGTCCAGTGTGGTACAAATATTAAGGTAAAGAAATAAGTACAAGGTAATCCGAGCCATATAAATGAAATGACAAAATGAATAAAAACGTAAGCCTAAATTAAGTTTAGGAGCCAAGAGATGAATAGCTGTCATAGTGTCAAGGAAATACAAAACAAAAAAAAATAATAAACAAATACTGCACACTTATATTTATCTGAAAGTTTTATGGAGTTTCAATTTCATTTCCAAATCTCTTCCATTCTAACCAGTTAGCAGAAATTCTAAGTTGGTGAATGATTAAAACACCGACCTATTTTATACTATGCATTTATCGCTACTTTATTAACTATTTAAGCAATATAAGTAAAAATCAACCTTCTCCACAAACCGCAACATGTTTGCAAAATAAACCCGTCAACTGTTCGACATCTTCTGTTGTTATTTGTGCATTTTCAACACTTTGTTGCGGATTATGACTTCTTTGTAGTTTTTCTTCCTTTGTCGTACTATCAATTGAGCCCACCTGAAATAATAGCCAGGCCAACGACTTCGAAGCGTCCATTATTAAAGCCCACTTTTAGCTATCTCTACTTCGCCTTGTCAAACAAAATTTTTTTCTTGATGGAAATCAGTAATGCTGGGTTCTCCAAGGATCACAGATAATTCGTAATGAGCCTAAGCTTGTTGAGTTCTTGGAGTTAACTCATCAACATTTATATTTTCTACAATAACTACAATGTCAATAAAACCATCAAATAATCTAAAATTCAAAAAAGCTGTTCTATTAGCATTTAGCATTTATAGAATTCAGTTTTACTGCTGATTCAGTGATCATAAGTTAATTTTAGGGAATAGTACCAAATTCCCTAATTCCTCCCGCTCCCTTGAACTTAGAAGCGGCGGTGATTGGTGATTTTCGAAAAATTAATCCGATAGAACATTAAATTCAAGACTAATAGCGTAGTTCCCTTTTTCATACTTCATGTTTTTAAAAATATATTTTGTCTTTAACAGGGCTTTCCTGAATTGCAATCTAGGCTTTCTTCTCTTATCAAAAACTTTAGAAAGATCAATCTTCAGGAAATTGAGAAAACCAACCTCAGTTCTATCTATATCAACAAATTCACGATGACTTTTCAAAGCTAGATACACTGGTGGGGAATTACGAGATCTGTTTGAACCATTGCGTTTCACATTACGATGCAGCGAATAATCAGGAGCTGCAGTTCCATGACCTCTTTTGTCATCGGATGTCACCAAGTTTAACGAATTTTCGATGTTCCCATCATGATAAGTTAAACTACTCTTGTCATGCGAAATAAATGCTAGAAACATCGAATAAATATTATATATTATTTAGGAAAGAACCATATCCGATTTCGAGTACCATGTTTCGTAAGTAACCATTTCAAATGAAGTGTTGGAAGTCGCTGCACTATCTAATAGAAGCGCTTCAATCTATTGGAAATTAGAATATCGGCCTTTTGTTCCAAATATTCAAAATGAAAAGACTTACACGATCTGTTCGTAGATTTGTAGACATTGGTCATTCTCGGAGTGGAACGTCTGTCAGAACTATTACACTGAGAACGATCATGGCTGCGATCCATGTTATTCATACAAAACCTTAACTCTATTAATTAAACAAGCTATGTAAAAAAAGTATTATAATAATCATTCCTTAGCTTTAAAATAAGAAGATTCTTGGAAACTTGAATTCTCGCTCTCGTTTTCCTAGTTATTTAAAGCTTACTTAACATCCGGTATGCCCAATTGTGAATTTTTCAACTATTTTGTGATATAGAGAATCCTCAATAAAAATTATTTCTTCAAAATTCATACTCGTTATTGAATAAGAATTGCAATAGATATTCGGAAAAGCTTCTGGAACAGCACCGCTCTAGATCTTGTTCCAAAAAACTTTGAAACAATTAGAAGCATTCTCAGTAATACTGCTATAAAATAAGAAAACATTCATCTGGGACTTTTTGATTCGGTCTCAATTTAGATCTGATTGGTATAAAAAAAATTATCAAATGAATAAAAGTCTACTTATCATAACTGCTTCGCTCTCGACTACGAACAAAGCCATCACTAGTCGAGAAAGGACGTGTAGGGTAGTTCTTCGATGGAGGACCATTTTGTGAATGCCTGCGCCAGTTGCTGTCATTCAACTGATGACATGCAGGCATCGGAGGAGGTAAGCCTGCAAATATTCCTTGATGGAAACAATTTCCTTGATATGCAATACATACCTAATTTTTCAATACATCACATTCTTCTCTTTGATGGACACATAATAAGTTTTTTGAATGGCCGTTGATCACACTATTTCAAAGCGTTTCTTTTAAATTGTATACTACTTCGTTGGACGAATTCTATTTCAGTTACCAAAATGTAATTCTGTCTTTTTGCCTTGCTCGAAGTTTCCGGATATTGCCTTGATATTTGAGATGAATTAACTTTTCAACTGTTATGCGACAATGAAATACCTACTTCGGTTTGTTGAACGAAAAATAAAATAGTATGGAGCAATTCTTTAAAAAAATTCTTTCCTTCTTTTCACCCATCTAGTTCTCTTGCAATTTAATTGCTTTATGAGAATGAAAAGTGATAAAAGGTATAATAGAAACATTCAGTGAGTATAACAGATGCAGTTGTTTTTTCCAGATGATGACCTATGCGTGTACTTTGCAATCTTTATTTTGTTAAATCAATTAAAAGCTTTGACAATGAAACGTACTAGTGGGTTAGAATTAAGTAATCAGTGTAGCAAGCAGATAAAATAGTTTAGAGGCTGAATGCTATACTATTACGAAAAGATGAATAGTAATATCCAAAAAAAAGACAGAACTTGCAATACACGACTTACCCCTTGACCTTCCTTCATTGGCACCACGGGTAGAAATACCAGTACTTCGAGGGATGTTTCTCGTTTGCAAAACTTGCTTCCTTTGTTTTGAAACATATCCATCATTGCCATAGATCTCAAAACCTGGTTTCGCATTTGGCAACCTTGACTGCAGCCAATTTACACTGCGTATTAATTCACATGGCAAACCGCTTCCGCTTCCACTGCAGTGTTCAAATTTGGGCAAATTTTCTAACAGCGAATCCTCATCCAGAAAATGATCTGAAAGTAGAATAGAAATATACCCCTCTCCTTTTTTCATCTGTAATTGCACAATGCATAATATGCTCATTTCTTCAAGAAATTCCTATTCTATTACCTTGCATTATTTTATTAGATTTGTCTGCTGAAAATGTCGGACAATCATTTTCATCAACAGCATTTCCCAGAATACTGGATGTTCTGGAATCAATCTCGCGTGAAACACAGCTAACATTCTGAAAATATTATGCTTTAAATTTATAATGAATCGATTAGATATAATGAACCGAAATGAAATAAAAATTTAATTCAATGTATAATTGAGGATAAGCCAAATTTTTCTTATCATGTCAGCTGAAAAGCTGATATCTGCCTTTCCTGCTAAAAATGCGAAGGAAACTTGATAAGAATAAATTCTACAAACCTCACCACCCGTTCGGATATTATCACATGTGCTTAGTGCTTCAGCTGTAACATTAGTTATTGTATTTGTGGCACGGGATGACAAATTTGAAGTGAGAAACGTTGTTTCAAATTCAGGTAATAGGTGTGCTTGTCCAGAGTTTATTTGTGACTGCAGCAGTTGCATAGAAAAACTACAAAATTCTTGTAATTATTTGAATTTAGTGTGAAATTATCCAGATTTAAAAAAACTGATAGACGAGTATTATCAATGACATTCTCCTGCCTCTTTTGCATCACAGCATAGTTAGAGGGATGCTATATTTATCTCTTCAAAATATTAAAAAATACACAACAAACTGTTTTTTTAATTACTATTTTCATTAACTGGCTCTAACTATGTTCTATTCATTAACTGGCTCTAACTATGTTCTATTAACTGGCTCTAACTATGTTCTATTATTAAGGCAGATTTTAAAATTTTAGCAACGCGTAATTTCGCAAATTTCAATCACAGTTCTTAACCCTAAATTCCATTTGGAATAAAGTTTACCAATATTTCACTTTACAATTTGATATTGCGGCATCACTTCTTCGAACATAGCTCAAAACTGATTTTAATAGTTATTTGATACTACTTCAGAAAATATTTCTGCATTAATTGAAAATCCTAAACTCTTAACTGTTTTTTTTACATTTTGTCAAAAAATAAGCAAATACCAAGTGGTTCAACAAACAAATTAAGTTCCTAATTTGAGTTTCTATTTCTCGTTAATTTAACTTTCCAAGTTTTTGACGAATCGAAATAGCACAATTATTCAGTATTGGAAAAGTCACTTTTAGTTAATGCTATCTGTACGTAGAAAAGATTTAAAACAAGTATATGCGTGGAAGAAAAAGTAAAAAAAATCTTAGTTTTGCGATCAAAAAAGCCCGAAAAGTTAAAATAGCTGTCCCAAGGAATATACCAAGAGAAGGTAGATAAACAAAAAACTCGAGCAGCAGCATTTCAACTGATGAATCAGCCTTTCCAAGCAATTGACTGGAATATTGAGTTATTATTTCTTTAATTCCTTTCTACTATATTAACCTAGAGATGAGTAGAAATGACTGACTCCTCATAATTATCACAGAGTGAGCAAACTAATAGCAATAATGTACTGTTAAGTAACTGAAAGTTTTCCTTTTTCAGTCATTCTAAAGCTATTTCAATGGACACGTCCTTCAACGATTAATCAAAATAAACCGAATGTTTTGCCAAACATATAAATAAGGAAACTGCCTCTAGACAGACAAAAAAAAGCTCAACAAGAATCCTAATTAATTTGATACACATTTTAAAAAAATGCTTCAGGATAAATACAAAAGATTCAACAAATGTATTTTGTATAGTATGTGCATGAACATATTTGCAAATGCGATTATATACGATAATTTAAAATGAAAGTATAAGAAAGTAATCATTTTTTAAGTTGCAGAAAGTTCAAACTTTTTAGTGCCTATTTCAAGAGATTTGACTTTTAGAAAGTCAACGCTTTTTTGTGTGATAATAGATGAAGTAGTAGTGAAATGAAATCAAAACCTTTTTTAAGAGTTAAGGCGAATAAAATATTAGTATTCATGAATCGTATCCCTTTTCAAACAATGGATATAAATTTCAATTACTTCTAATGATATCAAGAGGGGTTTGGGAGATTGATAAACATGAAAACAAATGGCAGAAGGATGATAATTATGAAAGCAAGTAACAGCAAAAGTGATGTTTTCAGATCCTGTTCCAGTTCCAAATCTGAGATTTCCTGTTGATGAGTCGTTCCTTTTTCTTGCCAAATATCTTTTTCATTGCAGATTGCAGAATTTCATTGCAGAAGGATAACACGTTGAATATACTGTAACCAAAACGTCTAATGAAGCCTGCGGTTATAACCCCGTTGATTGTAATTGAGACTGTTGCTTTTGCGAATAAAAACTACCGATAGCAAGGTCATATAATCACGGAAATTTGCTAATGGTGATATGGCAGCAATGCTGTGACCCGAATTTTCAAGGCTACTGTTATCTAAGGAAGTAATTTGCAGCGGTGAATACTGATTAGTGTCAGAATTTCGACATTAGTTCCGATTAATGTCGAAACAACTGCTACATGACCAGGGAAATTTCCAGATTCTCTTACTGATGGTAACTATCTCGAGAATCAATTCCAGAGCCTGTGGAGTCAGCATAATCACTATTAACAATACTACTACTTCGACTAATACTCTTGAAAATGGAGAAATATCACGTTATTTGTCCAAGCTTCGCTGAGTGACATATGCAGAAGTTCTTGGGACTTGGACTGGCTGTGAAGAAAGCTGCATCTGACCAATGTTGTTCACATTGTTCACAAGGTACGTTCACATTTTAATGAGAAAGATGATGATAATCAACTGGAGGCGGAGTAGCATTGCGGGCAAGGCATTCTAAAAATGCTGGCATCAGGTTCTACGTTAAAACTTCTGATGTGAATAGACAGGATTTGAAGAAAACACCTTTGTCAAAAGTTCCGATGGGAATAGACATGATTTGCAGAAAATACCTTCAGAAGCTTTGATATAAATAAGGTACGTACAATTCGAAGAAAATACCTTTGTTAAAGGTCCCTATGAGAATAGGGAAGATCTGTAAAAAATATAGCCATCTAAAGTTCTAACAAGAATAAGTGAGATTTAAATCAAATTATCTCAAAAATATTTTCAAAGATTTGAACATTACTCCACTGTCTGAATATCAGTTACAGTAATACCGATAGAACAGCTTATGTGGCAAGCAATATAACAGTGCGGATATAATTTGGCTTTTCAAATGATGTGAAAAGTCAAATGCTGTTTCAACAATACTTCAGTATCTTATGAATGTTTCTTCTGAAAAGTTTTCCAAATAGTAATAAACTAAAACTAATTCAAATACTCGAGGTGAGAAGAATAAAGATGAATTGCAGTGAAATATAGTGGAATACAATGAAAAACAAGTTATTTAATTTAAAAAAAAGTATAACGATAAATTCAACATATATAATATAATGTGAATAAAGAGATGAGATAAGCAGTAGGAATGGTGCTACCAGAGGAGAAAAAGAGCAAAAATAAAATGCAGCGCCAGCATGTAGATATAGGTGCATTAAAGTCCGCTAAGAGTGATATACGTCAACAGTCAAAAAGCAGTCTAGAACACTGAAGAAAATGTTTGAAAAAAAAGGACAAATGCTTTCACTCATTTGTCAAGTAGTCTTTTCATTCTCTCATAAGTTCAGTTCAGTTTTGCTTAGCGTAGGATAGGTTATACAAACTTGTATGTACTGCTGCGCAAACGACAAAAGCAACATTGCAACAGCAGCATTTTGTATTATATATGATAGCTTATGTATTATATATGATAGCTTATGATAGATTATATATGATTTTTTACAATCTTACATTTGATCATCCCAACGTAAAGAAATGTATTTCCTGAACTAGATTGGACGTACCTTTTCATATACCCAATAGTGCTTGGTAAGATATTAAAAATATTTTTAAAAAAATCTTCATAATCATTAAAATTCAGGATATCATAGAAGCCCAAAAGTTTTAATTGTGCCAAAACATACCTATACAAGTGCACCTGTTTCAATTTCAGATTTACACTCACTGTCAAGGAACATAAAATGGAAAATTGACCAAAACGAACAGTGAAATGGAAAACTGGAAATAATCCAAAACAACTAAAATTAGGGATACTAATTAAATTGGTTGAAACATCAATTATATTGAAAATGATGAAATTCATTACAATGAATAAGAAGAAAAAACAATCTTTTTAGTTGAGGAAAAATAAAATTAGATTGGATTGAGAAAAAAAGTAAAAGTTTCAGGAATTAAACGATCTCCAATCTACTGCAACGACAACTACACCGATCTTTTAGGATCTTTCTTGCATGACTTTTTCATTGATGTCCATTAACTAACTTATCAGTGACGAAAACTTTTGCAATCGTCACTTTGATCAAGCTAGGATGAACCCGATCTTGCTAAAGTTCATTAGCAAAAAAATTGCGTTGCAATGCAACAATGTAATCAAATGTCGCTGCTTCTTATTAACACCGTGACATATTATTAATCCCAACAGTCATATGAGCAGAAAGCCTAAGCTCGAAGTAACTATTTTTTAAAATATCCTACGGGTTGTGACTATTAATCGGTAAAAATCTCTCACATCTTAGTCATTATATTCAAAGAAAAATTTTCTTTCCATATCTAACAGTTTCGTTGATTTACCTTTTCAGTGCTACTTTCAAGCTTCAAAACGAAATCCTACCGAATTCGCTTAGCACTGAATATTTCCACCTTTAAGCCTTTATACAGGACTTTTGCGAATTACTCTCTCAGCATTTTAATCCACCCATACTTCGAATGGAAAAACAAAGGCAAAAATTATGTCAAGTAGTTTTCTACCTTGACAGTTGTCCTTTAATCACAAAAAGTGATAACCAACCAACGTGAAGTGTTTCCCGTTCTAACTACTGTCAGCAAATCTCAAAACAGCACATACTTCTCGCTTTACGCAAGTGAAAAATAAGAAAGATTTTGTGAATTGCTACATCAATTTCTGCCGTTACAATCGCTACGTAATTAAAAGTGAAAATCAAAAAAACCACATCCCTTCTCCCTATGAAAGTTTAAAAATCTGAAAACTGCTGGAAATTCTACAATATGTAAGAGCAAATAAGAAATCATAATTGATGTATAACAACTTGCTACGCATGAAATACACAGATCGCTTAAAAACTTTCAATCAACATGCAACATCATTAAATGTATGTCGGAAAGTCAATGATACTGCAGAAAAAATCGAGAACAAAAAGCATGATATCATATTCATCAAATATTATTTAGACTCCATAGTCAAAACTACCAGATGCAATGTAACTAATGTGTTTTCCATAATTTAGAGTATATGTTAGTATTTTCCTACAGTTACTTGCAAAATAAGAGTATAAATTTTCATTTACATGATCACATATTATGAGTTGACCGACACAATCCAATAGTCTCTTCTAAAGCAGAAATTGCATAAAATGAATTTACATTTCCTGAACTTCTAAAATCTCATTCTATTCTTCCTTTATCAACAATGACATCAAAAATTCAAAAAACGCTACTTTAATTCGCACTCATTCACACATAAAAACACTCCAATACTTTGGACTTTGATCATTTCTTCTTTTTTCCCTTCCTCGTGCAAAATTTGGTTGAGAAACTTTCTGTATACATTTTATCATGTTCATATTAACAAATTTTAAATAAAATAAATTTGTATCTCGAACACAATTTTCTAGTTTTTAGCTTAATTCACTGGTAAAAATTTTAAAAAATGCAAGCACTAAAACAAAAAAAATCACATAAAATTTAAAGCAAGTATTAAAGTAAAAGTTGAAATTTTTATTTTCCTTACTCCAAAAACAGAAGAGAAAAACAAAGAAGAAAACATTCACTCATCGAGCAGCAACAAACACTAAGCACACTTACCGATAGTCAATACATATCAAAATGAAGACTGGTTGCCGTGCACTCTACCTCATGTTTTTCAATATCCCTGTCTCGCAAAAATTTTACAGCCACACACATAGAGACTGAAACTATGAATTGAAGCATAGCGTTCACGCCACATACACTCATATATACGTATACATGAAGTTCAAATATTGCTGAATACAAATTCGATTCTTCCTTTTGTACCTATCCAGCATTTAATTACTTCATTATTTTAATAACTTGTATCCAAAATATCGTGTGTAAATGACCTCAGTCATAGCACATCAGAAAATAGCTTACCTACAAATTATTTGTAAATGTATGTCTTGAATTTATTACTTCTTAATTCAGAACATTAAGTAAGAATAAAATAGATTTCAATCTAACGATCTCTATTCTGGTATGCCTACAGTTTTTTCACAGTTTTAGTAATATTCTATTACGATTAAATAGTGATCCTCGGTTTGTTACTAATTCCGTGATCCCTCAGCCTGTTCCAAATTTCTTAAAAAATACACTTCAGTATTAGCAACACAAAGCACTATTCCTTTTTTCCAGATAATTAATTTCGCTCTAGTTTTTAATATGATTTCAAAATTTTTTTGTCCTATTGAGTTTTGATGTTGAAATTTCGACAGCTTTGATTTTTGTTGAAGTAGATTTTGATAACCCTTTGGATCCACGTTCAAACTTTACAAAATGGAGCACGAATCTGTTTCTAGTTTCTTGTAATCGTCAGTCAGGTTATAGGATTTTAAATCTAGGACATCTTCGTTTTGCTGAAAGAAAGTAAAACTTTGAAAAAGTTGACATCGACGTTGTTGGCCTGTCAGCATTTTTGTCCTCCTTGAAATTTTGTTCGTATTCTTCTATCGAATTTGTTTGACTCCCATGGATTATGTGATTACTTTCCTTTCTCAGCGAAGGATCTGAAATTATATATTATGATTATTCAATCGGATTTATTTTTGCATTTTTTTACAAATTTCTGCAAAGAGAATCAATTTAAATATAAAAATTGCAGAAGAAACAGTTTCAAATAATTAAAGAACGTAAAAGAAAAGGAAAAAATTAGATAGTGCATACAAAACAGAAGAATTTTTTGTTAGCACTAATTTGTATTTCCTAGAAACCGGCCTCCTTCTATATGTTGATGTCAAAATTTATAGTGATCTTATCATCTCCCTTTAGTAAGACGTATTATATGAAAAAGGAAGGAAAGAAACAGTACGTTCAACTTCATTCACTAATTAGCTTAAACTCGAACTAAACGTGACGTTCATTAAGAACTTACTAATGACGGTTGTCGGAGGACGTGCGATATTTGTGCTATACGTCCTTTTGCTGTATTTACCGTTACTAAAAGAGAGTTGTGGTAATAAGAAATAAGATCGAGAAATAGTGTCGGTAAGCGAAAGTGCAAGTTACTCTATTAAATGCCTCAGTCAAAATGCAGAAATTATCTTGATCATGCAGCTTAACACATATCGAAATATTTCATGCTTTAATGTGAGTTTTAATGTGAGCTAAATGGCAAAATAAGTAATATTAGTCTTTTGTGGAGTTTTTAAAGCTTCGAGGAGTAGAAGCAAGTCTATCTTCAAGACTATGAGTCATGTCGGAACAAAATATTTGCCATGCTTACCACTCGCTCTCAAATAAACGTTTTAAAACGATCTCAAAAAAGAAAGATTATATAATTCGTCAGAATTACTTGTGCATTGAAGATTTGCATATTCCTTCTATAAGTGATGCCCTTGAGTGATCGGTGTCACATTCGGCATATGAATACGTTGATTTTGATAGGTAGGGATACGTTACAGTTCTACCACTGGTTGTTGAAGAGCATATAACAACTTGATCTGGATCGCCTCTAAATCTAAATTTTCGGAGTTTACAATTTTTTGATTTAAAAAATCTTCATACGCTAATAAATGTTTGAAGAATATGCCTCTGCAAAAACAATAGTAAAATTTAAATGAATATTTTTAATTTTCAATTAAGAAAAAAATTTTCAAAGTTACTTTGAAAGTCGAGTCTGTTAAAGGCTCTTGTTTCGCCTTTTTTTTCACAAGTTTTTTCTCAGTAAAGAAATGAAGTGAAAAGGCAGGATTTTTCCTTCATATTACTGTGGTATATATTCATTATTATGAAATTGATTAATATCTCCTTCCTTCGGTTCTACGAATATAAAAAAAAAAACTGAATAAAGAAAAAACCTCACAACTAAATTTGCAAAAGAATGAATTTAATAAATACAAAAGTTAATCCAAATAGATGAATTGGTATAAAAACTTCCCTTTTTATTATTTTATTACTTAACTCATGGAAATGAAAATAAATAAACCAACGGATTTCTATAAAATAAAAAAATCCAAAAACATACGTTTTAGGAGGTGGTGCAGTGCCTGCTGCTGTGTACGTAATGTTTGCACCACTATACGTTGATTGCATTATTGATGAGGTTGGAATTGATGGCACATTTCCTACATAGTACGAGTTGTAAGCTTGCTCATTTCCTGCACAACGTAAATACTATAGACTCGTAGAAAATAAAAGACAGCTGAGAATAATGACATTTGGAACAAATAGTAGCTTGAGCTGCCTTCATTCTTATACCCTGACATACCTCGGAAGTGAATCCGATGCAATAAAAATTAGTAATTAAGATACAGATGAGTTATATAAGGTTAGCACAATTTAAAAAATCGTATGAAATAACTGACTAACCTTCTTTATTATTCCTGAATCCACTTGGTTCACTAAATGATTCTGCTCCGCAACTTAATAAGGCATTATTTAGAGAGAATAACAATAACTCCAGTAATATTAAAAACAAAATTCACTGGATTATCTACAAGTGCAACAATGGATAATGAAAAAATTTTTTTCCTTAATTTTGCCCTACAAAGCAAAACATATGGATAACTTAATAAGCAGATTAAGTCTTTCTTGAGATAAGAGATTTGATATAAACTCTGACATAATAGAACAATAAATTCTGCAAGGTTGCCATCAAATATTTGAAACTGACAAGGTTCTGAATATTTAAAAAAAATCGAAGAAATCAGGAACATATCTGTTAACACCTACCAATGTGACTCAGTAAAACTACTCAATATAAGACGCCGGGGTGCGCCTCGACCACATGCCTGACCAAGTGGAAGGAGTGGTAGTGAAGGCGATGGTTTTGTATAACATCGTGATGCTCCAGGACCAGGACAGGGCAGCATTGATTGTCTCGAACCATCGTGCCATCCAGATCGTCCGTAAGTAGGGCGTAATCCAGGAGATGGTCCATCTGTCGTTTTAAGTTTTAATCTGCGTGGAGCATTCTCACAGCAATGATCTTCGTGGAGTGTTTCCTTCACTGGCAAAGGATCTCGTTTTTTGCAAAGACTATCATCTGCTGCACGGTCACAGCATGGACCGTGTGATAGTGTAACAGTGGTAGCATTTGTTGTCGGAACTGAAAAGCTGCAATGCGGGAGAGGTAAAGTTTGATTGGTAGCCAGTGAACCATTGGTCAAGTGTGCTGAAGGTAGTACTGGTGGCTGATTAACTTCGGATGGCGCTTTCGGCACCGTTGTCGGTTGATGTACATACGGAGCAATACTTTTGAACAAAAATGACTTCGAGTCACATGAAATCACCACCGATTGCGATGAAGATAATGGTACGACTTTTGTTGAATTTATTTGATCATCATTTAGTGATTCGCTTCTCTGCGGTGCACCTAAACAGCAATAATGATTTAAGCTAAAACCGAATTTTGAAGCAGACAAAAGTTGCAGAATTCTGAAAAAAAAGTTTTTTTTTAACAGTATTTTTATTTAGACTTATGCATCCTAAAAATTACATCTTATATATCTAAAGTATCTCCTCCAATACATTTATGCAGCGTGTAATACAAATTATTAACCTCTTTCCATCAAAAGTATCAATGACTTTATGCACAGTGAACTAATAAATTTGAAGAAAAACTTGCGAGGTAAAAATGCAGCAAATGTATCCACTTTTGATGGAGGAACATCCATCGCGGTACTACTACGATTACAACCTTCATTTGAATTATCTAATCGAGAAGAATGGGATTGTGATGATAATGACAACGATCTGGGTGGAGCTCCTCCTTCGTCCTACAAATTGCAATTTTATATTCTTCTTTAGACGATTTATTCATTGATGCTAACATTTATTAGAAAAAATTCAATTATTCCACTTCTCCCTGATGTTTTTCTTGTAAAGCAATACCATTTTGTGTCAATGTCTTTGGTTCATTCCACAAACAATAAATTTTAGGCCATACATAATGAAGAGAAATAGATGAATACCTCTGATTTTGCTCCATGGTTCGATTGTTGCTTGAGAGGTATACAAAACGGTGTATGCATTGTAGCATCCATGTGCTTATTTCTGCAAAGTGGCAACACTAAGTTGACGTAATGAATGAAATTCATATAAAAAAAGAGATTTGCAGTTAATTTAAAAATTGAAGTTGGCTATAAAAATAGCTATTAATAGTAAATACCTTCCGGAGTGTGACTGGAAATGTGCCAAACAGTCGTTTATCTTGTTATCCGCAGCAGCTGGAATGAAACTGTTGAAAGTTGTTTAAATTTAAACAATAATCAAATTTGCAGGAAATGGCTTATGATACGAAACGAAAAAAACTTACCAGTATATTGTATTTTGCTGTAATAATAACCCTGCACGTCTTTAACAGTATTCCTTCTTATGTTATGCGATGTCTCACCCCTTACAAAATCTTCTGAAATCCTGATATACTGAAATGATTGCCCGTCAAACGCAACCTGAAATTCATTTTGCTTTTCTGATAACACCATTTACTTTTCAGACCCTTTAATCTTCTCTTTTTTTTAAATTAAACTTTCAAAAAAATTAGTCATCTTTCTGTAAATTCCTTTTTCATTCCCTTTTCCGACCTAAAAGTTGCATATCTTGCGACTTCAATATAAATTTTAAGCTCGTTTAATTCTATTCTTTGTTTTACAAAAAACTAGTTAAGAGATAGTCAATTCCATAGATAATCTCAAACTAAAGAGTGGAACCGAACGTATGGGAAAAAGTGAAAGAATGGCACTATTTATAGGAATGACTGGATGAATTTAAGATAAGTAACTCCACGAAGAAAGGAGCTTTGCTCTCCGCTATCCCACTGAACTCTTGTTAGTTCTCCTAGAGTATGAGGAGATGTCTAGGAGAACGGACAATGGTTATAGATGATGTCACTATTCTCTTATTACATATCATCCCGGGATGAACAGTAAGTTCGGAATGATACAAACCGATGTGTTTCGTTTGTTCTGATTCTTGTCAGCGGTACTTTTCACTGGGCTCTCTTCTTGATCGAATGCTCTGCATGGCTCCGTTTTGATATTATTTCTTTTAGTATCTATGTGCAATACACAGATAACTGTTTCTTATCACTCCCTTATCCCAAATCTCTTTTATGAGATCACCCTGAAAACAGCAAATATTATCTTACAATCCAAGAGGAACACTGTCTGTGGTCTTTGCTGTATTCAACGACTTTGATGAAACTTCGTCACTACACTTATTGCTCACAGTTATCACTTTACTGTAATATAACTCAAAAGCGACCCTTTGGACGAATGAAAAGATAAGAATAAATTTCAAATCGATTTCATTTTAAATTTGCGGAATAAACACATTGGTTGGATCAATAGGACTTTGGAAACGAAAAAAGGATTTTAAGTTTGATTATAAAGATATTTGACTTTACTTAAGTCGTTGGAAGCATTTAATCGAGACATTAAAAGCTATTTTAAGTAAGCCAAATAGTTTCTCTTGAAAATATATAGACAGTTGAAACTGCTTTAAAAATTCTAACACGATATGAAATTAGACGATGACGCGAGCGAGCTTGATTACCGTAGTCCGGTTTTAATCTACCCGTTGAGATGTCTTTTTATCGAATGGACAATTTCGTCTCTGCACCTGCCATAGGTGATTCGCCATAAGTAATTCAATTTTTAGTACTAAATTTTTATTTCCAATACATGTCACCTAGCAGTTTTAAGATAGTAAAAACATAAAATAACATTAAAAATTCTCAATAAACCTCGCAGAAAATCAACAGTGCAGAAACCCTTATGAAGACTCGATTAATTTTAAAGAGACACATAGTTTACTGGTAAGCCTAAAATATGCAAATTTCGAAAACCACAGACTTGAGAAAGGCTTGATTATCAGACATTACGAAAATGTTAAATACTACCGCCCTTAACTTCAAGACATTCCCGCCCTTCTCCAACTTGCTCTAAAAATGATTTTGGTAACTTAAAATATACATTCTGTGATGTTTTCAGCCAAATTGTACAAATGTACAAAATGAGAATAAGGTATCTGCTAGAGAAAGCAATAATTAGAAGTGAACTGTCGATTTTTGAAAAAAATTAAAAATATCGATTTGTTGGAGATGTCGAGGCAAATGGCCAATGACTACACAAAACTTCACATCACTTATTAAAATGTAAAGAAATGCTGTGATGTTTATGAATGTAATATACGGTGCTCATTCAGTATTATATTATGAAGCAACAATGTCCTTTCTTTCAGTTTACAATTTATATTCAAATTGTTTCGGATCAGTTGTCAACTCTGAAACATGGCGATGTTTATATGGCAATTTCATTCGTATCGCTGTTCGTCGATTCTGATAATTCTTCTCGACTACGTGTCTGACATATGGACCATGCTGACGGCTGTATGCTTCTTCCATGTATACCTCTTCCGATTGTGCAACTAGAAACCTAAAGTGAAATGATTTAATAAAAATTTCAAATTCAAACCTTCTCAGAAAATAAACAATTGTTTTCACAAAATTTGATAAAAGAAAACTAAACAGATCATCGTGTGGAGGAGTACCGGACAAAATGGCAATTAAGGTAAGCAGAATTATACTGTCTAAGTATGCAGATTGAACGGAACTATTCTTTTTTTTTGCATTTTCAACATCTTCCAGAAAATTTATAATATGACTGATGCATTTTTGCACTGCTAGGAGTTGGGATGTAATGAAAGAGCGGACATTTCATATAATTTCCCACAAAAATCACAGAAATTGTAAGATTGCCAGCAGTTAGTTTTTATCTTGACGCAGGAACTCTTCTCTTGTCTTGGAAATTCAAGAAATTTAATTCATAATTTAAAGGTTGATATTTGAAAAGAAAATACTTTACCTCTTCGAAATTTCTGAGTGCCGCATCATTAAGTTGCGTTGCAAGTATGCCAGGCGAAGCCGCTGGTTGAACTGAATCATCTGGAGCATACAGAATCTTAGGCATCTTAATTGTATCTGTTATTGATGTATAAACTTCGTCTCGAAGAATAAATGACGTTCTGAAACCAAAAATAAATTTTTCAATTCATGCTTTCTTCTCATTACTAACATTTCAGTGGAAATGTTTATTTTCCAAAAATTCTTCAGAAAACAAAAGTACTCGATCACTGAGATTGTCTTGTCCTCATTGCATTATTGCTAATTTTACTGAAACCAACTCTTAGGTCTGTAGGCTTCCCACCCCAATTTAAGCAAATTTCCATGCAGACTGCAACATTAAACTTCAATCGGAAATGATGCGATGTGTTATTATATATTCCACGTGACGCTTTTTATAGTTCATTATTGTGGCTATTAAAAGATGTCATTTGCAAAAAAATTTTCAAAAACTTGAAAATGCACGTTTTCTAGCTCACCTCTTTGTAATTTGGTGAATGTTGCGAGTTTCTGAAAGCTCATCCATGTAATGCAATTTTCTGATTTCGTTATCATCACTGCTATTAATGTTTGCATACATTTCAACTGATCCTCTCTTTTTTATCAAAGATTTCTTTCCCATAACATTTAGATCATTTCTATTAATTGCTTCTACGTTATTTATTAAATTCTTAGAACTTCTTTCCTTATCAGTTGAGCTTTGCAATAGTTTGAGCATCGCTTGCTGGTTCTTCTCGATAACATAGAGTTTCGATTCTACTTCTCGCAGAAACGATTTCATATTACAATCTTCATTTACTATGTCATTTAGTTGAACTTGCAAGCTATCATTTCTGAAATGCACAAACTTTTACTAAATCTTCGTTGTTTTGCATGAAATTGTCTTCAGAAGCTCAAAATTTGGTATTGGCGTAATCATATCGGCAGAGTTATAACCGCTAGTAGAGTCACAAGTGAATTGATAAAAATATCACGATTGGATGATTAGGCAATTCTGTTTAATTTGTTTACTGTTTTCACTCAATTAATTATTCAGAGAGAAAAAATTTACCTATCCACAGCTGTTTTCAAGTAATCAACTTGCAACGCCTGCGATAGACTCTTCTTCCTCGAGAAATCATCCATGCAATCTTCCTCAAAATCATGCAACAAACGTAATTCGTCATCGTTCAAACTTAGCTCTAAAAAAATAGCATATTAAAAGACGTTTCAAATTTGAAAAATTGAAAAAAACCACTCGCTTACTCATTGAAAAATCGAAAAATCCTCCTCGTTTACCAGTCCCTTGTCTCCTTTGTCCGCTCTTTTTATGTAACTAAAAACAGAATTTGCATGAAATCAGGAGGAAATAATATCGAAAGATAAGGAAACTAAATATTTAAGTGATATCAAATTCCCATTCGGAAGAAAGGCTTTTTTCATTCTTTGGGAGATTAAGAAAGTGAATATTAATGATATCAAGAAATCAAGAAAATATATGCCTATCTTATTTTTAGGTCGGTATTTTTCTAACCTTCCAGAAATATTTAAGCAGAATCAAAAAGTGCGATATCGGTGTAAAAGGTGGAGGAAAAAAAGATGTATTTTCGTATTCCATAACTTGCTCATAACGCTGGAAAAGCCAAACTTGTTGCGCAATGGCATTTGTTTCATTGAAAATATTGCTGAAGCGATTTTCAAATTACTTTGCAACTATCAAATTTGTTGAAAAAAACTTCAAACTCAAGTCAAATTTTAGCAATCACAAAAGCGAAATGTACTTGCGCCTTTTCTTGAATCCTAATGACGTTTACAATTTAAAAATTTCTGTGGCTATAAGTATATACTTGAAAATGGCGATTAACATGTTGATTAGAAGGATATTTGCTACTAAAAGGAAGATGGTCATCAGAATTGGCGGTATCCAACCACCGGGAACGCAGTTAATACCTGAAAACGGAATATACCAACAAAATGCTTCAGTGGTAGGTCGAGCAAAATTAATACTTTAATGAAGTTTGTTTGAGTGGAGATGCTATTATAATAGCATTTAGTTGAGATGCTATTATCACTGTAGCTATAGCACTGATTACAAAATTTCTTCTATCTTAATAATTAAACTGGAATGATATACAAAAAACTCACCTTCATCTCCACAAGTATCAATTTCTCCTGCATATACTTCACCGTACAGCATGAAATACGGTTTGTAAAAAATATTCCTTATCAACAACCATTGCCATTTTTCGTGAGGATAAGTGATCGCTTGTCGTGAAATTCCGAAAGACATCAATGTCACCAGCAATAAAACCAGAATATACATCATATTTACAATCTAAAACTCATACTGCAAAAACTGTATCAAATTTCAAAACATCAGCTGGGAACAACACGCAAACTAGAAAAAATGACACCTAATAATTATCGAAAAGTGAAAAAAAGAGCATACATCTTCCGTTAGTCATAAATTTTCTTAAGTAGTATTCTTAAGTAAAGGGATATAATTAAAGTTTTTACAAATACTGTTTTTACAAAAACAGAAAGCATTCGATTATCAATTATAACTCAACTGTTAAGCCGGATGATATTACCTATCTTAGAATTATATTCAGCAAAAACTTACCATTTTCCCTGTCATCTGTATGTATGGTCCTAGTCTTGGATGAACACCCATAAAATCCAGAAGTTTGATGTACCAGAATACAACATTGCATGATAAGATGATTCGTCCGTATGAATGACGTGTCAATTCATTATATCGAAATGCGAAACCAATAAAGAATGTTATAATAGCTAAGGAAGTTAAATAATTCCAGCAGTGATTGAAATAGACACGTATTTTCTCACAAATGGTACTTGCTTCCTGTACCAACAACTGAAATTTTAAAAAAAATTAAAAAATTCTTGCAGCAAGACTATTTTGTTAAAGAAAAAGGAAATATTCATAAACAATAATACTAACTGTAGACTGTATGCCTTCCACTTTTATTTTCTATTTTGTTAAATATCTTCTACAGTATTACGAATAGAAAAGAAATTTAAATAACAAATCAATCAATCATTATGCATATATGTTGACTGAAAGTACTTAAAGTTACTTTTCGAAAATGTTCCATAACAAATGCGACAACGTATGCAAGGAGAAACCATTCCACTTGAGTTGGATTCACTGGAAATTCAATCAATATTACATACGTATAGGCGCTCAGAAATACAAAATAACTTGCAAGCCATATCCAGAAAGTTGTAATTGGTGCGGAATAAAAGACATTAAATTTAGCGGCCCACGACATTTTTCGAGTCATCTATAAAAAAATTTGTATATTTCCATAGCTTTATAAAATGTTTATATTTCTCTTATCAACAAAGAACACTTAGAAATAGATAAAAATTTCACATTGAGTGAGTTGTAAAAGTTGTTCTTAAATAGTATTGCATTAATTAATTAATGTGACAATCTTCTTTCCTTATCTGCTTGGCATCTATAAATATACTTTTCTTTCTTTTTAATTCCAAAGTTTTCTTTCCAAGTTCTAGAAAAACAAGATTTAAAGAACTATTAGCGGCAATGCAATAACTTTCTGGTCTAGATGACTGAACTAAGAGTAATACCTCATGACCTTGTAATTTGTCTAGAATTAAATGAAAGGATACCTCTTCAACTTCTTGCAAACTTGTACCGACTGATTTCCGTGATTCTCCAATTCTTGATTTGACCCGTAAAGTTTCCTCGATTAAATTGGCTGTCTCGAAAAAATTTGACATGCGATGGGAGAGTGCGGTTGTTTTGTATTTGCTTTTCCGTCTTATTTTTAAGTGCTAGAATAACTAAAACTTAATATTTTCTACAAAAAGCATGCAACGTGTGTAAAATACGAAATTTGTCATACTTCTGATGTATAAAACGATGAAGAAGCACTGTTTTGACTATGATCGTCATCTTCTTTGTCCTGTAAAATAATTAATTAACAAATGGTAAAAAATCTTAAATTTTTGGAACTAAAAAATTTTTAGCTAACAATCAGATATTACTAGATTTAGTTGATATTAAATAAAAGGCGTAAGAGAACTTGAAATAATGATTGAGAAATCTTACGTTATTAAACTCATTCTCTTCGGTCACAAATGAACGCCGTGTGAAAGAATCCATGCGACGGTTGGAAATTCGTGCTTTCACATCCAGCAACAAAATGCTGGGAGGGAAGGCCAGTGCTAAAATTACTTTCAAGTTTGAATAGCTGGAAGAAATAGCTGATAACTTCTCAAAAAGTACCTTTTGATGCCGAGACCACCATGCCATAAATCTGCCAGCAAAATTTGACAGCTGAAATGAATTTTTTTGCTGAAACACCAAACTTTTGGGAAATTTTCAACTTTAACAAAGAAGTTTTTTGAAGATATCAAAAAATATGGTCCAGACAATAAAGGAATACTAAATTTATGGAGCAATTTGCAACGCATTTAGTATGTTATATTTAATTCTGAGATTCTTAAGAAATTTTGAGACTAATTTCGGAATTTTCTAGCATATTTTCCTACTGTTTGCACCCGAGAAAGTGCCCACTAACAATGGGGATAAGTTCCGCTAAGAAATCAAAAGAGTTGTTCAGTTAATCAGTCATTTCAAGAGAAGCAAGTAATCACCATGGATGAGCCAAGAATCTTCGATTATTCGCAATAACAGCTAAGGAAAGACAAGTATGATGTCCCCAGTTAGGTAATTCAGCTGTTAGCAATCTAAGAGTTCCCGCGTCATCTTGCAGATAGCAGTGATTGAGCAAACTTAAGCTTTCTCTTTTGAATTCTCTGCAAAATAAGAATCAGCTGAATTTTTTTCTAATTTCAGCAATGTTTTTAACTTGTATTGTGAAAATGAACAATCCAAGTTAGGACTTCTTGACATTTGTACTATAATTCTTTAATTAAAAGAATACAGTCCATCTTCATAATAATGCTAATGCAATTCGAACGCTGCGACTGTTAAATTAAATATTATCATCCAGGAAAAGCTCAGTAGAATTAAAGTTATCCTTGAATGAATAACTTTTATTTCTGAAAGAATTTAAAATAAAGGGACTAACTCTGCAAACTGCCGAAGTTCATTGGATACTTCAACTTCTATATACTCATCTGCAGCCTCTTTACTCATACTTTTATAAAGTCTTATCGCAGCCAATGCTTTAGCCATTGCCTCCTCACCATACATCCACATGCAACGTGCCATTTCCTGTCGACGTGACAGGACTGCCCATAACATTAAATCATTGAATGGAAATTGAAATTCGTCATCTGTCAATGTAAGATGATTAATCTTTCCTTATCCCCCATAAAAAGCATATTTTGAGAATTGCTCTCTTGATCAACTGAAGCCTATTTACTATAAAATTTTGATCCATTTTGATGAAATGAGTTTCGGTAATTCTGGTAACTTCAGTATATGCGAAATTTCTCTCCAAAACAATGAAAACTGACCCTCTTTACTTTCTCTGCGCAACCGTTTCTGCGTATTGTTCCTAGCTTCCTGAATAAGTAATAATAATTCAGTGCACATTTTAAAAAATTTTCCCATTTTAAGAGAGTTTTAATTATAAAAGCCTTTTGAGCATGCATCATTTCGAGTAATGGCAAAGTAAAGATCTATGCCCTTAAGAGGGTCCGGCAAAATCATTGCTCTCCATCAGCAGACTTGGCTACGACATACGCTGATTTTACAGCAATTTATCTATTCATGAAATTCTTGATTATACAATGTCTGAACTATCCCAAGAGTTCAAATTAAGTATGAAAATCTCAGTTTTGTTAAATGAAAATTCAAAAGATATTTATGTGAAACCAAAATAAAACATTACTTCATCCACTTTCCTTGTTTTTGAATATGTCACACAAAAATTCCGGAAACTTGGAATTCTTGAGACCTGAAAAGGTGCATATTTGGTTTCTGCTGAGGAAAAAAAAAATATACACTCTAATATACGGCTCTATTGTAAACAAACTGTCACTCGCCAATGCTTTCTTTCTGCATTTTTCATATTTATTTTTGAATTTTCTCGACGTGTATGAACATTTGTAAGCATTCCCCATCAGTCGTTCAATAACTACTCCAATTTTTGGCAGTGTAATTCGTCCATCAATTATCGAAATGCTGTCGTTGATTAAAGGCAGAATTGAATCCTGTTCCTGAACATAAATCAATGACCGTAATATGTTATACGACGAAAATTTTTTAAATATTAATTTCATGATTAAATATTAATTAATTTACAGTGACAGAAAACAACAAACTAAATAATTAAATTCGAGCTATTATTTACAGTTATATTTTCAAACTACATGACTAATACTTCAAATTTGTGTAAAGTATGAAAACAAAGGAATGCAACAAACAGATGCAAATTACCATATTGTAAAGTTGTTCTAGTCGACTGATCGTCAAGAATTTCTTCATTGAAACTCCATTTTCCAGTAAGAGTTTAACGAAATCGACGCGATCCAATGCCAATGCTTCCATCATTGCATTATATAATAAATACGGATTCCAATGTTGATTCCCCACGAAGATATCAGAGCGTGCAATGTCCACCCGATTCCATACAAGGGTCAGTGAAAGCTTAAAATTGGCTATTTTTAAAACTTGCATTTTAGTCTTAGTTGTTTTAATATTTCGCATTTGAAAAAATTATTTTTGAAATAATTATCCGCTTTAGTTCATCTTCAAGGATTAAAAGTTCATTCAAATCAGTTGAATTCAAAGAACTCCAAATACATTATAGGATTATTTACAATAACAAATTTACTTGATCAGCTGCTGATAGATTCTGTCCTTTCAATATGGCACTGAGAATAGCATGATCAACATCTTGCTTTTTATTTTCGCTCAAACGAAAAACTGTCAGCTATAAAAGAGATGGGAAAAATTTTGGTACAAATCATCGTAAATAAATTTTTCATAAATGAATTATTTAGGATACAATTTAACGTACCAAATCACGATGTTTAGCACAGCATAATATTTCTTCCAGAATTTGTTCCGCTGGTGTTGAACTATAAGGAAATACCGAAGCAACAAGGATGAGAAGCTGCGCACGAATTTCTCGCGGTAAATTACTGCAAATTCATATGATCATCCCTTCTCTATTGCTAACGATTTCAATATTTCGTATTTCTCTCTCTTTTCTTTTTTGAAAAAAGTTAGTTAAAGACATTCTATTAATGATAGTAAAAAAAATAAGATCAAAATAAATTTCATTTTTTATTCTCATTAATTATAACTTCGTATTGTTTTCTTCGACTAATTTCTTCATCATTTTTTAGATATTTTTAATAAAGTTATAATCAACGAGAATAAAGAAATGAATTTTCAGTTTGTTTAGTTTTATTTCTCATAGGTAAAGGAATAAATGATGTGTGAAACTTTCAAAAGATTATGGATGGTATGTGTTAACTTATTTAGTCTTACTTGTCAGCAATAATAAAGTCTGTGAAATATTACTCATTGAAAAATGAAAAGTATATTTCATCATAAAGTTATTACTATTAATATTAAGCTAAATAGCAAGTTATTAAAACTAACCCATTTTCCAGAATATGTCGATGCGCAAATGCAATAAGATCTGAAGCTCTTCCACTACCATCACAAACGATAACAGGAACTGGTGGTTGACTAAAATTTCGAAAATTAAACAAATAGAGCAATTCAATCATATAAACATCATATAAATATGCTCATATAAATCATATAAATATGCTTTTTAGAATTAACATACTTCGCTAAATATTGAAGTATTGCTCGGATAGTGCAAGTACCACCTTCAAGCACTGCGCAAATGACAGGTACATGTCGCGTTCCCAAACCAATTGTTTGTTTTCGAGCTATGAATTCTTCAAAACGTTTCCGCAAAATGATATCAGCGCCATATCTATTCTCAATAATTGTTAATGATTAAATTATTATGCTTTATTTGCTGCATTAATAATTCATAAATGTTTTACCTTCCATTTGTGCCATTATCAACAAGTAGGAAATATGAATGCCGATCGTTTAATGTCGCATATTTACTTTTTGAAGAAAAAGAACGTGGATCATAGGATACAACGATATCTTTTCCAATTAATTTTTCATGTCGTTTTAATAAACCCCATGGTGCAATTCCTATCGTTACCACCTTTGATCGCATTCTAAAATTTTGATAATAATTATAAGATAGAAATGATGGAAGATAATGAAAAAGTCAATTGTGAAAAGCAGTTTAGTACAATTAATTACAGAATTTTTCTTAAATCTAACTCTGCTTCATTTCGGACGATAAAAAGTTGTTACAGAAATTTAAAACGATGAAGAAAAAAGCACCGCGCTGAAATGCCAGCTTCATCGAGAGCTGTAGCAACATGACGTACCACTCCGGCATCTATTCCGGCAGTGATAATCCAAGCTCCGGTTGTTTGTGCTGCTTTTAGCATACCTTTTCGAAATACTTGACCAAGTTTCTCTTGTACCCTTTAAAAATTTTCAGCAATAAATTTTTAGATCTTTTACAGTAAAGATCAAGAGAATAAGAACTTTATAAATTATTCTGATGAATTCGAAAAAAATTTAAATTAAAAACGAAAAAATACTCGAAATCAGTGATGCCACCATGAACTGTAATAACAAGACGAGGTGGTTCCAAGCCCCAAATTTTCTCCATCAAATACATTATATCAGATGGATCTGAATCGTAACCCAATCGAACATAATGCGCTTTATGAGCATGAGCACCACCCTGAATAAATTTGTGAAATTTGGGGAAGATTATGGAACAAATAAGAATAATTAAATTAAAGATAAAAGGTACGATAAAAAGACAAGGATAATGAAATTAAAGATAAATGATAGTGGAAAAGGGCCTAATCAGTCTAATAATTAGGGAAAGATGATGTCATTGTTAAATAATTCGAAAGAATTTTAAGAAACTTTCATCTATATAAAAGAATACCGAAAATTCCAAGGTTCCAAAGGCATCCGTATAAGCGGTTTTTGTATGTTCCGCAATATTCCAACTTACTGGCTGATTTGATGATCGCACCGCTGCTTCATCGTTCATCATTGTCGCTCTAAATTGTGATATTACTGCCAAACTATGTGCATTTAAAGATAATCCACAACCACATCTGAAATAGTTAATTTTTAATTTATTTAATTACTAAAAAATACCTCGCAGAAGGAGTTGGATAATTTCGAGTGACAATGAATGAGTATTGTCACAAATAATGATTTGAACAGATAAAAAAATCATCTGAAATGATTTTGCTCGTTAATTTCGTAAGAAAAATTAATAATTTTTGTTTAATTAATTTTTCATTTTTCAAATTTTGTTATAATTGAAAAATCCAATTTTTCACTAATTCCTTCACTTCAGTAATAGTAATTATTAGTACGCTTTCGTTAATTAATAGGAGTCAATATGATGATTTTGCCAATTACTACGCCTTATGGTAGAATTTGGCGGAATGTCAATATAATTTCGTTTTATTTGTCAATCATGCTTCAAAAATCCAGTTTTACTAATTTAATGCTTCCCAATTAATTGCTGTTTTAATAAATGAGATGCATTATTAGTCCGGAAGTTTTTGAGTAATTTAACGAGTAACTAGCAAATCATTTATTTCAATTATTGATCAGTCTTAGAATTCTGGAAGTTTTCAATTGAATAATTTGAAATAGAGAAAATTTTTTTTAGAAACTTTTTTTAAACTTCACAGTCAATTAACACTTCTTAAATTGCTATCCATCGCAATAACAAACTTTGTTGCAATTTTCATGCAATAAAAATTGGTATGATAATGAAATACTTCAAAATTTCCCACAAAATATTACTTACTTATTTGTTCCAAACGTTGGAATATATTTAATGCATTCGCGCTTCACAAAAACTTGTTCAATCCATGTTCCTTTTAATTTTTCGGTCTGAAAAATTCATAATCAATATTAGTTTTTCAAAGAAAGGAAATGATAACGGCTGTTAATTTCAAAGTATAGTAATAAATTCGATATCAGACTAATTGGTCTTTTACCTAATTAAACACTTAATTTTCTTTCTCAAATACATTTGAAATCTCGGGATCTCAGATTAAGACAAAAAAAGAATGTGTATGCTTTTCTTTAAACTTTTTACAATTCCATAATTTAAAGTACATCATGAAAATGCGAAGATAATTTAGAAAAGCGATTCTTGGTTAATTTTATTAACAATTTATGATAATTGATAAGATTTTTTCAATGATCTGCTACTGATCTATTGATTATCTTTTATATTTTGCTCTAATCATGCTAAAAATTGTAGCTATTAGAATAGAATAGATTCCTTCAGATATTTCAATTCTTCAGATTAGCAATTACTTTCATAAAAGGTTGAATTAAAAAAATTTTCGAAACTATTTTAAATCTTCAGCATATTAAGCAAAACTTTCTAATGCTTGTACGAAAAGTTCCGGTCGATCGAATAGTTTGGAGGATCGCTTTTGTTTGGCATTGGCATTTTCCATGGAGCAATAATTGTTCGAAACATCAGCTAACGAATAAAATTTTTGTCCATTTATGGAATTACGTGGTGCTATGCAACCAAACGAATTTACCGAATTTCTGCTGCAAATTTCATCAAAAAATTCCGTTTCGAAATTTAATTATTTAAGTAACACTCAAACAAGCCTAATTGAAAAGAAGAAGGCTTTCCCAACAAATTCCAATATTCAATTTTTTCTTTATCAGCTCATTTTAGTTATACACATAACTTTTCTTCTCTATGTAATGAATTCGTCTCACTAAAGTGATCACAAACCTTTGCTTTTCATCGGAGCTGAACTCATCATTTGAACCGTCAGATTGTAAAATAAATTCAGCGTTAGGAATTGAAGCACAGTCTTGCATTTGTCTTAAAGAAAATTCCTTGAAAGCTTTTTAGACAAAAAAAAGGAATTAAGAAAAATAAAAGAATAATGTACACTTCTGCTTTGATATTTATTTTATATCAAAGTAAGAGAAAGAAGGATGAGAATTTTTGTTGTCGATAAAACCATTTATAATTGATAACAGAAATGTACTTAATTTTACTCTCCCCTTTTTTACTAATTGAACGTTCATTGAGAATATAAAGAAGTTATCAGGAGAAAGATGCCACAAACATCTGATAGCATCGGTATGTTGCTGCTACCAATTTTATTATCAAACCTTCCTGAGTAAAACCTGTTTTCAAACACCAGTCGTTTTTCATCTCTCTCTCACGCTCTCTCTTTTTCTTATTTTTCTTCTTTAATACTTCATTTAACGATGAAAATAAAGTGACAAAAGGTGTACCGCAAAATGATCAAATCGAAATGGAAATAGTGCATGTATTGGTTTCATTGAAATGATGTTTAAAACAAATAAGATTAATGTATAATTGCAAAGGTACAAATAATTAATAGGTCGTGAAAAACAAAAAAACTTACGATATTTAGTTTTCAAAAAAGAAAAGTAAATAAATCAAAAAGTTAAAATACATTAATCATTAAATTATTATCAATTCGACAATGATTTATTTATAAGCAAAAAGTATAATTAAAGTTTCTTTTTGTTTTGTTTATTTATTTCTTTTATGCTAAATTATTTTTCAATACTTTGCAAATTGTGAAAACTTTAAATTTTAAAATTTTATTTGCACAATTTTTAGACTGTGATAAAAATTTAAAATGCTTTATAAATTTCCTCTATTAATTTAATTATTTTTATTCTCTAATAACACAATTTTTCATTTTCTTTTTCTTTCCATAATAATGTAACAAAATATGAATTTTTTGTTGGAAGGAAAAATTGCATTGTTTATTTTTGTTTTCATTTTAAATGAAAACATCGCTCTTCTCAAATGTATTCACTTTTCATAGCATTAAAATTAATATTCTAACATTATTATAAAGTTCGATGAACGTTAAAACAAAAAGTCAAATTAAGATTCTATAAATTCAAGCCAATCTCTAACTAAGGTAGTCCAATGAACTTAAAACTATCATCATTGAATATATATATATATATATCAATAATAACTTCAACATAAACTACGATGACTTTTATCAAATTCTGCAAAATTAATAAATCAACTGATCTGATAGATTGATAAAATTTCTCAACTTAAACATCAAATGTCGGTTTAATTGATATGGATGAAATGATAATCAGTTCACTTTCAAACAACATCATCAATTTTATATATGTTCACTTTATTAATTATGAATAAGACAAATGGCTTCATTAAAACTGTCAAATGTTTATTTTCACTGATTTTGATTTGTAATGTGGGAAGAAAATTGATGAAAAATTAGAGGTATAACAATAATATTTTAAAAAATTTTCATAATGCTTCATATAATTAGATAAAACAATAAAGATGAAAAGTTTAATTATCAAATTAAATTAAGGCTTTGGTACTTTTTTGCATTTAAACTTATTCTCTATTTATGACCTTTTTCTTTCTTCCTAAGAATTCGGAGACAATAATGGAACTGATAAAATGAATTAATTACGGCGCCACGTCCATTGGAATCATTAAATTTTATCCTGATATCCTTTATATTACCGGTATTACTAGAAGGCTCTTTATGATACACAATTTTTCTAAACATCCATTGATCTTGTGTTGACTATTTCATTCAGGATTTGTAGTCCAACATAAACTAGCATTCCTACCAGTATTTCACGGCCCTTCAAAGTAATATTAAAATGATATGTGTTTACCTACTAATCTTGTTATCGCATAAAATAAAAAGTTTACGGAATACCACCAATCGCAGCTCCAAAAGAACTAAAATTCAAATTCCAATTGGGATCAAATACCTAAACAACTATCATAATTTCAGATGATTGAAAGTTGCATTAAAAACATAAATCTTGAAGGATACTGCTGTTTAAATCTTTATGAAGTCTTTGTATTCATTTCCTCAAAAATATTTAAGGCCATCTTTATTGTAGCAACTTAGATAAGCAAGCCATCGAGGATATATATCTTTATAAATACCACCAATATATTGCAAGTGAAATTTCTTAACAAAGAATGCGTTTATTGATTTCGACAATGACTGCCTCCTTTTCTCTTCATTGGTAACCATATTCAGACAATATTTCGCAAATATATTTGAAACATCGAAATTCGGAAATATGATATTGGAGGTATGCGCTTAACACTTCTTATCGAATCAAGTCCTTTTGTTGAAGAAAAAAATCACGAAGCATCAATCGATAATGCAACTGATCACCGCGTTTACTAAATGCGGTGAGGATCAAAAACTTTCCCTTGCCTTCTTTTTAAGTCTGCAAGATACCGAGGAAATGGTTTTATAATATCTAAGTTATCTGTTACCTTCTTAGAAACAGCTACAGACACAACTTACGCAATACTTTAATGGGTGAAATGACTGATCTATATAAACAATCACGAAACAATTTTTGTTCTAACTTATTATGAACGATGTTCGTTTAATATTATATGTTGAATTGGATTTTACGGCATACATCCTGTAGCATCAATTGGGAAGAAAAACAGATAAGCCAACGAGAAAATGAGTAGATGTGCATGCTATATTCTTACTTTTCTTATTTGCTTTGTTCGTTTAGTCGATTATTTTCTTCATATTGTGTCAATTAAACCGATAATCATTTAAATTTACCCCTCTTCAGGATGGAAATTGAAATTTTCAAAAATGCTTGAAGGAATACATACGACGTTAATTTATTCAACTTACAAAAAGGTACAAATTTCTTACTGCTATTTAAAAGCGCATTGAGAAACGAATACAAAAAAGGAAGCTTCAAATGCTTTTCTTTCAAATACAGACAAAAATACGGAAGTGACACAAACATACACATAAACAATGAGTGCTAAGATTGAATTAACTCTTAAGATTTCTTTACATACGTTTTCCCCCAAAATTCGGAACTTTCTTAGCCTTCGTAAAATTTTCATTTGTGAATGTAAATAATTTGTCATGGATACTGAAATAAGAAAATTTCAGTTTCCGCTTCAATATAATTCGATCAATTCGACTTTCCAAAATCCTATTAGTCAATCAATCCAATCCAATAATGAAAAACTCAACTGAACATAGTCTTCCGTAACAAAAAAAGCTCACAAATAACACCGATCAAACACAAAACATGATGCGCAACAAAAGCTTGCAAGTAAGTGTAGAAGTAAAATTATGAACCAGTGGACAAACATACCTTTAATTTGTATGTGAAAATGAGCGCCATTTCAAATAAGCAAGGCTACGAATAGGAAAGGAGTACAGAATGAAGGAAAAGCCCAAGAATATTGACCAGAAATTTCTGAACGAATTCATGTGAAGAGTTGCTCAAATTACTATGAAATTCATAGAAATCTATTTGGATAAAAGACAATTTAGTGAATGGCAAAATAAAATTTGCGATAAGGGAATAAAAAAGCATGAGAAAAATCAAAACCAGTTCCAAATCAGGGAAGGACAGTACACAAGAAATTAAATGATCCACTTAAGAATGTAGAAGATTTATATACTTTTCCAAAATTTCATATAGCAAGTGGCAACAATATTCGGTGCCGCCTAGTTAAGTTGTCTTTCTTCATCTTGTAGTTAGCTTGTATAACAAATAAATACTCTCAGCACTCATCCGTCTTTACTGAAAACAACAGATTCTCTGAGATCTCTCGCAATTTTCGATCAAAATCCTACACTTCTGGCCATCAAAAAGTTCCTCACAAATAAAATTATAAAAGCTTCCTTAGTAATTATATTTATATTTCCGACGACCCTGTGTTTAAACTCCAAAAAAACTCATAGAAACGGGAGACGAAAGTGCTGCAAAATGGAGCAATAACTGGAATCGACGAGAAAGCAAAAATGAGCTTTAACAGAAAGAGAGAGATTGATTTTTGTTGCAGTAACCGAAAATCATCAATAAACCTCAAACACATCAAAAAGTTAAATATTCAAAGGAAAGTTATATGCAGCGTTCTTCTTTCTGGCTTCTATAGTTGAGTTAATAGTAAAAAAACAAAGGTATAAAATACTTGAATATAGGAAACATTGTGTCAATTCTGTTTACCAAAAGAAAATGCTCATGAAAGAGTACATTTAACAGCATCCCAATTTACCTATTGTTACACCACTCTGCGGCTCAGCAGGCCGTATTGTTGGCTGTTTGATTCCTTCATCCTTAACTGGCATCTAAAAAAAATAAGAAATATTATGCATAATGAACTATTTTACATGTTATTCAATAAAACGTATAATCAACGTATTTTAAATAAGATGAACTAAATGATAATAAGTCTGATTCTTCAAACTTCTTAATGCTTGAAACACTCTGTTAAAAGAAAATTTCCCTGTTCGGTTATTCTGGAATATTCAAAGTAGATAGGAGAGAGTAGATAACGAAAAATGTACTGTTTTTCTGAGCCATATCGCATTAATATGTATTTTATGCATAACAGTTTATCTTCTGTTAGAACATGACAGGAATTTTTATGCTTTAAGAAGGCATCGTCTGTCTTGCTCATACGCTGTTTTCAGCAGAATGAAATAATATGCGTATGATCAGCCGGTTAAAATTCTCAAATGTCTACAAAATTAAAAACACTAACTTTATCAAGAATGGCTTCAGCGAGGTCATAAAATGCTTTATCGATTTGTATATTTGCTTTTGCAGATGTTTCCAGAAACCTAATACCATGATCGTTGGCTATTTTCTCGCCTCTTTCACGAGACACCACTCGTCGTTCTGCCATGTCACATTTATTACCCAGTAACATCTTTTCCACATCTTCCGACGCATGCTGAAATAAATTTTACGAAATATTCCATAACGTTACATTAAATTGTGACATCAATTTACTGTCTAATATCTTCTAAGCTCAAGAGCTA